GTATGCGTGGAATTGAAATCAGTTCGAACTCAAAAGAGAGGAGCGAAATGCAGTAAAACAGAGATGGGATTGTGCTCGAAATTTATTTCTCTGTCTTCGATTTTTTGCTCGGTACCATGGGAATGTGCCATAGCGCAATAAGGGTGGCGGAAAATAATCTGTAATCGTGTTTTTAAATTATGCATTCTTAATGCATTTAATCGTATTGCGTCTGTGAAATATATCAACATTAAAAAATCCAACAGCAATAATAATTTCAATAGTCAATAGAGTAATACTTAAAAAATTTCATTTTCAAAAGCTTGGATAATATTGTTTTGTTCTTATCTTAAAAATATATTATACTCTTTGCTAAAAAAACTTTATTTCTAAATTGTTTATACTTTTCAGTATAATTTTCGTTTGTTGGGTTACTTTTTCATTTATTTTTACCCGTTTGCTTTGAGTGCTTTCTTCAATTGCCTCTTTTTATTTGTTGAGATATTATCAAAGTTTAACAAAATGCGTTTTTTTTACTTTGGCATGTATTTATATGTCTTTTATTATACATATGAGAGCAATTTATATTTGTTTCGTTAGATTGAAGAGGTAACTAATAATAATAAATAAAATTGATTTTATTTACACTTTATTTAATGATAATTAAATAAAATAAAAATTTAAATTAAATAAAATTTAAGGCGCAGAATTGATAGAAATAATTTTGCGATTCGCTTATTTTCTCTAACCCTAGCCAGACCCTAGCATGAATATTAAAACACCCCCGTCTAAATTCATGCGCCTCTCAACATTATAGTGGACATATTTTCAAAGCCCGACTGTTGAATTGTTTTTATAGGGTGCGCCTTCCGCGGTCGTCCAGCTAGAGGAAAAGTCGTTTGTTCAAAATAGTTTCGCATTGCAGCAGCAGGGCAATATCACACGTTTTGTGTTTGAACCACACCAGAAATAAATGTACACATACCTCAAGAGCCCTTGTGCTTGCGAGCGATTTTGTCGCCAATGGCGTTTGTTATTTATTTTTATATTAATATTATTTGTTTACGCAGTGCTTTTGAAATGAGTTTTTTTTATTCGTAATAAATCAAAATCAGTATATTTCGTGTCAAAATTTTTCAAATTAAGAATTAGTGCAGATCTCGTGCAAAAATGGTGCAGAAATGGTGTGGAATCGGTCCAGCTGTTCTGCATCAGTTCTACACCAATTCTGCAGCTTTTCTGAACCAGTTGTGAACTAGGGGTCTAATTAAAAATAGAATGGTTCCATTTCCATTGCTATTTCATTTTCCATGCTTAAACATTTAATTTTGTTGCCTTTTTCATAAATGGTCTTATATTTTGCAGGTCATTGTCATTTTCCGTTTTGTTCATGGCGGTTGTTTATTTATTTTTAAATTAAAATATTTGTTAACAGTGCTTTTGAAGTGATTTATTTTATTCATATTAACTCAAAATCTGAATTTTTAAGCTTTTTCGTATCAAATTTTTCAAATTTAGAATTTTTGCTGATATCTTGCTAAACCGGTTCAGCTGTTCTGCATCTTTTCTTAACCAGTTCTGAATCAGGGGTCTAATTAAAGATGGCAGTGTTTTGAAAATTATCTCGTTATTTTTTTTAGTTAAATCCCAAAGTAGAGTAAGCTATGCAACCCGCGCTTCATGCATGTTTGGCTGTCAGTTTTTATGGTCATATTCTTTTGAAATAAGGTCGGTGGTATTGAGAATAATTATATTTCCAGAAATTATCTATCGCCTCTATTTCTATTTTATGACAGAGTTGAGAGTAATTTGATTAGTAGTGATGATCAGACATCAGACGTCAACTTTAATTTTAAACAAAAAATTTAAAAGGAAAATTATTAGGCTGATTTAGATTGGCTGAATAAATATTCAATATTATCACACGTGGTCTGTATTTTTTTCTTCCTGTTTGTAAGATATGCTATTAAAATATTATAACAAGTTCTAGTCTATCACTCTAGATAAGCAACAACAGCAAACAAAATAAAATTTTCAAGTGTTTCAAAAACAAGTTTCGCCGAATTAAATTTCTGTGTGAAGCTATTGGCGTCTGTTTGCAGGTAAGAGTTATTATAATGGCATAAAATATTAGTTTTACTTTCCTGGTGAATAAAGTTCAAAGGAATTTTTTCGTTTTATCATTTTCTAGCAATCCTGAAGCGGAAATATACTTTCCTCTGATCTTTCTTGGCCGAGTTTTCCGCCGGCACCTGCCGCAGGCCAAGATAAATATTTGATTTGGCCTGATTGAGGTGGGCGCTGGCCAACACTTAGCAAATGGAATCGCGCACTTGATTGAATCACGCGAGCCCCGTAGTTGAGAGGGCGAAATAATAATTGATGTGCTGAGAGGGCTGCCCCATCAAATTAATTTTCTGTCTTCCTCTCATTCATCCCTGCCAGGCCAATCACGTGCCTTCTGCAAACCCATCAGACCAGGCATGAATTATGCACGTCAATAGAAAGTGTAGTGTGGACAAACAACCTTTTAAATGCTTGGCCGTCTAACAGGTTTGAAGCTCGAAACTTCTCAATTTATTTTATGAAAGTTAAATTTTTGGCTGAATTTTTAGGAGAAAGAGACAAACTGTTATTTAAAAAGTTTCAGCCTTTGAAATTAATCATATGGAAGAAAATTATTAGGAATAATAATTTTCTTACTATTAGATACATAATTAATATTCATCTTTAAAAATCTCAAAGGAATAATCTAACAAACTAATTTATGACTTTTTTTTAGTTAAATGAATTTCTCGATGAGAACTACAGACACTTCGTAAAATCTGGAGCACGTGCGTGCCGCTGCCTCTCGGCAGACGCGGTTTGCTTGGGCGTTGAGGTCGATAACACCCCCCGTCCATCCACCCCAGCAGCCACAACACGATCGATCGGCTAAAGCACAGGGACCACGCCTTCAAGCGTGCCAACCCTAGATTGGTAAGTGAGTACCGGGTGAGCAACATCGACAAACAGAAAAGCTTGGAGTTCTTTGAAGTGGTGAAAGTAATTAAGTCTTTGCAAAATTTAAATTATCTCATTCAACTCAGTTATTTTTCACTTCAAACCTTAAGTTTAAAAAATAAGCTAAATAAACTCAGATATTTAAAAAAAGAATATTCCGCAATATATAAAACAGACCTTTAGTCAGTGGGTAATAAAAAAAAATTAGCAAGGAAATACAAAAGTTTTGTTACGAATTTAAAAATTGATAACTTTTAATATTAATTTAATAATAATTGATCAAATATGCACTTATGTGGACGGTAAAATAAAATACTTTTTAAATATAATACTAAGGAAGTATATTACCTATTTACAAAATAAAAGCTGTTGCATAAATAACATTTGCCGAATCTCTTCTTTCTTTGAGATGATCATAGAGGTAGTTACTTTCTGTCGAAAGGATCACTCCAAACTTTCATATCTGAAACATAAATAATTTCTATATTATCTGAGCCAATTTTATTAATTTAAAAATCATTTAAATTCAAAATACAATTATTTATTAATGATAATGAATTGATAATAAGAAAGTAACTTTCAATATTACAATCATGGCTCACACGTCTTAAATAAATAATATGTTATTTGTTATTGTACTTTAGGAGGGAAGAAAAAGTGAAGTAAAAATTTAATAAAGAAATAAAATTAGAAATCATTATGTAACCGACTAACCGTCAACAATAATAATCATGATTTAGTTACAAGATTTTATTACGGAAAGGATTTTCATTAAAAATGGTACCATATTTTTCCCTTTATAAATCATTTTACTTGATCGTCTTAAAAATTTAATAATAAAATTATATAATTAGAGAAAATATTTGAGTGAAAAAAAAACTTACTGCCAGGCTGGATATCCTCTTGCTTTATACCTTTCCTAGTTTCAGCTTGAATTTTTTCTGTAAGACAAATGACAAAATGACCAAATTTTGTAATAAATAATGCAAATTTGTATGAAACTTACTCCACTTTGTGGTGTCCATCATTGGTTGCACAACGATCGGATAAAGAGCGATCCCGATGGCTCCAAACAGACCGCCAATCAAGGCGCCAAAACGCCAACCTTTCCAAACTTTGGCCATTTAAATATTATCTTCCTCGATACAAATTTACAGAAGCCAAATTGAATTGAAAATTTCCAGACCGCGACTCCGTTTTGCTCCTTGTTTGGAAACACAGCTGATGTCGGTACTCGCGCGTGTGGAATTCGAGTAACTTTAGTAAATCTTCTTCACACAAGGCTGCAGCACCGCAGACACAGAAGTGAATAATTAATATTAGTTGAAATTCTTGACCACAGATGGCTGGCGGCTCCGGGTAGAGAGGAGACTTTAATGCCCAAACTGCAGAAAAGTTGTTATGCAATCCGCGTGGCATTGAGGTCTGCCGCGTTGCATACTTTCGAATTCCGAAGGCGGCTTTTGCACCATTTCCTTGACATTCCTGAGGCTGGTGCTCACTTCAATGTTTACGAGTGAGGAACGATTTCGTGTGTAAAAAGAAAAAAAAGAAATCCTACGGGAAAAAATAACAAAAAATGGCATAAAAATAAAAGTATAATTTACTTTGTTTGCAAATAAATTAATTAAAAAATTAATTGCAATCGTTTAAAGGGATTAAATTGAATATTATTTTTTTTAATCTAAAAAAAAAGTAAAAAAGAGCTGATGTATATATGAGCAGGTGTTTGATAAAGTTTTTTGAATAGACGTGTGCACTTTTATTATAGTGCTAATGGCGAATAATTTGGTTCTCGGAAGAGGCGGAAATAAAGAGGAATTTCCTGGAGGAAGGAAGACTGAGTCGTTGGGGAGTTTGCGGCGCACTCGGGCCGCCGCGATAGCAAATAAAAGTCATTCAAGTTACTTCACGGTTGTGTTATGTTAATAGTGCGGCGGCCGGCGCATTCCTTCGGTGTGGCATCCGCGCGCTGATTGGCCGACGAGCATGGGTTGGCGCTGACGTCACGCACACCCAATGATAATGAGGTATTCAACATGGCGCAGTGAGTGCAGTCAGTGTTCGCGGTCGCTCCGATGTGAATGTGATTTGCAGTGCGCACGATGCGGCGAAGACGCAACGGCGAGATACCCTTGCCCGACGGATGGGAAATGGGTCGCGATTTCGACGGCAAAATCTACTACATTGACCACAACAGTAGGCAAACGTCTTGGATCGACCCGCGGGACAGGTAAGCTGCCTACCTTGCAGGGCCCCACGTAGACTGAGCGTTCGCCGCCCCAGACAGCTCCACACGCGCCCTCAAACGCGCACCAAAAGTCCTTACAAAATTCTTCAGGCCCCTGTTGATTGATTATTCGCCGTTTTCGCCACTTTCGGGCCCATTCGGCTGGTATTTTGGTTGGGTTGCTGGTGTCGACGGTGCTGCCGCCGCGCCGAAAACACGCGAGACGCGCCGTGGTGACCTGCAAGCGGCCGCTCGCTGCCGCCGCAACGCTTTTCTCACTCGCGGCTTATTTCTCTCGGCCAAGAGAGCCGCGAAATTCTTCTTCGCCGACGATTCGAATTAAGAAAAAAAAAATACTTCCACGAGCGCTTCTTCGCTCGCATTAGGCTTGACAGCCGGGAATGCTGGTGTTGCAAAATTCTTGGCGAATTTCTTCCGCACTGGCGCCAAACTAAGTTGATAGAGGCCATTCCGAAAGCTTTTCCTTGCTGCGAGTTACAAAATAAAAAACTTATCAAAGGAACAAATTTTTAGAAGATTTAAACGGGTTGAAAAATGTTCATAGCCATTTTTGTGGTTCCGGTTTATTAATTTTCCCAATCAACATAGTGAAAAAATCTCGTAAAAAAATTGTTCGTTTACCTTTTTGTTTATTTATTTCCAATCCCTCATTTTTTTAATCAAAGAGAATCCTTCAGTTGCCCAAGATTTTTCTTCTAAATTATAGGATTAAAAAAATTCAAATACAATATTATAATATATTGTGATGAAGCGTTCATTTTTTGACTCGTTGAAAGGAGAAAATTGATTGTAACTTCATATCAATTAATGTTCGCGCTTCACAATAATAAATAAGATGGATTTTTCAGGCTACTGATTGGCTGGAAACGCTTTTTAACCCAATCAGAACGCTCGGCAATAATCAAAATTTGCTCTAATTGTTTTGATACACAGATCTTTCTCCATATAGAAACTCGAGAGTATCAGTCGAACAACAGATTCGGCTCAAATATAGAAGCTCCTCCGTAATGCTAAATTGCTATCGTAACCGATTTACATAAAAAAAAAAATGATAATAATAATATTGATACCCTCATAAAGCGTAAAAAATAAAATTTAAAATATTCTGTGTTTGAGGGAGAGTGAAAGAGAGTGCTTTTTTTTAATCTGCTATTTTTTTAAGCTTCTAGAAAATCGCAATTTTAATTGCAATCAATATAATGGCAGGGTATGAATTAGTTTAAGACAGTTTAAGATACGATTTGATTTTTTCCACCAAATTTAATTTACATTTAAAAAATTAAAATGGTATTAACAATAATTGATTAAAATTTTGTGAAACTTAAATATGAATTATCAATCATAAGGATCGTACTAATTTTCCGCAGAATTATTTTTTTATCTTTATGATTTGTGTTGTTAATTTGTGAGTGTTTTTTGTTTTTTTTTTTGTAATTTTTAGTGTAGACTTGTAGAGTTGTCATTTTCTTAATTTATGAGTTTTAAGTGGAAAAATTAATTATTTTGGAAACAGAAATTTTAATCTGCTTTGAAAAGAATTAAAATTTCCAATTAAAAGTTAAAATTTGGACTTTTTAATTCGGTTTCCAAGCAGTTTTTGAATCCACGTTAAAATTTCTTTTGGAAAATTGTAATTTGTATTTACTCCATTCACAATATTATAATTAACCATTAAAAGATTTTTCAAATTTTAAAACCTGCCATTTTACAATCGTCTGCTTTTTTTTATTAAAAATAATTTTGTTTGATTGTTGATTTTTTTAACAAGGAAAAGATGGGTGCTGTGACTCGGCTCTGGCCTTGGACAGGTGCACTTTTCGCACCTGCCCTGCCGCCGCTGATATGGATGAACCGCTGCTCGGAAAGGAAATTCTTTTCCGCTGCGCCAGCCGGGAAATCTGGCTGTTCATCTATTTGCTCACGCACCGGCACGCATGTTTCCATTTGTTCATCACGATGGATTTTGGGTCGGTTTCGGGGTCGTGAGCCGGGCGCGGATTGCATGAGCAAAGCGCGAGTCGTGGGAACTGCCCAGAATAAACACGTAGCGGCACCTTCAAAAATGAAACAGCCGCCGCAATTAGACACCCGAGTGAACGAGCCAATTACACGCACCATAAATTATTCAATTTAATGGAACTGAATCGTAAAGATTTTTGCAACTTTTTGCGCTCGACCTGCTCCATTTTCACACATTAATTTTACAATTAGTGCTTCACAAAGACAACATTTCGTCCTCAAATTAACGTTTTGGTGCTACAAAAATAAGATTTGAAATGATGATTTTTTTGTTAAACGACAAATTTTTTTTTAAATTTTGATGAATTGAGCTCAAAAATGCATTTTAAATTTTTAAAGAATCCCAACTTGGCACATTTTTGTTTTAAGTAAGAGCAGGAAATACTCACATGCAAAATTGCGCTTTTTAAAAAATATTTCTACAAATAAAAAATGTTCATGATAAATCAAATGCCACTAATTTTTGGTGTTTATATAATTGTTAATATCAATTATATCTTACAATTAAATTTTTAGTAAATATTATTCATAAGCAACATTTAAATGACTTGAGTTTATAAATTTAAATTTCACACTTTACAGGAATTTGCCATCGCATTATGATTTACTCAAACAGTATTTTAATAGCAATGTTTTCTGAGCTATATATTTTTTATAATTTTTAATTTTTTTAAATCATAAATTCATATCAATGAATGCAATCTTTTTGATCGATTATCTTTCTCTGCATATATTTTCAATGTTAAAATTTTTATTACTTCACCCTCGGGGGCCGATTTTAGGCCACCTGGTGCGTGCGCTGGTACGAAAAATAATTCGCGCTCGATCGATGGCGCGGCTGTTATAAATAATTTTATTTCACTCCGTATGCATGTGTGTGTGTGTTCTTTGCCTGGGAATCTTTTGTGTTTTCACTGACTGCGCCCCGTCTGTCCATGTGTCAGTCAGTAAGTCTGATTCAGGAGGCACGCAACGCGCAGAGCAGGTTTCCAGACGGCCGCGCGATTGTCTTCGTTTTGATGGGAAAGCATTTTAAATCACACGCCAGCAACATTTTTATTCAGTTTCTCATGTTTCACGAGAGCGGGGCAGAGCAAAGAGAGAAACGCGAAATGCGCCGCGGACGGAGAAAGAGAAACGAGCAGACGATCTCTGTGGCAGCCGCAGACGAGATGACTTTTCTCTTCGATCGCATTCATCATGTGGGAATTTGCCACGGAAATAGAAATAGAATGAGATGAACTTTCTGGTATAATTAAAGTCTTCGCTGAACTAAAATTTTAAAATTTCAATCGTTCAAATACAAATAAACGCATTAGTTATAAATATCATCAGGCAGAACATAATATTCAACTGTAGCTAATATGTAAACATTTTCTTCGAATTCAATTTTCTTATGGTTTTTTTTTCTAATAAAAATTTATACAAATGTTTTTTATAAATATATAATTAATTTAATGGATTCAAATGTTTCTTATAATTAATGTTCAGAATCATTTTATTTTCTACCGGAAAAAAATGTTTCAAGCCATATCTAATTAGCAGCCGGTTTTACAATCAGGGTTGTTGGCTCTCTTTTTACTGATTTATTTTTACAATCGACGTGTGGAGGAAAAATGCGGCGCAGAAAAGAAAATTGCTCCAACCGCAACAACTTGAAGCGCGCCGCGAGCCGCGCACTTTTATGGCTCGAGAAAACGAACGACGGACAATTTGCATGCAAATTAATTTGTTATTTCTGCTGGAAATTCTTGCTCGTTTGCATCACGACGAGAGAGCCAAAACTTGAAATTAAACTCGGAGATGCAATTAGAAATTTCGCAAATTTCTAGGCCCGCTGCAGTGGAATTCCGATTGGCAAAGAGAGCGTGCGTGATTTGCATTCAAGGCTCGTTGTTTAGGGTCACGCGCTTTGTTTTCAGTACATTAGTTGTTGGCAAACTGCATTCATTATCAGCGATTATCATTAATGAATTACAATGATATGTATACACATTGCTACAGTGCCGATTAATTATACGTGATGGTATTTGAGGAAATATTTTAATGGAAAATTGTTTCCATTTAAAAAAAAAGACAAAATTTTAATTTATTCGGGTATTTATTGAACCAGATAATTCTAATTTTCATTGTAAAAATCTTGAGCATATTAAAAATAAAAATAAGTAAATATTTAAGTATACAAAGATCAAATTTTTTATTAACCAAAATGATGTGCTTGTTCATTGAACATGACAGAGAAAGATTAAAATTCGCACTGTGAATCAAAACTCGTTTTCGTCTCCCGACCAGTTGAAAGTGGATTTTTGCCCTTTTCTCGGGTCATCCCGGCGTGCGTGGACAACAATGGGCAGCGGCGACGCGCGTGCCAGAAGCGTCGAGACGGCTTGGCGACCCCTGCGCTATTTTGGTCGCGAACGTCAACCGCGCTCGCGGCCGACGAGCGCCGCATTCCTCACGCGGGCCGAGCCAATTCATTTCAGCTGCAAAAGGAGAAAAAAGTGAAAGTTCTGCTGCACTTGCAACCCGGCGATAAATCGGAACGCTCTGTAGCTTGCGACAGGCGGACGCGCCGATAATAACGTAACCGGTGCTCCAAGTGAAGCTAAAATTGATTCGCCTTAACTAATCAGTTTGGAATTTCAAGTGGGAATTGCCATTAACAGATTTAAATCGATCAATCACTTTAAAAACACACGACAAACACACGTGATTTAATTGTAATTTCTCTGTAATTGTTTCTTATCAAATCATTTACTTTCATTTTTTTCTCTCAATATATTTTCGTGTCCTCTTCGCGTGGAATTTCGGAGCGATTGGTGCGAAAAGTTGTGTGTTTCGGAGCCGAAACCGCAAGTCTGAACGCACCAGTTGCGGTACAGGATGCGTTTCGGCCTCATGAGCACCACGTTCGTTTTCCCTCCGGACCACATCCTGTGCTAAGCACCCCAAACCTCTCCGGAATTCCAGAGCCGCAGTCAAAGGGCTCGGCGGGCAGCGACATTTCCCTGGAATCCGTTAAAAAAATATAAGCTCGCGGTCGTGTGTGTCGGGGAAAAAATCTTCCCGGTAAAAAAAAATGCCCCAGCTTCCTGTGTCGTTTTTGTTCCGAGCGCTTTCATCCGTCCCTACTCCATATATACGCAGCTGGAAAAAGTAATGAGTTGTAGAAGTCGTTGGAATTCCTTTAGATCATCCAGCCTCAAATACTCCTTCCTAATTTACTTCACCACATTTTTTACGTTACTCACGAAATTCGCCAATAATTGTGAATCATAACTTAAACATTGACCCACTGTTGATAAAAAAAGAGCACAATATTATTATAGAAACGGTTTACTGTGTGGTAAAGTTATAAGAATAATAGTTCAAGTTTGAATTTTTATCATATAATAAAAGGCGATTTTTTTTCCAACTTTTGTTACGACTCGTGGTGCATTGAATATTGTATAATGAAACCTTGGAACTTCAATGACAATTAAGTAGTGATATATATGAATAAGTATGAATATTCCGAATTAAAAAAATTCTGGATATTCACTTTCAAGGAAGCAATAAAACGCACAATCCTGCAATGAACAAAAATCGTCTTTTTTTATAAAAACTTGTGAAATACTTTCCTGTTGGCAACACAAGCATAATGGATCCATGAGTGCATCCTCAAAAATAATCCGCATAGGAATGTGCAATAATTGAACTAATCCGCTGACATTGCCAACCGCCAAGCAGCCCTTGCTGCGGGAAGAGTCCAAGGCATTTTATTTCTGCGCCGAGGGGCCGCCGGCGAACAACGAATCTCGCGGCTCCAGAGCCGGCGCGCTGCTGGAATTCCACTCGAAATAGGCCTCCGCGAAGAGAAACAAACGCATGATTCTGTTTCTTTTCTTTCATTTTTCCTGCGTGGACCGATTTTCGTGAAAATTCCCAGCAGAGCAGTGCACCTGTTGCGTGGCGCCGCGGCCGCCGCCACTCCGCCCTCGACGTCGCGGACAGATGAGAGAGGAAGAAATAATGCACGTCGGAATGTTTTTAATGACGCGCGGAGCCTCTATTATTTTTAAGTGCCCTTGCCCTGCTGTCCACGCAGGAATTCCATCCGACTGCTGTGCGCCCGCGCTAGCTGACGAGCCGCCGGAAAATTTAATTGGCGCCGAGTTCCGCGACTGTTGACGTAAAATCAAGTTGAGTTGTTGCCCAACATGACAGATCTCGTAAGATTTTTTTGCAATTTGTTTAAGGACGTCATAATTTACAGAATTGTAATATAGCGAAATTCTCTTCCTTTTATTATTATTTGTTTTTTATTTTATTTGTTTTTTAAAGATTCTTTTTTTTTGTGGTTTCAGAGGTGGTTTAAAAAACTTTTTGCTTTTAATGCTGTTAATTTAAAAAAAAAAAATGTAGTAAGGAAACGCAGTTTCTCAAATTGAATTCGTCATGAATCAATTCTGGATTATGGATTATCTATTACAATTTACAATATATCATCACAACATAATTATACGAAGTCTGTATCCTGTCAAAGTATATTATCTATTTTACCACCTTTTGTAACAACTGCGTCTATCAACGCCTTTGCTCAGTTGAAATTCATGCTTTTATCCTATTAAGATTATTTTTATTTTGATTTCAGCGGTTATAAAGGAATTTGCATTGTAATTTGATCCAAAAAGTTTTATCAGATAATGCTTTGTTTTGGCAATGCGGATTGCGATCTGACTCGGCATCATTTTCCACGAGGAATTCGACGAAAACATTTTGCGTAAACGCGGAGAGTCGTGTCGGAATTCGCGTTGCCTCGAGTGAGTAACTCTCTTGGCGCAGATGATATCAGCGCAGTCGCGCGCGGATGAGGTCAGTGTTTTTTCGCCTCGCACGCAATTATTGCAAGACGACTACTACTTTTCTGCTCGACGTCGCGGAAACTGCGGTTTAAAAAAATTCCTTTTAACTTGATGTGCATGGAAAAGAAAAGGGGGATTCCTTCTCTGGTTCCTTCCTCTGAGGGAGGTTTGGGAACAAAGACCCTTGTGTCTGCCGCGAGTACAAAGAAGGGGAAGCACGCGAAGAATTTGACACGGATTCGTGGAATTGTGGCCGGGCTTCTTGGAAAACGCAAGAGGGACGCGATAAGAAAGAGAATTAAGAGGCATGGTAGCCAGATGCGTTTGAGGCGAGATGAGCACCGGGCAGCAAACAACACAAGGGGGATTCCAGTCTTGTTCTATTGAAAAAACAGACTCCCTTTGAAACCTCACAAAGTAAAGGCGCAATTAGTTCAAGAAAAGAAAAAAAAGCAATATAAATCATCGGAATGTAGGTCATACAAACTTTAATAATTTATGCACATTTTAATTCGGTGTAAATCAGATTTGTTTATTTCAAATTTAATTGAATTTGTTATTAATAATTTTTTTTATAATCGTCCAATAATTTCACAAAAAATGAAAATGAAACATTAGAATAATCACATAAGTGCTGCTAAAGAATTTCCCACCCCCACAACTGGTGTACCAGTTGTGCTTCCACCCCCACATGGCACCCCATGGCGAGGGGGTTGCGTGTTTTTAATTCTCCCTGCGCCAGCTGGTCCCCAACTTCCCGACCCTGACCTTCTTTCCTCCCTTTCCGCTGCTCCACGCGCGTTTTGTTTGCTGGGTTGAAAAAGAGCAATATGAGCCGCATTCCTGGCTGATCGCACCCATCTGCGATAAGGCGACAGAACTCGTGGGCGTGCGTTATCAGCAGCCTTGGCATTCCTTTTAGCGTTCGTCACCTAACTAGCAGCTGCTCGCAATCGGCTCAGCGACACGAATTCTGCACTGTTTCCTCTATCTAGTGCAGTGGGTTATAACCGAGGAAAATAAAGAAAATTATGTTGTAGAAATTCACGATCGAGGGTTGAATTTGAAGTCGGCTTTTCCTTGATGGGTTTTTGCGAGTTAATTATTGTTTTTCTTCAACAACAAAAAACCCATCAAGGAAAAGCCGACTTAAAATTCAAATCTTCATAAAGGAAATTAATTGAAATTCCAAAAACTTTCATCTTATTATTGCAACAAAGAGTTTTGGAAAACAAATAAAATGAACTGGCCCTAAATTGATGTAATTAAAATGGAATTAAACAAAAATTGCTATTAAATCCTTGGAAAATTTCGTGGTGGAACAAAAGTTAAATTATTTTCCTTCTGGATTCGTCGATCAGATGGTGCGCGTTTCGGGCAATAAAATGCTTGGCATCCGAGGCTGCTATTTTTACAGCCGGCCTCTCAACTCCATGCGTCTCTCGGAGGGTGATTCTTTTTCTTAGCTATTCTGCGCTTATCTCGCCATAGCAGCTGCCGCTTTTTGCTACCTCACCCTGAAAAGAAAGACGGCGGCAGCGGGTGGGCGCCCTGCTTCCTATTAAAAGCCGTGGGAAAATTCTTGTGCATCTTTTTACTGCCGCTAAGAACAGCAAAATGCACTTTCTGCAGCGGAAGAAAATTCGCCTGAGGAATTTTTCACTTCATGCACTCCATTTCTATATTATTTTATCTTCGATCGTATTTTACATTAATGCCGAAATTTCAATAATTTTTCTTTCAATTTCCCCTAAAAAATTTTCCGCGCTCAGTCGACATTATTAAATTTCAGTAATCTTTCTTAATGTGATATGTTTGACAAATCTTTAATCTTCATCCCTTAATTTTTCAGATTAACAAAGCCGCTGAATTTCCAGGACTGCATCGGAAATGAGCTGCCGCTCGGCTGGGAGGAGGCGTACGACCCCCAAATCGGGGTGTATTACATCAACCACAAGAATCGTAAGTTCCTCGCATGCCTGATCAAAAATTAAATAATTTATTAAAACGTGCGCGGCGCACGACAGCCAGCCGCCGCGGCTCTCGCGGGGAAAAAAGCCCGCCTGTCAACCGACTGACTATTTTTACATTCCTATAATCATAATCGGCCGTAGCACTCCGTCCGAGGAATTCCACGCGGCATTTTTTTCTTTATATATACCTTTCATTGGGCCGCCCCTCGAGCGCCTTGAGAGGTTTTTTATTATTCAAATGAGCAGATGGACGGGCGTCGTTAATAAATTTTCCGAATTCTTCGATCCAGCAGCCGACTCTCGTCATTGTCAGATTTTGAGATTTTCATTTTTTTGCGCAGAAACAACGCAGATGGAAGACCCAAGACTGGAATGGCGCTCTGTTCAGGAGAACATGCTGCGAGAGTACCTGCAAACGGCGCAAGACGCCCTCGAGGTGAGTTTGGAAAAAATGCTACATTTTTTTTTAAATTTAGTTTGGATTTGATAAGAAACGAAACATCTCAGAATTTAAATTTAATAGATAATATTTTATTTTCTCCATTTAGTGAAGTTTAAATCGTTCAGTGCATCTCATGAACTATTTAAGTAGACAGGGACGTAAAAAGGGTAATCAGCTTTATGTCCACAATAACAAGGCTTGAATTGCCTTTTTAAGGTTAAATTGGAATTTTCAATCGCCCAATAAGAATCAACTATTTTGGCAACAAAATAATACCTAAGTCCATATTTTTAATATAAAAATAAAAATTTGGCCTAATTCTCCTGAAACTTCGCAACCTGTTTATCAAAACCATATGGATAAAAAAAAGTATGAAAATTCAAGAAGAGAGTACAAAAAAAATTATAAAAATCAACTATTAAGAAATTTAAATGAAACCATTTTAAATTTCTGCACTCTTCCTTCAAATTTATTTCAAAAACAACCGGCAAAAGCGCTTTCAAAGTGAGAAATTTTGAGCAGCAGGCGCCACGAAGCGATTGTTTTGAAAACACAGGATGCGCGTCAAGCAAGTGAAGAGCGAGAGAGAGGTAAAGCAAGTGTCGTGGTTTTTTGCGCGATTTGTGCCCGCTCGGCGCGTAACACCGGCAGCGGCGGCATTATTATTATTTGGCATGATCCGCGCGCGCTCATTATACTACTGCTCGCGGACCGAGAGCAGCAACATCCATCGCGAGTCAGAAGAGCGACTCACTCGCTGGCCGAAGAGAGCGAAGGAAGAATGGAATGCGGCGGCGTTGCCGCGCTTCGGCCGCCCGCCCGCTCGCTCGTCGGCCGGGGTCAACCGCAGCCGTGAGCCAGAGACGCTTTTCGGCGGCGGCAACCGCGACTCAACGACTCGCGGCCCGTGCCGCGCCTGCTACCTGAGTTACGCGGCGGTCCAGCGGCATCGAAAGGGGGTCCGCCGGGGTCCGTAGAGGCACCACGTGAGCGGGCAGGTGGTACCCTGACCGGCAAAAGCACCAGCGCTCACGTGCGACCATATTCATACCACACACGTACCTGGCTGCGATGAAAATTTTGAAAAAAAAATCTACCTGAAATAAGACAAATAATTTTTAGTTCTAATAATTTTTCTTCCGGTAGGACACTTTTTTTATATAGAGAATGAAGAAGCATAATATGTAATTGAGAAAACTTTTTAATTTTTATTTTTTCAAATTTTGCTCCTTTGTGCTGTTTTTTTTTTTTTTAAGTTTTCCCTTTTTTTCAATTTTTTTTATTTTTCCGGGATCATGAAATATTTTAAATTTGCTCCATTTTATTCAAGATTATCAAATGAAAATCGTCAAGTATATCTATAAAAATATTAATAGACAACGGATAGACAACAGCAAATATATGTACTCAAAAGTCTTGGTTATTTAAAATATTTTAAAACCAAGAAACTGCCCACAAGTTCTCTATAGTCTTGCCTGATTATTATAATTATTAATCTTCTTTTGCTTCTCTTAATTAATCAGTTATTTTGTGTTTGGTTTACTTCACATTTTTTTACAAACCAAAACTTTGTTATTTGTTATGTTAAAAGTTAGCATTAATTAATTTTGAAACTTGCCTGCCTTTTTGATTACACAGAAAATTTTTTTCACCCTAGAAGCGCACAAAATGCAGGTGCCATTTAAATTTTAGTTCATTTTTTGTCATAATATTCATCCTGTTTACAAACTGCGCATATTAAAATCTGTGAATCTTCTCACCAATTTGGACTGATTGGAACTGGGCTCGGCGTGTTTTGTTTTTTAATTCATTTTATTTTTTAGGCAAAATGAATCGCAAACTGCGCTGGGAGTGCTGTATAATTTCCATAAAAGAATATTGCTAATAACTGGTTTCGAGGAAAGACGATGGTGCCTACAGGCCTGCGTGCGGCGACTCCTTCTTTTCCTTCCTTGTTTACCTTCGGGCGGGGTTTGTTCACCACCTGCTTGTGCTTCACAAGCAGGAAAACAGGACGCTTTTCCTGGCGCGGCCTGAGCGCGGGTTTGTCGCACTCCCCCTTCCACAAGGTCACTCGGCAAGGTCGCCAGACAGGGATGATAAATAATAAATAATAGACGCGCAATGCCTCCCCCTTTCCTCAGCTCCCGCGTGCGTCTCTCCATATAGATAATTGTGTAGTAAAGGGAAAAAGAGAGCTCAGGCATGCGGATAAAAAATGCAGCAACAAAAGATTCGATATGGTTTCCCTACGTCACAAAGCGCAAGAATGCTCTTCCTCATTTTTTGCTTCCTTCAAAGAATGGGCTTTCTTTTGTTTGTGCATATATGAATAGAAAGGAAGGAATTTATTAATACCAACTACTCTTGACTCAGTCTATTGTTTTTAAAGTACATAAACCTATTTTATTATAATTTTTTTTAATCATTGGAGAATTAATCTAGTGTTTCAAAGTAAGAGATGTTTTATTTCAATAATTATGACACGTATATCATATAAATGTAAATATTAATCATTAATTGTAGTGGCAACGTGAATTAATTGACTAGGTGTTTTTATTTGCAGATTTAGATTATGTACATTGAATAATAAACTGTATGTAAAATTAATTTGTTTTAGGCCAAAAAGGAAATTGTGGAAGTCAAGTCGCAGAGACTGTGCTTGGCTCAGGACGAGTACAATCATCTCAGCAGTGCGCTCGGCACTCTCACCACCTCAAGAACGAGTTGTAAGCATTTTTGTTTAATATCGTGACCAATATATTTACTATTTTTGCTGCAGTGTGTTCAAGTTCAAGCAGCATTAGTACAAAATACGACCCTGACCTGCTCAAGTCGGACGTTGCTCTGGCCAAGAGTAGGGTGCAGAGGCTCAAAAGAGAGTTGGAGCAGATCAAGACCGAGGTGTGCTACACGCAAAAGGGGGTTGAGACTCTTGCCTTGTAAGTGATTCAAAAAATTTGTTCCATTTTAAAATTCTCACTGTTTTATTCCATTCACAGAGTCGAGCAGAAGCTTTTAACGCACCAGGCTGGATGCTACAACATTTCTGAGGCTCAGGCCATCTTGGCCGAGCTGAAGAACATTCAAAAGTCGCTGTCACTGGGTGAGAGGGAGAAGGCTGAGCTTATGCAGTCGCTGGCCAAACTGAAAGACGACCTCACCAGGCTACAGCTGTCGGAGAGTTCGCCAGATGTGTCAACGCTGAGCATTCCCCAGGAAAAGCTGAGCACTGCCTCACAAACTGACCTTTCAGTCGAGCCTGCTGTTATGAGGCTAGCTGAGATGGCTAGGATGAGGTTGCAGTACGACGAGGCACGCCAGAGAGTGCAGAACATTCAGCAGAAGCTAGCAGATTTGGAAGAAAAGGTCACTCCAGGGCAGGCCGAGTCAGACAAGGACCGCCTTCTGTTGTTCCAGGTAAATTATTTTTAAATTATTAATTTGCATTTAAAATTTCTTCAAAGGTCTTGCTTTGAATATCAGTTTACTTATGAGTTTGCTTTAATTTTATTAAATAAACTTTTCTTTTTTTCCATCAGGAGAAGGAACAGCTCTTGAGGGAGCTCCGCAGCAACAAAAAGCACAGTCGTTCGCAGCAAGAGGTGAAGGATATTGAGGCGCAAATTAAGCGGCTTGAGCAAGACCTTAATGATGCCATGGAGATGTCCAATAGGGCAATTGCCGACCGGTTGCGACTTCACGAGGAGAAGCAGCTTCTACTACAGCAATTGAAGGATGGTCTTCGAAACATGGCCATGTTAGAATCGCAGCTCAGAACACTTTCGGCGTCCACACTAAGTGCAAGCTCAAGTTCAAGCCTTGGCTCTCTGAGCACAAGTAGCAAGGCCAGCAGCAAGGGTTCGCTGAGTAGCAGTCTCAGTTTTACTGACATATACGGAGGCCCTCAGTGCACTTCCACCGAGCCCATTGACATGGTCGATCTTCACAGAAGAGTTGAGCGTCTTTTGCAAGGCAGCTCAACATCTTCCGAACTCGCACCCACACCCCACTCTCAGCCGTCCCTTTCACCAAGAAGTTCATTGTCCGTTTCGCCCCCTGTGTCGCCTTATGATCTTGGACCTCCTCCAGCGTACGACCAGGCCTACCACAGGGTAGCACCACCCGCACTAGACCGCACTCAGCTTGTTGACAAACTGGCTGAATTGCGGTTGCATCAAGCGGGACCCAATTTCCTGCCAGTGCCACGACCAAATGGATTGGTACGTCCGAATGTGCCTCTCGTCGACTTAGTTGACCTGAACAACATGTCGCAAGGGTCAGGCCTTGGACGGCCAGGCCGCAACTTTGACTCTGTTAGTCTGAGCAGTGACGTAACAAGTAATCCACCACTATCGCCAATTTCGGAGATGGTGCCTGATGTCTGCGAGTTATCGTCAAATGGAGGGCCCTCTGGCTCAAACACAAGATCGGTCTCGGCCGCAGTCAGTGATGAGTCCGTGGCCGGCGACAGTGGCGTCTTTGAGGCGGCTGCCAGCAAAAAAGGATCTGGTCTTAACGAAATGAACCTCGAAACTGCTCAAGTCCAAATCAAATTAAGGTAGAGCAATAAGTGATTTCATTCGAAGTGAATATAATTAAAATTGAATTTGTGAACACAGGTACTCTGTTAATGATAGTATGCTGTATGTTGGAATTGAAAGAGCGAGAAATCTGTCAGCCCTGTTCATCCCTGAGAATTGTAAAGTGTAAGTTGACTTTGAATCTTGCTAAAAAAAAAAGATAACTAACAAATTTAAATCCTTTTTCAGTTGTATAAAAGTTGCCCTGCTGCCGTCCAGTTCTTCTTCCATGTCTGCTGGTTGCACAAAAGCAGTCGAAGACTTGAAGAAACCTTCTTGCGGGGAAAATTTCCCCATTCCTGTGCCTCTAAGCAAGCTGTGTGCCAAGACACTGCAAGTAAACGTGTGGTGTATTAGACAAAATTGCCAAGAAGAATGTGTGGTGAGTTTCTTAGAACACCACAATTTTATGAGATTATTAAACTTTACCATTTAATTAACAGGGTTCTGCTCAAGTGAGCATGGCTGACTACAACCCTGAAATGGTGTCCACCAAGTGGTACAACGTTCTCAGCTTCCGGTTTATGCAGCCAGATCAGCAGAATGTGGCAGAGTCATCATCAGTTAGCGGTGTGCATGAAAAACAAGAAAGTGAGATTAGCATGGGCCGTGCTGGCGCGCCTGTCAAAGAAGAAAGCAGTGACGAGTCTACCATCATCTCTTCCCAAACTTCGACCCTCACCAGAAACCAAGGTAGCCAAACTTGAATTAAATGATTAATTGTGCTTAACTCTGGCATTCAATTGTAGGAGCGGGTGGATTAATGGGTCCTGTGGACGTCCAGTTGCTGGAACTGACTGCAGGACATGGTGAAGTGGAAGAGGAGGTGGTCAGTGATGACGACGAAGAGGACGAGTCAGACGACGAAATTAGTCATGAAGACATCATTGAAGAAGTTGATGAAGAGACGGTTGAGACAAAGGACCAGGAGACTAACACTGAGTGTGTTTTCATTCCGGAGAAGGGCGCTAGAAAAAAGAGCACCGACGACTCTGCCCGTGCCAAAATCATTAAAAGATCGCAAACCTTCTCCCCCAGTGCAGCTGTTAGCAAGAACCAGTACATTTGCAGGGTGAGTTGATAAAAAAAGAGATTTTGGGCAGATTATAACTGTTTAAAATTCTGAATTTGCAGTTGAACAGAAGCGACAGTGACAGCTCAATGCCTCTGTACCGGCGTTCAAGTGGAGTTGCCTTCCAGCGTAACTCTGTTGAAAGACGATCCCTGCGATGGAAACACCCCCCGGTGTCTCCTCAGAGAGCAGCCTCAGCCGCTTCGAGGCACCCACGCACTTCCCTGGACCTCGAGCTGGACTTGCAGGCCCAAAACACCAAGCTGCAGCAGCTGCAGGATGAAATCCAACGGTTAAAAGAGCTGAAAGACCGCATGGAAATGGCCAAGACGAGCAGGGACTCTGACAGCGCCGTATGGATTCTTGAGGATGAGCAGTTCCAGCGATTCATGGTGCAGGTAAATCATCACATGAGAATGTGTTGAATTAGGATGATTAATTTGTTCTTGGACCAGGCTGAGTCTGAGAAGAGGCCAAAGACCCACGATGAAAAGAGGGTGGACAAGATGATTAAAAAGACGTCCAAGGAATTGTACAAATTGCGGAAGAGTAGAGCTGGACAAGGAAAGCCAGACGTCATTTCATTCAAGTGAGTTTATTTTTTTTTTTAGATTACTGTGGAAATACTTTCAGATTTATATCCATGTATCTAAAATTAAATATATTAACTTTTGCAGGGAGAAAATGGCATTCTTCACAAGAACAAACCTTAATGTACCTGTACTGCCACCCGAGGACAACCTCTCCGAAGACTGCAATTCCGACAGTGGCACCTTGAAGCGTGAGGACAGCGAGAGCATCCATGGTGTGATTATCGAGGAGGAGCGAGTTGAAAGATTTGAGTATGTCATTGACCGTGAGCTTGGCGTTGAAGTCTAAACTGCAATTAACTCGCAACATAAAAGAGTCCATTTTTAGGACCACATTCTTGAATTTTGACCTGCTGTGACAGCTCTCTAAAAAGTTAGGAAACATTTAAATATTTCCCTCCGAGAACTTTGGTCCGAATGCATTTTGTGCCTTGCAGCTTGCCATAAAATAGTTGTTTTTTGCGTCAACACCACCGAGTTGTTAAGATCTTGTTCTTGCAACAACCTTTTTGATGAAACTGCCTTGATTACTCTTATGAATTATAAGTATGTTTTTGACTCGAAGTCGTTTGATAGTTATGATTGGTGCCTATTTTGTTTTTTACAAGAAACTTTCATGTTTGGTAAGCTAATTTATGTGTAAAAATAGCATTCCTTCTTTCGAAGAGATCTGAGATTAAACTTGTAATGGCCTTTGCATTCTTTGCATTGATGTATAATGCACCGGCAAAAGGAGGGTACCCACGACTTCTGCTTTTAGGCAGCATTAAGTATTCAACTTGTTGACAAGCGTTTTGGAAATTTAAAATAAAAATTATTAGTGCCTCGTATTAAATTTTAAACTGTTGCTCAATTGGATTAATCAATCAGCGTTACCAGTTAAAATTGAACTTTATAAAACTTAAATTGTTGCCTCTTATACACTTAATTGATAATGTCTGCGATCTGACTACACAAATTTATAGCAAATTTATCATGTATATGTTTGTCCCTTTTTAAGGACGCTCAAAAGTAAACGCAGCAAGGTTAAATATTTTAAGAGAGCTTAGAAAATCTTGCAAGTTGCAAATCCTTATTGAAATGTTTGTAAATAAAAGTAATTTTAATTGAGGGCTTTCGAATTCTAATTATGCTATGTTATCGCAATGATTGGCAAGTTCAGTGCCTTCTTACGCATGTTGTTGTTGTCCAATTTAAATCCCAAGGGCATGAAGTGTGGCAAGTTATGTTCAAAGTATTTCCTGGCGAATTTCTCATCTTGTCATACAATCAAAGTACTACTCGCCTTGACGACTTGCCTTATGACTTGAATGAAGAGCTTCTGTGTTGTTGGTTGGCTGAGTTATTTTCTATATTCTCTCTCAACAATTGTCTAAATGTGTAAAATAGTGAATGGATATATTATTATATATTTGTTGTACGCAGCTGTCTGAAACTATTTTCAATCGCCGTATAATTTTGTATAGCTACGTGTAAATAGCAGAATAAAAAGATGCAAATTACATTATTTATGAAAAGAGCTATTGGCTTATCTTTTTTACCGAGTATTTCCCTAATGTTGCAGTATAATTTAAAGAAAGTATACTCATGCTTGCATTTAAATATGTTTATTTACAACAGAATCTGCTTAAGTCTTTCGCAAAAATATTTGTTAAAGAATCTTAGAAAATAGGCAGTCCTTAAAACAATAAAATAGTACTTCATAGAAAAATATTCTCCATAAAAATCATTTAAAGAATTCGTCCTGATTAAAATTTTTGGTTGATAAATTGATTCATCGTAACGCACGATACCTTTGTCCCTTTTGGCAATGAGCTGGGAGCTGTAATTTTCCAAATATAATTAGTTAAAAAAATATTAAAAAGTATTCCACTTACAGCTGCTCCAATCCTTGATAGATATCTGTTCCTGATATGGAAGTCGGAGCGCTGCAAAAGATCCTGCGGAGAAACATCGTCCATTGCACCAGAGGCCAATAACTTCTCCCTTTCCAACTCGGCTTGTTCACTAATTTTTATTTATTTACACTCAAATCTCTATACTAAACCAAAAATAATTACTCTCTCTGTTTCTCCCACGCATCTCTCTGCTTTGCACTCATGTTCAACAATCCATCTCCATTGGAATCAATAATCAAGATGAGTACGCTGATCAAAAGAGCAACTAAATATATTTCACAAGTTAATTAAAGTCCCTCATCAAATAAAAAATTAACATACCGCAGAGCCATCCCAGGAAGAACATTTCCAACAAAAGATATCCTCCTTTGTCGACGATGACACCAGCCAGCATTGTGACCAATGCGAGTCCTAAGTTCTGCACGGCTTGAGCTCTAGATTTAATTAGCAAATTGAAAAATTAGAAGATCTAAAAAAAATTAAAATTACATTCCGTAAGCAGTTCCAAGCTGGTGGTCCGGGATGATAAGGGCCACCATGGGCCAGAGAGCGCTGGCGAGCATCGAATAGGAGACGCCCATGCAGACCATTGCGATGTACGGATTCAGGAATGTGAATGCCAGCAAGGCATGGCATCCGAGTGTTGAAACAATGGAGATCAGCACCCAAAAAGCGTTGCGACCCACTTTGTCCACCAGGAGGCCTAAAAGGGGCGACGCCACTGCAGAGATAATGAACACCAGGCTGTTTACGAAGTTGGCGTCCTGTGGCGGCATCTCAAATTTCCGCATGAAAAACACTCTACAAAGATTTGTTAAAATTTAGTTACAATTTTCTCAAAGAATTCTCACTTTCCGAGGGCAATAAAAGGAAAAATTGCCAGGTAGTAGGAAACACAAATTCCAGCCACCATCCAAAAGGTGACGGGGAAGTAACGGACATCGCCAATGCGCACAACTTCTTCCGTTCCTGTTGAATTCTGACCTCCAAGGTACCTCTCACGTCTTTTGTCCAGCACAGTCAAACCAAGAGCAGAAACCAAAGAAAGGATCGTTGTTGCAGCAGCTGAAAAAAAAATCATTATTGGGGGAGATTCAATAGACCTATTTTTTTTTTAAATTTGTAAATTCCGAATGAATTAGGATAAAAACTTGAAGGCAGGATAAAGAAATATTTACCCTGGGACAGCAGGATAAAATTTATCCCTTCGGATTTATCTCGGAATGATGGGGGTTTATTGAATCTCCCTCATTAACTTTTGCTTTTGAAAAATTTCAAATTACCGATAAATAAAACAACTCCCAAACAGGTGTAGCCGTGGTAGAAGTGGTTGACCCAGTTATAAAGAGGCTCCATGACATTAAAGTTGACTGTGGAGCCGACTCGAGCAAAACTCAATTGAAGACCAAAAACCATGTTCAGCTCTTTTCCCTTGAACCAGAGCACTGCGTAGTTGTTTTGAGCCACAGCTAAGGACTCACCTCCAATGCTGGAAAGCTCAAATTTGATTAAACCCAATTTTATTACTGCCAATTAACTTACCCGAAAATAAATCTGCCAACGACCATGAGCCAGAACTTATCCAAAACTCCACCCAGGGCAAAAACAAGTTGGCCAATAACGACCAGGAAAGAATAAATAACTGTGCCCAGACGAATTCCGAAGACCCTAAAAAAGAAGAAAAACGGTATTATGGAAACCAAATATTACAATTTTTTTCTTTCTTAAATTTAGATTTTTTAACCAATTTTTTATAAAATATTATTAATTATTTTGATAATTCAATCCCACCTGTCAATCAAAAAGCCTCCGACAAAGCAGAGCACCACGTTGGGCCATGAATACCAAGAGTACAAATAGACAAACTCCGTTGTGGTCAGCTGGAGGTCATGCTTGAAGTAGTCTTGCAGGGCGGCTGGATTATCGTAACAAAAGTATGAGCCTGAAATAAAAATTAAAAATTGAATCAAAGGTTGCTGTTGAAAAAAAAGTATTGATTTTACCAAAGCCGAGGATGCACATGAGTAGAAGTGCACAGGCCCTGCTACTAATGTGGGCCGGACTGCAGCAGGTCGCATTATTTTCCGATCTCTGATCATCATCTAGGACCTGTCGACGCCTGGAGGGTTCAAAATCTATCCGGTCAGGATCTTCCATCCCTCCTTCTGAACGAACCCTGCTAAATTATGTAAAATATAAAGGGAAAACAAAATCTTTTGTTCCATAACTGCAACTGGTGGGAGGATTATTTGTGGGGGCGAAAATGAGCCCAGAATTTTACCTCTCTCCGCTTTTTTCGGTTCCAAAAATTACTCAGGTTCACTTCCGTAAGGTCTCGGAGCGACCGGCATGGAAAAGAGGCCGATTTCCGATCCGGATTGAGGAGCCAAACAGGGACAAAATCACGAGATCATTTGTTATTACTCATCACGCAGTTGTCATACAAGAGACACCAGACACCTACCACCGATACCAACAACTACAGCTGGCGAGGTCACGTGACCACTACATTGCGCAGGGCTTTCAGCACAGATTTCGAAAGCTGCAACCCGCGTCACATTGGCAACTCGACAGTTGCATACATTCCAGATGCAAGACAAAAATCGCTAAAATCTTTTATTATTGCTCATTGAAACTTTAAAGAATGTGATTATTTTTTTCGGTGCAAATGGTAATTTTTTTATGCAGAGAGGTAAACATTAAAAGGTTGGAATAGTACAGAATAGTAGATTATTTAATAAATTTGAATGTTTTTTTGTTTAATACTTCCCACAGAAATAATGGCTGGGTTTTATTTAAACATAATTAAGTAATTAATCATAATTAATGAACTTTATTTATTTAAACGTAATTTTTCTGAATCTAACGTATATAGACAAAAATTGAAATTATTTTAACAAATAACTGTTTACCTGTAGACCATTATTTTATATATTTATTTAAAATTATTTATTATTGGAATAAATGGAATGTTTATTAAACACAATAGGTGTACCACATTAAGATACATAAATTAATTTTTAAAAGTGGCAGCTTCTCGCGGGCTCATTTTCTTCACTAAGCAACTATTTATAAAATATTTTTTTACTAATTGACGTGTCTTTTATCTTATAATAGACAATAATAGATTCAAATATTTAAATTGATTTTTTTTTTATTCTGTGCTGGGAAATTAAGCTGAAAGTTGCCTATTTTTTATTTTCTTAACAATTTTGTGTTGCGATTTTTTTCATTCATCATCCCTCTTGGGAAAGGCACCAGCGATAGCAAACAGGCCTGCTAAATCGCAAGGGCCGATAACTTTCGGGGACTAACTTGGGCCTGGTAGAAAGGAAAACGGGATTGGTTTGATTATTGGGAATTTGTTCGCAAATTTGTGCCACCAAGAAAAAAAATTAATTTTAATTTTGCACATGCGTTCAATTATTGAAAAATGATGGATTGATTGGTCTCTGTATTTTGCCTGTGGACTGTTGTTGGAGTGAAAAGTGATCAATCAACGCGGCCGCCACCGACTTCAGAGAGATCACAAAGCTTTCAAATCAAATCCTTGCTCGATGACGCGGCAAAAGTTTATAATGTGCAAACAACAGTCACTCCCGAAATTTGAATTTCAATCATCGCGCAAACGTCAACAACAAGATTGCGCAATCATATATTTTGTTGTCAACAAATATTTTTTAATTATTTCTGCTCAACAGATGGTCCCCGTTGCTGAAATCGCGGTCGTGATCAAAACATCAAATTGCCAGAAGAATGAAATAAATAACAATAAATAAAATGTCTTCTTGCAGCAACGAGGACAATAACGCATACATGTTGACAAGCGAAGGATGCAAAGTGAGTTCTGATGAATGAGTCATGAGAGTGATCCTTCTCCGCTCCAGATGAGAAATGGAAAAGTTTCTGTGCCGCGAATTAAAAAATTCCGAAACGCGTTACGTTCGGTCTTACAGCTCAGCAAGCAGCACAATAATGCACGGCGTTTGTCGCAAACAGATAAGCAGATGCAAAGCAGCGTGTTTCACAAATGGTCGCGCTGCTGTGTGTCTGCCATACGTAATGAGCGCCGCCCGAGAGTGCTGATTAATTCCAAATATGGAGAATCACAGCCGCGCGGCTTACTGATTTTAGTCCAAGGCCTCTTCCCCAGCAGCGTTCAATCTAGCTGCGCTCATTGTCAGTCCGACTGCGCTTTTTGCTCATTTTCTGCACCCGACTTTTTCAACAGTGTGCTCATCAACACGTTTGCCACTTACGCAGTCATATAGTTGATCTGACGATTACTCTTTTAGGGTAGGCAGCTAAATAAAATTAAAGAACACAAAGAATAAAGCATTTATGCCTTTTACTCTGCAATACTGATAAATAGGGTTGTGAAACTTAGACGCTTTTTTTGCCTAAAATAGTCGACTTTTTTTAGACACTTTTTTCATAGAAAAAGACTGTTTTTAGACGGTTTTTATCCAATTTAGACGGTTTTAGACTGTTTTTCCAAGGTTGAAAATTTGGCTTGTAAGAAGTCGCCGAGGGTGGATCTAGGGGTGAGGGGGTAAAAATCACTGTTCACCAAAACTAGCTAGAAATGCTCAGAATGACCTGTCCGAGATTTTAAGATGGTTGCCAGAAACCATGAAATTTTTTGGTTCAACCCCAAGTCCCGAGGGTGGATCTAGGGGTGAGGGGGTAAAAATCACTGTTCGCCAAAACTAGCTAGAAATGCTCAGAATGACCTGTCCGAGATTTGTAGATGGTCGCCAGAAACCATGAAATTTTTTTTCAAGAGAATGCGCGGTAAACGAAAATCTGTTCTCTTTCGAATATTTTGTGCACCGCAGGAGACGAAATGGTGAGTTTTAGACACTTATAAACTGTTTTAGTCGATTTTTAGACGATTTTAGACGGTTTTGGGCGTTTTAGACGGTTTTAGACGATTTTAAGTGGGTGTCAATCGTCTTGAAATTTCATGATTCGTGCACATTTGATGAATTCAGGCCAAACCAAAGCCCAGAAAAAAATAGTCGATCGTCTAAGTTTCACAACCCTACTGATAAATGTTATGAAATGTTTTTTTTTTTATTAAATTTCTAATAGATTCACATAAGACTTATTAATTAACGGTTTTAGATGCTGTGATGTTTCCTTAGGATGAATTTTTCCGAAGAAAAGGAAAATTATTTATTCAATTTAAATTAATAAGTTTTAAAATATAATAAATTGCTATTAAAAGCAATTAAAATTATGAATTTAATTTAAGATAAAATAAAAAGATATAAACTAACAGTTATTAAAAGTTACAATATCGAAACCTCAAGTTATACTTTATACAATTTTATTATTTACTGTAGAAACATGCTTTTTTTTAATTTGTCTTTATTGCATCTAATGTAAAAAGTTCAATTTTTTTTTTTAAATTGCTTTTCACCATTATTACAATTGAATTAAACAAACTTTTAGCGGATTTATTAATCTCTTGAAAAACATAAATTAAACCAAGTTCATGAGTTTGATCAGATTTGTTAAAGTAAGTATTGCTATACTTTATATAATAAGCTCATTTGATTCTTCACGAGTGAAATTTTCTGCGAACATATATTTAACAGCTGAAATTATAAAGTGCTTGAATATTCAAAAATCCATTTTTTACAGCCACGTCCCTGATGGTGAAAAAGTGTGCAGTTACTAATCGTCAGGCGGCCCAAAATAAAGTGCCCTCTCCACCAAATAAGGCGCGCGATTTTTTTACTTGACGGCCGGCGCGGCGAGAAGCGAAGTAAATAAAAGTTGTGCCGAAACGGGTGGACAAATGCAAAACGAACGAGCGTAGAATGGAGCGTCCGACCCTGGAATTAATAACGATCCGGTGCACTATGACCCAGATCTGCAAACATGCCGGCCGCTCAACAGTTGTGGACACCTAGCTCTCCGCAGATCAGACCGACGTGTCTGCTGGTATTTATTTCTCCGAGAGGCGGAGAGTGACAAACGCAAATAATATTTATATATGCGCGTCCAATTCTATTCCACTCGATTCAACCCGCTCGGATTTCTTTTCTTGTGCTCAATTCGTCTTCGATGAGATGAATAATGGATGAGCGCTGAAGGAAAAATAACGCAAATCATTCTCTCCTGCAAGTTTAAATTTCAACCGAGTTTTTTTAACTGCAGAAAATTGCAAGCTATTTTTTTCCAATCGAAGTAGAATAACTAGACGCATTAAAGTAAGGATGGGTGCTCACGATTTGCCGATTCATCTCTCGTTACGAAAATCCGATGAAAGCCCATGCATCAATCCGCGCCTGCCGATTTACAATTGATTTATTGCCGTATGGCAGGGAATTGTCTCGTCTTTGTTGCGGATTAAAAGGCCACGAGATTGGCTCACAACACTGCATAATACAATATTAAGCGTCAGTGTGGCGCCTAAACAAAAGAATTGTGCCTCTCGCGCGCTTTCGCGGTTCAGTTGGCTTATCTTTACCTGCCATCCGATCGCGCTCTCAATTACGGCCCAATTTGCTAATTTCAATCTATGGCCATCGGTCATTTGTATGTACGCGAGACGAGGAAGTAATAAATTCAAGCTTTGATAAATCTTCAATACTTTCTGGGTCACTTTGAAAGTTCGAAACCCAGTTTTGATATAAAACAGTTAAGTTGTAAAGCTAGTATTTTTTTATATCAAAATTTAATAAAATTAAATCTCATATTTTAATGTCATTTAAGTTTATAAGTAAAGTACAGTTTCAATAATTTATTGCCTATATGTCAAAAATACCTAGAGCAGCCTGCCTGAAACTAAAAATGCTACTGGCATGTTAATATACAATTTTTTTTAAACTATTTGCCACATGAAAAAATGGCATATATTTGAAGATAATATTTCGTTGAAAAAGTCACTGAAATGAAAAACCTATTTAGAAACAAAAATCAGCTATTTTTCGCAAGAGTATTTTTGTGTCACTTGAAAAAGCAAAAGTGGTCGCAACCGCGGAAAGTGCGATTATGTAATTACCAAGGCGACATCGTGCATGTCTTTTTAAAAGAGCGCAATAATAAATTTTTGGTCCTGCTGGCCAGCAGCTGTTGATGAGTCAGGCGGCTCGCTAGTTTGGTTTCGACGTCACAAGGTCTCGGCGGTGCGCGCCGCTCGGAGAAAGCGACGCGCTTTTCCTTTCACGCCGCCGCCTTTCAGCCCTGATTTGACCCACTCGGGGGTGGCGGGGGTGGCGACCACTTCACATGCGGGTCATTTACACCCTTTCAGAGCGATGGCCGTGATTTAAAGGCGTTCGGGCCTTTTGCAAGGGTAACACGACGCCTGCCAAAGACACGTGCACCACTGAGGCCACCGGCGCGGCGGCCCATCTGCTCGCTTGGCCTCGGCGGCCGAGGCCTTTTTCAACTGCAGACGACCCGCCGCCGGGGTGCTTTGGCCCCCTACGGAAACGCCGGTTGACAAATTCCATATTTTCTCAGAATTTGCCAATTTTGCGAATATCATTTTTTTATGAAGCACGTATTTTACTGGATACAGGATGCAGATATTTTGCGGGGAATAAAACTGAGGATCAAAACTAAAGAATAATTGCAAAATTTTTAGTTTATTTATTAAAAATTTCACATTTTTCATAGTCATTTTTTAAAATTTCAGCAAATTACCTTTTTAATTACGTAAAGATCATAGATTTTCTAGCTTACTTTTACTTACCTTCGAGTAGCAAGCAATTCAATACCAATTGCGGTAACTTTTTAAAGGTTTGAGCGTACGGGAAAGTGCAAAAAAAGTGTCGATGTGTCACTGAAAAAATGTTTTTTCCCCCGTTTTTCGGTAAGAGAGTAAATAAATAAATCTTCTAGCACGTGCTTTTCGCGGCAGTGAGGTTCGTGTAAATCTGAACTTAGGCCTTTAGCCAATCCGAGGCGACCAGAGGCTTCTCTGATTAGTTGAGCACTTGAGCGTTTGCGCAAGACCGAGAGGGCACTTTTCGTCATGGCAGCTGTGATAATGTCTGAAATTTTCAGAAAACGATACTTTGAAGCGGAATTTCGTCGGCAAAAAAGAGAGCTTTGGCCGAATCGACCACGGAATTCCCAAAAGCACATCTCGCTTCATGATTTTCACGGATGGCATCGAGTGGCAACGTCAAGTAAGCGAATTAGTTTGGGTATTTTGGGGGGACTGAGATCAGTTTTTGTTTTTGCTTTACACTCTTTTGTAAACAAAAATAACAAATATTTTTTTTAAATTGTTTATCCCTATTGGGAAAGGCATCAGCGGTAGCACACAGGCCTGCTAAATCCTAAGGCTTTTGCCTTTTATTGGCCTTTTGGCAATTTTTATTATTGAAAAATTATTGTGGAAATCTGCTCGAGAGCTTAATAAATAAATGGGAAAGCGTCGTTCCGCAACCATAATTAAAAGTGGGAAATAAACCAAGTCAAAATAAATAAATTTTTTATGATTCAACGTTGTTGATATAGACGGATCCAATTATTAAAAAACTTTAGAGCCCAAAATTTACAGTTAAATTTAACAATTGAAGTTATTTTTAAATTAACACTTTTATTATTACATTCATAATATAATGTGAACCTAATTTTATTTTAAATCGATATGAATTGTTTAAATAGTTTTAGATTATAAGCCAATTCTTTCATGAGCATTATTTTTGTTCATATTTTAGGACACTTCTATTGCCGTTTAAATTTCAGTTGAATTGTATGTTCAAGTTGACCACATACTATCTTTATCTATATTTATATTAAAGAAAAAATTCCCATTGGGAACAAGGAATGTGGATGTTTAGAAGATTTCAAATTTATTTTTAAGCGTCAATTATATGCATTATCGTTAATATAAGTTCAAGCAAAATGAAAAAAATTACTGAGCTGCTAAAAAAATTGTTGAGGGGAAGTTTTAAGATTTTTATTAAAACATTGGCAATTTTACGCTCAACCAATTGTAGGGATCAAGACTGCAAATCATCACGCTGTTTTTGGGAGTCGATAAATTTTTTTAAACGCCTTATACAAAAAAAAACTGATTGCATGCTTTCTTATAAAGAAAATTGATGTCAGCTAAAATAATTTCTTCTTATTTTTATTTCGCAATGAGTCGCGAAACATATGTGCGAAAATCCTTTTGAAATCAAACGCACCATAAGCTTTCGTCACATTTCTCTCTCCCTTTTTGCTCGCCCGTCGATTTTGGCCGCGCGAAATACAATTTAATGATTTTACGACTGCTAATGCGTTGTCGCGCCGTGCGTATAATTAAGATCGTTGCATTTTCGCAATCGGCCGGCAGCACCGCAAGGTTTGTTATCGTTTTTGCTCTCAACGGCGAGTGTCACCCAATCCTAAGAGAGGCTGCTTTCCTCGCTCTGCAATGTCAACCGAGCACTGGACCTGCTTCTCGCTGCGAGCCCCGAGGACGAAGCAGCGTTTTGTCGCAATTCCACACTCTTTATTTTCATTTGTTTTTCTTTCTCTCTCCCTTTTACGCACACAAGTAAAAATCAAACTCACAAAAGGAGAGTTTCTCAGAACCGTGGGCTGTAAAGCAATCGCCGCGCGATAATTATGCACGCGTTGTGAAATCAATTATGCTCTTTTCCTTGTGCCTTAGCTGTGCACGCATTTATCAACTTGTGCTGAAGAGTTAGTTTTTGTTTGCATTATATTATAGAGTATCGTTTTAAAGCCACCGTCCTACGCAAAGCATTGAGCGAATCGCTATTATGTATTTTAGAAATTAATATGCGCCGTGTGTGGGAATGGCATTTCGCGCCGTTTGAGAGGAAAATTGGTAGCTTGTCAGAAATAATTCCACGTTTTGCTACTAATTGACGAGCAACTCGTCAAACCTGAAGACTTCTCCTTAAGTAGATTCAGGACGTATTAGATTTATTAACTGTGTGTAAATTAAATTTTTCCTGCTCAGTAAATTTACTGCTGAAAAAAAAACGAAGTTCAATTCAAATTAAATATGAGAATTTAAAAAAAAAATCGTGTCTACAAAAAAATTGAATTTGTGAAAATAAATTAATTCTCAATTGAATAAGACAAAATCTTTTATATTTTTAAAAAAGTCTATAAATTAATTAAAAATAATAATATCATAGCAATATAAAAAAGCTAAGTAATTTACATTTTAAAAAAGAGATTGCATGGAATGTGAGAATTTGATAACAGAACAATTTTTAAAAGTCTTTGACACGTCTTATCACATCTCTTTCAATGTTATCTTTTTAGTTGCCACTTTTACATACCAACACTCTCATAAAAATCTTTAATTTGAATCTAAAATATTGAATGATTGGAATCTTAATAGCGAACTAAGTAGCAGTTCCATTCGTCAACAAGCTCCACGATTCTTTTAGTAAGTTAATATAAATTATTATTTCTTTTTCATGTTACTAAATTTTTGTTTCAAGATATTATAGCTATTTAAATTTATTGTGATTTACTATCAAAGTTATTAAATATATACTATGAAATTTAAGCATTTTTTATTAATAATTTATCATTGCAAACTAATTTTTAAACGTATTTTATATAAAATTTAAATTGTTTAATTTATTTATTCATTTTCCATTAAATAGACAGTCATAAATACAGATTTTATTAAAGAAATTGTCATATTATTCTGATTTCTTTTTTTTATAAATTGTTAGTATTTGAACTTTTCTTATAACTGCGTCAAAAGTAATATAATTCGTTGCTTTTATATTGCCTGTAAGCGAGATGTTACAAAAAAAAAAAATTGAAATTCAAAAACTTTTGATTAAAACATCCTTTAAACACTTTGATATATTTTGTTTTTCAATGTATGTAATAAATTTTCCTGATTTTGCCACATTATGCTAGAAGTTGTCCTGTGAGACAAATTGAATGCTCGGTGTTTATTTTTAAAGAAGAAACAACCATTTTATCTTTAAACCTAATATAGGTTTTGTTTTTTAATTGAAGAAACCACAATCAAAACTTAAAAGCAGCATGATTTTTAATCTTAAACATTAGCCTAGAAAAGGTTTACTCTGCTAGGAAATACGATTATTTTGAGCTTTCACTAAAACGTTAGGCAATTCTCGTCTATTAAAGCAAATGATTTTTATTTATTTACTCTGCACAGAGTTCAGAATCGAGCGCAAGAACTCTTATTTTCTTGCGAAGAAACTCGCAAACACAAAGTGCTCCTTTCAACTCAAGTGGCTCTTTGCGGGAGATGGAGATGTGCAATCTCAAATCTCCTCTCGCGAGTGAGTGAGTGAGTGAATCACCGTCGTTAATTTGTCCAGCATCGCTTCAGACTCGAATTCCCACGCATTTTGTCGGCCAAAAGAGACGCGAGTAAGACCGCTGCGATCGCCGGCAAGTCCAACCGAGATCGAAGGAAAATAACACAAAAATATTAAAAAGCGCGCGAGTGCAGTTTTCGCGCCTCGTCTCCGGCGTAAGGCGATATTTTGGCATTGTTTTCTGCGAGAGCCAACTCTCGGCTCGGGTAGCGCACACCGAGAGCACACATACGCGACTCCCACCCTGGCGAAGGCGCGCGGCGATCGCGACCAGGCCTGGCTCAGTCTGCGCCAGGTCGGCACGCGGGCAGCCACGAGAGGAAGTAGCGAGCCATAAGAAAAATACACACGCCGCTTTTATAACCAGTCTGCACAACAAAAGCCACACGGACGCTTATTGGACAATTTTCCTTGTGATACAAATTCAGGTAGGATCTCTACGGACATTTCTTGTTTTAAATTTCGCTCGGGATTTTAATTTGAAGAAAAAAAAACGTGTTCGGCAAGTTTTAAAAAAAATTCTTAGGCGTCGTCGTTAATTTTATAAATTAAGACTTCACAGTGTCAGAGACGGTTCTAGATTAATTAATTCAAATTATTATTAATATTTCTTAGCGAATTTGCGATTTTTGTGACATATGGCTTTTGACTCGCCAAGGCTATTCTGAAGGACGCCCCCAATTCAATGAGGATTTTTTGCTCATAACATAAAACTATTCTTTGAATTGGCAAACAATGGAAATTAATAGATTTCCAGCCATTCAACATTTAACTTGCAGTCTACGCAAAAATCTGAATAGTTGTTAATTACGCTTCATTGCATTCGAGCAAGATGAATTCACATCTATGGAGTGCTCTTTGATCTCATCTTTATTTGCAAATCAAAATAGAAGGTTGATTGACTGGCAAATAATCTTTTTTTATACATTCTCTCGAAGCTCAACAATCAAGTGCGAGTGAACTGCTTTTTCTTTTTCGACCCCTGAAGACTATTCCCAGAAAGAGAAAATGATTTTTTTTGCATCTCAAAGCCATTCAATTGAACGGATTTCTCTTTCGCAGTCGTTGATCCAATCGCGTATAGTTGAATTTCCTGCACTTGCTACCCTTAAATGGAAGAGTCCGCCTTTTGTGAGCAGCTGACATGTAGGCAGCACGTAGAGCAGCAATTAATTTCGAGCTGCATGCTCAGTGTGCACACTTAAATCAATTACTTTGCAAGAAGTGGCACGTAGATCATTCAAATGGACTTTAATAGATTTGTTCAGTCCTATTATGTTTCACTCCACTTCAGAAAATTATAATATCATAATAGTGTACACAATTGCTCTTAAGTATATTCGATTCAAAACAAACTTAACCTTTTTCAAGCTCAAAAGATACACTTTAATTTATTTTATTTAGGCAATAAACTCCGTATATTTCTATTATTAACTCAGAATGGAATTTTTTGTTTCAAAATGCTGAAGCAAAAACTTTTCAAGGCAAAGTTAAATTTAATTTTTTGTTTTATCATGAAAAAGTCACACGTTCATAAGTGATTCAAATCTCTCTCTAAACTGCGTACGCAAAGAGATTCTATCTTTCCTTGTCACGGAGGTCAGCATGAGAAAGCATTGAGAAATTTTGTACAGAGCAGCTGATCATTTTGCAATCGTCGTTTTGTTTCCTTAAAAGGAAGCTGTTTGTCCCGCCTGCGCTGATCAAATTTCCTTTCGCCCGCAAAACATTTTCGTCTAAGGCAACTCCTTGAGCACTTTGATAAATATAAGCAGTCACCTTACAATACAAAATCCCATATGAATGTTAATCACATTACGGCGGGCGCCATTTGATTTACGGAGTTGATGAGGTTGGCCGGACCAGATGGTTTTTTAAATGCGCCGACGTGCAGAGTAAAAGGCGCCCGCCGGCGTTTCATTTTTTATTTCCAGTCGAGGTCGAGGGTCAATGGTGAGCAAACAAAGCGGACGAAAGTGATCTTCAGGTGGAAATTAAAGCTGGAAATGTGCTCGAGATATATTCTGAGAGAAAAGTGCTTTTTTCCACCGTTGCACAAGTGCAGCTGAAAGGGGATCCGCGTGCAGAGAGAAAAAACGCGAAACAGATTAATAATCCCCGGCTGCAGCGATCGAGTGTCAGGTGTCAGAGCACAAACTCGGCGATTAGCACGGGTGGAAAATTGTTTTAATCGTCGCGTGATGCACATTGCGTTTATATCGTGCACACTGCGAGCGAATCTCTCTCTCTCTCTCTCGACGGCGTCCTGCTGAGTTTGCACTTTGCCATCTGAGCTGCTGGTGTGAAATTATTTTTAAAGTATGCAAGTAGAAAACTGGCCACGTTCGAGAATGCATTTTATAAAAATTAGCTCGCAAATACTTTATAGGCGGTTGAATTAATTAAACGCCTAACACTACTTTCCGCAATTAGATATGCATCTCGCGATCGCCGGCACTTTTATGCTAAAATCGGCTCTACTTAGAATTCTTGTTGTGCCCACACGTGAAGAATTACGATCGAATTCTGAAATCAGACTTTTTTATCACGCACCTTGTTGGTTTCGGCGCGAGGTGTGCGCACCGAGAACAATCAGTGCGTAGCGCCTAGAGAGGAAACAAAACCAGACCGCAAACAAAATTCAGTTAATTAATCACACAGCTCGTTAATTAACAGCCCTAGAGCCACTGCCTGCCGCAGGCAGACACTTACAAGTAATATTCAATTGTAAATTAATTGAGTAACTGGAAACCAATTTGTATAGTACAATAAATTTCAACTAACAATCATTTAGCCCAAGAGAATGCATGTATATATTTTATGAAATAATTTCAGTAATTGAAAAATGTTTTTTTTTCTCATATTATTAATATTTTCTTATAAAATTGATCGTAAATTTATTAATTTTAAATAACAGCAATAATATAATACTTCAATATATTTCCACGTTAGTAAAGTTAGTATTATTTATTAAAGTAAGTATAATAATAGAGCATTTAGAAAACTATTAAGTGCATAAAATGATAGAAAATTTATTTTTCAAGTTATTGTTGTGCTTATTTTGTTGTAATTAGTTTTTGGTAACAAAAATTATTATTTTTTCTGCAATTTCTAATTATTTTGAAGATCTAAGTACAGTCAACAATTAACAATGAACCATCATTTTTATGTTATGGCGATTTTTTGGAAACGTTTTACTTTCCTTTTTATTAGTTTATTACATACTGGAAAAGAACAAATAATATATTTTACTATTTTTTTTTAATGTTCTCTGACAATTGAGATATTTTTCTGACAACTAAATTACAGCAACGGCACATAAATATTATCTTCAGCTCATTCATAATTCTAAAATTTCTGAACTCATGACGTAACAACACGCAAGTTCATGGCGAAAAAACTTCTGTTGCGAAACGCGACAGCCGTTTTGTGCGCGCGCGTTATTTTATCTGGCTCGAGAATCAGTTTGTGCGATGCGCTCTCGTCCCTTCAGAATGCCGTAATCTCCACTCTCGGAGTTTGCTTTCCGCCGACTTTTCACAAACAAAAATAAATAAATCAGCAATGCTTGCGGCGGCGGCAACAAGTGGTTCTCCTTCGCCGTGTACTTTTTTGCACTTCGGCACCACAGATGAAACGAGAATTAACTGCAAAAAATTTGCTGCACAACTGCGACAAAGAAACGATCTTGATTTGTAAAATTTTCTGCATTTTCGAGGCTGATTTCAATTTTGGTACTGGAGCAAGTAAAAAGAGAGACTGGCGAGTGTGCCATGAAAAGGGACGCTGCACAGCAAGCTGCAGAGGAGGAGCTGCTGCGGTTACTGGGGCATTCCTTGTTCGCCATCGAAAACCACCCGTGTTCGCTGAGAAATAACGATTCGAGACGAGCAAAAGCAGTTCTCCGCCAAGGTTGAAAAACAGTTTTTGTCACTGCTCCTCGTCTTGAGTCTTGACTTTAAAGTTTAAACTTATTTTCTTCTTTACATTATGCTTCAAAATTAAATAATTATACCGGAAAATAGTTTAAAAATAATTTAAGAATGCCAGGAAATTTACACAACAAATCGAGTAGTTTTTCCTTCAGAAAAAACCTGGAAAAACATGCACAGAAATTTCCGGAAATGTCCATGTTGTTGATAACAGTTTGTATTGCAAATAAAAATTTTATCTTTTACTAGAAAAAAAATAAAGTTCAAAAATTTAAAAATTAAACAGCCAAAAAAATTCATTCGTGCAACTAAAATGATATGTTTTATTTAGAATAATATTCTTATGTCAAGCCATTTTCAGGTCGCCTTCTGGCTTTGCTTCATAACATATTTTATTTTCAAGAGCCTGCCATTAAAATTTATTTGCCTTTATATTACAAATATATAATACCAGCAAAATAAATTTTTAATAATTTTTGATCGTATCTAGACAAAAAAGAATTGCGTTCTTCTCTCATCAAATCTTTTCATCTCAATCGGTTTTATTAATAGATTGCACATTTTTATACAGGAAGTGTGAAACACGAAAACAGTTCACGAAACCAAAATATTGGTCGTCGGAGTTGGAAATTATTGTTATTTTGTGCACCATAAAGATCGATTGCGCGAGAAGTGGTCCCGTTTTTGGTCTGATCATTTTCATTCCTATACAGTCGCACTTGCTCGCTCGCTCGCTCGTAGTAATTACACGGAACACGCGTGCAGGCGGCAGCAATTGATAATTACGCTCGCGTCGCAAGTTCCTCCAATTACAAGTAGGCCTCCAGATCAGGTCATTAGGCGAAAATTTATTATTTCAAAAGTATTCTCTGCTCTGCGTATTTGGCCCTTTGCCGTGAGCATAAATCACATTAGAAAGCGCGTCGACCGCGACGGTAAAAAAATGTGGATTCGTGCGTAATTAAATCGTTTCATTTGCATTGCAAAAACCTGTGCGTGCCGGATTGGCCGAATACCAGAGCGGGAGGGAAAAAATCGGGCGTGTCAGGTGAAAAGTTAATGACTGTAATTAAGAGCCGCGCGAGTTTGGTATGCTGTCGTCAAAATCCAGGGCTCGGCCGGGCTAATTAAATTTTGGCGATCATAATAACGTGTCCACTCTAGTTATGGTTCAGATCCCTCGCATGCTAATCGACGCTTATAAAGTAATTAAATGAGATTATGTATAGAGCTAGAACTGATTCTAGTCTTTTTCCCAATATTATTGATACATAGAACTATATAAAATTATTTTTTCACGGGTTCTCACTTTCACTTATTTATTTTTTGTTTCAATTTTAGTTTATTTGGTTTCAATGAAAGGCAACTTTGCACTATACAATAACTCATCAATATTCAAAATACAATGTAAAATTTTTTTGATATATATTCATACAGACCTAAAGATAATATTAGCTGTATTTTAATACGGTTTAAAAATAAATATTTTAAAATTTCAAATTTATTTGACTAAAAATTTTAAAATAAAAAGTAAAAATTATGATTTATAAAAGATTATATTTTATTTTCAGTTAAATAAATACTATTCTATTTTTGTTTCTTATTTGATTTTTTTTTTAAATTATAAACAATATTTTATAAACTTAATTGTAATGTTAGCAGCCCCTAGTTACAATTTTAAATATGAAGTTATGATTTTTGGCTGGTTTTGATATTGATTGATCTTAAATACAGAATATATTTTTCAATCAAATTTAGAAAATGTTTTATTTTTTAATTATTAAATTTAAAAAAAAAATTGGGATTCTTGCCGATCTTACTGTAGAACTCCATAAGTAATTCACAAATAAAAACATTTTATTTATGGTGCTTCAATCCTTAAAACATGTATTTTATATATAAATATAAGACGCAATATAAACTAATGGCACTTCTTAATTTACATAAGAAAACATTCGGCAGGAGAGTGTTTTAATCCTTCGTATTTGGCATTAACGAAAGAGGCTGAATAGATAAGCCATTGCGAAACCCCTCCGCCCACTCGCGTTTTCGCTCAATTCACATCGCGCATGTAAAGAAGTAAGTATGTTGCCCATTTCGCAAATGACCTCATGCGCTAATACTTCACTGCCTGCTTTCCTAAAAAGGTCTGCACCGGGATGCTTTTTTTCTTGCATCTCTCGCCATTTCGAGACCCACGCGCGTCTTTGGCCGGCGGGTGCACACATTTGACCCTTGACGCGGCTGCAGGTGGAGTCGAGAATTAGACTTTTGTTCGCGGCGGCAGCGAAAAGTGCACGCCAAGTGTTTAGCATTCAGAGTGCGCGCGGCGCGGTGAATTACCAAACCAGTTTGCATTGCTTTCGACTCCATATTTGGCCAATCCACGGCGAGCTGCTCTCCTCGTCGTCCAGCATCGTCAGACGCGACTTAATTTTGTCACCAGCAACGCAGGAATAAACGGAGATTCTTTGCCGCATTTGGAGGCGGCCCGGTCGGCGTGATTTATGGCCCGTCGCGCTTAATTAGTCCGCGTTTGTCGATTTGAATTCGTGGGTCAAGGGAGATTAGCGTCCGTCTTTAGCGTGTGCGCAAGGTTGATTTGAAAACCTGATTTGAATTTTTATATTTATCGGTGTATATTTTAATACAGCCTTCCTTTTAAAACAATAGAAAGGGAGAAGTCGCCATTGCATTGGTATAATAACCATTGAGATTTAAGACGCATTGTTAGAATTTTTATTTTAACCTAAATTAAGTATGAAAAAAAACAGCCGAAGAAAAATAATTTGTGTTGTAAAATTGATAAGTACTTTATAAAATTCAAAATGTTGGTTAAAACAAGAGAGTAAAATCTTATAAAATAAACTAATTAGTTGCAAATTAAGGTTATTGGTGTCTATAATTATGCCTATATCAAGATATCATCCAAATATTCAAAAAATACAATGAAAACTACAAACAAAATTGGAGTTGAAAAAAATGCACATACATTTTATTTAAATACCTTTTGTTATTATTTTATTTTAATATCAAACCGTACTTTTCCTGAAATGAAGTATTAAATTTTAATTTATAATTAATGTCTTACGGTGATATTATGTACTATTTAAAAATATAACAAAGAGTATCCAATAAATATTATTACCAAGATTAATAATAATTTGAATCACATATATTTTATTTCGTACAAGCCTCTTTAATTGAAATCAATGGTCATACCTGAAATTGATCCTCTGGGAACTTAATTATTGTAAATGCTTAATTGGAGGCCAGTTTTATATTTTACTCATTATTTAATATTTGCTATGCTCTCTCTTAAGATTATGATAATCTTTTTGCCTGGGAGAAAAAGGAGCATTTTAATAATAAGATTAATGGAATTTTCCACTGAATCAATTATCATGAGCGTGTAATCAACGCAAGTTGTTTTGATATGTGTGTTGTTCTATATTTTGAACGCCCTGGGCGGATTTTCCTTTTAAGTTGAAACAACTGCCAATCAGATGCAAGGTCTGATTTCATCTCGCATTTGCATACTTTACAGGAAAATAAAACACCTGTTCGCAAACTGCTTCTCTCCAAAAGAGGATGCACACAAAAATCCTCTTCGCCCTACATGACCCAGTTTTCACCTGATCCGGTCGTACATATAATATGCATGCGGGGAGCTTATCAGCTCATTAATAACGACATCAAAATAAAAACGTCATGTTTGCCAATGATCGGCGCGCGAGTGAAAGATTTATTGATACACTTGGCTTGATGGGATTAATGAAAGAGGTGCTCAGTTACGAGAGACTTCGCCTTTTAAACGTAATAAATTAAAGACACACGGCTGCTGCGATGAGTCATTATATACAGCTCAAGAGTGCGTAGGAGATACGATGGGTCGCTCTCGTCACCGCGAGTTCAAGTCTCCAAACCGCAGACCGAACTCGTTTCTACTCTCTCGCAGAAAATAAGTAAGAGAAGCAACGAGTGTGACGCAGCAGCTCGACTCGCTCCAGAGCATAATTATTATCGATTTTGCTTTTGCAGTAAATCTACAATGGATGGGCACAATTGAATTTACATTCGTGTGGCGCCCACTTCCTAATTAGTCCGATGATTAACGACGAGAAAAATTGATTTGTCTAACGAAGTGAGGATTTTTGGTCTGCCGATGGGCGGAGGTTTTTTTATTTGCTTCCTCTCGTGGCAGCAAGGCCGAAACTTCCTCTCCTCTAGAGAAAATTTATGACTTTTTCAGCCAATTTCTCAATTTCTCGCTCTTCTAATCTAACACGGCAAACAAGGGATTGTTTTGATTTCACGCAGAGTGCCCTCAAAGCCGCAGAAACCTGAGAGCTGCAGACCTTGCATCAGGTCGCTCTTCTTTTGCTGCTGCTGGGCACACCCACGTTCTTTCACTGTATAAGCAAAGGTTGCAAGTGAACTCTTTTAACTTTGCTAGTTGTTGGATTGATGAAAAAAAAAACGAGTGCTGGAAAATTATTCACACACGTCCAGTTTCACGCAGAGATTTTGTTTGACGTGTTTGAGTGCGAGAGTTTCTCAGTTCCTGCCAGCGACACACACGCGAACCAGTCTTTGCCTTCTAAGGGCAATCGCTTCGCTTGCTCGCGAGAGATTCGATCTGTCTTTTATTTTAAAAGTGCGAAGGACTTTCGCAATTCGTTTATTTCACGCGTGAAAAGTGGCATGGAATAATACAGGGAGTTCTATAAGGTATTTAATTTTTCTTAAAATGGAGAAATTTTATAAAAACGCAAGAAATAAATTCATTAGATTCAATTAGTAGAACCAGCCCATATACATAAATTTTATCTGAATTTTCAATTTTTATTTAATGTAGAGCTTCTTATGATAAAGTCGTTGAGTGACTTTACAAAATAACAAATCATAAGTAGGAATTCTCTTACGGATAAAATATTACTTAGTTAATAAACCATGTTCTCGAAAAGAATAAAACCTCACTACATTTATTATATTTTAAAATTTCCCCTGTATTTTTGTGATATTGCTTTGTTTACTTATCCAGTAAACAATTATTACTTCACATTGTTTATATTCAATTGTTGAAATCAATTCATTTTAAAAAGTAATTGTTGGACAAAAGAATTTTTCTAAAGCTTCCAAGATCAAAAAGATTCCATCCGCCGCAGAGAAATTCAACTTGAACTGTTGGAAAATATTTAAAAGAATTCGGTATTATAATAATTATGCATTCTTTATCTACGAATTTCCATGTTAGGGATAATAGACATGTAAAGGTCGTCTGCGAGACGTCGCGTCGTTCGACCTTTGCCTGCAGCCAATTTGTTAGACATAAAACTGCACCAGGAAGGGCCTTTCTTTTCAAAATTAGCGGTGACGTGTTCAGGCAGGGCGTCCCGTTTCGGGCAAGGCCGCTGCCTGAGAGAAGATCGAACACGCGGGGGCGAATCTGCGGACGTGGGCGACAAGCCTCCGCTCGCCCACCCGCTCCTCCACTGATTTTCTCTGCTCACCTGCTCGTCTGATTTTGATTCCAGGCCCACGGCCATGGCGACCGACGTGGGCCAGTTGCCGCCGCTGCCCAGCGACGCCTGCGATGTTGAGCAGATCAACGACGAAGACCTCCTCCGCAGAATGGTAATTAGAACATTTTTATTCCGGCTCCCTAATTTCCATAATTTAAATTTTTAAATTTGTTCTCAATAGTGGCAGGCTGCAGAAGATTTCGGGCGAAAGAAGGAGATTCGCGCGCGCATGTACAAACTGCGCGAGAAGCGTTTGCGCGAATTTTACACGACCGGCGAGGTGCTTAAGGACGTGCAGAGCGCCGACCCGCACGCGGCCGACGCCGCGATCGCCATCCGCGAGGAGACGCCCAAGCGGGGCGGCACCACCTACCGAGAACTGGTCGTGGGCGAACTGCGCGCGGGCGACCTCTTCGACGTTCGCTGCGAGAAGCAGCCAGCAGAGTTGATCCAGAGCGCGGATGGCGCGCACGAAACCGCGATGCTCGTCTTCGACTCGCGCACCGTCGTCTGCGAAAGCGGCGCCGTCGAGACCACGCGCACCACTACCGTGACCGTGCAGCAAAGTGTGCAGGAAACCATGCTGGACCGCAAGAAGAGTCCTCCGAGCAGCCAGACAAGCAGCCGTCGCAGCTCCAAGTCTTCCCCGACTCGCGAGCCCTCCTCGAGGAAAAACAGTGAGGCCAAAATCACCACGGCTGAAATCATTTGCAGATCGAGTAGCGAAAGCAAGGAGACCTCATCGTCCCGTCGCTCCAGCGAGACCAAAAGCCCTTCGCCTCTGAAGGAAATTATTTCGTCTCGTCGCTCTAGTGATGCTAAGAGTCCTTCCCCTACCAAGGAAAATTCGTCTCGTCGCTCCAGCGTAACCAAAAGTCCTTCTCCGATTAAAGAAACGGTTTTGTCTCGCCGCTCCAGTGAAACGAAAAGTCCCATCAGAGACTCTCCTTCGAGCAGAAAATCGAGCATTTCAGAGAGAAAAAGCGTCAGTCCGGAGAAAGAAATTTCGGTGTCGCGCAAATCCAGTGTTTCCAACGTGGAGCAGAAGCAGGAGGAAGACGTGCAGTTCTCCACCTTCACCTCGGTGACGCTGGTGCGTCAGCAGGAGCAAGGCTCTCGCGTCACCTCTCCCAACCGGCGAAAGTTGTCCTCGGCAGGGTCGAAGGCGCGAAGAGCGGGGACGCCGAGTGCCTCCCCTCCTCCTTGCGAGAACGAAGATGATTCGAGCGACGATGAAGTGACCAAGAGGTCAAAGTCCGAGGAAGTGGCCAAGCCAAAGTCAATCCTCAGAACGCCTGAACAGCGCAAGAAAAGCGTCACTGACGAGGTCAAACCGGCCGCGGTCAGCAAACCCACCGAAGTGAAAGAGGTTAAGAGGGCAGTGGCTGAGGTCAAGCTGGAGAGTTCCAGGAAAACGGAAGTGACCACCAAGGTTGAGAACAAGCAGAGATTCGCCTCGAAGGAAGCTAAAGAGGAAACCAAGAAGGAGACCCGGACCATCAGGAGGAGGAGTCGCGAGCAGGTCGAGCAAGACTCGAGTGAGCGCGATTCTTCTTGTTCTCCGGTGCGCACCAGGACTCAATCCAAGTCCAAGGTGAGTCCCAGAACCGAGGTGATTTCAACCACGGTCACAACTACTTCCACGACCTCCACCCTGAAAAGACCAACCAAACTGCCTATGCTGAACAACAAGAGTAAGCAAGTTGTGGAGGAGAAAACGATCAAGCAGGAGGATAGGTGCTGCGGCCGCAGACACGGGGCCTCCTCGCCCGACAAGCCGTGGCGACAGAGTGCTCTGCAAAGCCCCAAGAAGGTCTCCCCTACAACGAAGACGCCCCAGAAGGCGCATCGCTCGCCTTCCACCAGCCCCGAAAGGCCTGCCCAAAACGAGAAACCAGCGAGGCGTCCTTTGGCCCAGAAAACACTCAACAGCCCTACCAAGAGCAGGACTGTGGAGAGCACAATCAAGAGGAATATTGTGGACAGAGCGGCAACAACAACTTGCGTAAAAACTCCAGAGGTAAGTAAAACGTTAACAAAACATTTATATAAATTTAAATTATATTTACATATATTTTTAAATGTATAATATAATATATTTATTTATTTATTATAATATAATTATAGAGAAATATTATATAATTAAATTATTACTATTTTTGATAGCTTACTTTTTTTTAAATGTTGTGAGTGTGTTTTATAATGCTGAACATTAACTTTAATGATTTATTTTATGAAATTATTTATAAAACCATGACTGAAGCAAATAGAGTATAATTACGATATTTAGCTCAAAAATTACTTCAGACAGACAGTTCAATTTTTTTTTAATGAACATGTAAATAATTGTTAAGAGATCATTGAATATTGAACAAAATACGAAATTCCATTTGGCGCATTTCATAAGCTTTCTTTCAAACACTTTTAAAGAGATAAATTATTTTTAAATATTCAAAAAACATTATTTAGAACATTTAACTTTGAAATTAGACACAAAATACGCTGAAAAGATTTGGACCGCATCCTATCAAAATATTTTCTTTGCAGAGAATCGTGACTAGCCGAGTAACCGCCCGCAGTGCCACATCTCCTATCAAACCTGAAACGACGCGCACGTTGCGAAAACCTGCAGAAACAATCACGCCGGTGAAAAAGATAGAAACTCTGTCTGCGAAAAACACAACGCCAGTCCGCAAAGGCGCCATCCCGACGTACCAGAGAACGCAGGCGGCTCGCAATACGACGACGACAACAACCACCTCCAGCACGGTGCGTCTGCAAAATAGGCAGAATCAACAAAATGTTGTTCAGAAGAACGGACGCAGCCTGTCTGGGTCAAAGGTTGTGGAAAAAGCAGTGCCAAAGGAAGCACCAAAACCTGCAGTTATCTCTCCTCCCAAGGAGCCGGCACCAGAAGTTACCGTAAGTGTCAAAATTAATTTAAATTTAAAAATAACAAAAATTATTATTTTACGCTTTCTAGTATTAAAAATAATTTTTTAGAAATAATTTTTTATTTATCTAACTTAACGTCACTCAAATGTAGTATGCAACTGGCTGAGCTGAGACGTATCACAGGTTGCATACTTTGACATTACGTTTGTCAGAAATTAAATCAATATTTCGTTAGGCAACTTCAATTCTAAGTTATTTGTGAATTTAATTCTCAAATTTACAACGCACACAATTTAAGACCTACGAAAAATTAATTTAAATATATATTTTTTCAAGACTATAAATATAAAACAATCAAACTCATAAAACTAAAATATTTAATATTCTTTTTCCTCATTGACTCATTACAGATCAGCAAGCCTGTCGAGTCTGAGGAGGAAAGCGCCGGGTTTTCGACGGAAGAAGATGAGACGGTGACTGAACTGGAGGACATCCGCTACAGCAGCGCCAACCTCCTGGACACGGAGGATGAGGAGAGCAGCTCCAGGCGCCTGCTGGCCCAAAACCAACCGCAAATTCAACAGTTGTCGCGTGACTCCTCTCCCGAGGGCCGTCCTCAACGCTTCGCAGACCGCGTCAGTGAGCCTGAGAGCGATTTCGAGACGACCAAACGCGAGAGAACGCCGCTGGAAGTTGTCGTGCCCCAAGGAGGACTCGACGGCTTGCAGGAAGAGGAGGAACAGGAGGAAGAACCTGCACTGCTCAGCGTTGCAGACAAGGCGAACATCTTCCTCACCACCGATCTTTCCAAGGTGGAGAAAAAGAAGCAGGTTGGTTTTATTTTTTGAAATAAAATTAGATATTTTAATATTTTATTTCATTAATAAATTTATTTATTCTAGTTTTTTTATATAAAATAATGATATTGACATATAATTTAACAATTTGGTGAACTTATTTTCACAGACTTTCGAAACGAATCAGGCCGTCAGTTTAGCCAAGGCCGTTTTTGAGCGCACAGACGACGCTCAGGAGGAAGCGCGCAAAAAGTACGAACGGGATATTCTCAGCAGGCCCTCTGTATTTTCCAAGGTCACAGACAGAATTCGCAACTTTGATCAGCAAGTGGTCACCCCTGAAGAGAAAGAAAAAGAGCCGCTGCCCAGAGAATCTCCACCGAAAGAAGTCGCAAAGAAGGAGGAAATTAGAGAGCCTGTGGTGGAAGAGCCCATAGTTCCCGAGAAAGTTATTCCCTCGTGTGAGGAGCAGCCCAAGGCGAGTGTCAGCAGGGCCAGCGGAAAGTTCGGTGTCACCCTGCGCAGGACCAGCAGCAGGCTTAGCGACATTGTGACTCCACCAAAGGAGGAGGAAAAACCCAAGGTCAAAGTGGCTGCAGAAAAGCCGATTGAAGAAATCACCGACGTTAAGCAACTCGAAATTATGGTGAGTGGTTTTAAAATGATAATGAAAATAGTAGAAGATAAAAAAGAAAATAATTAAAGATGAAAAGATTGAACTTTTTAAGGTTCATTATTTTTGCATATTATTAAAAACAGATGAGAATTTTACCAATTTAAATCAGTGTAAAAGGAAATTTTTTGTGCTGTTGAATTAAATAATTTCATAGAAAACAATAGAAAAGTAAGAACTTTCTATTTTTTAGTAAATTTTTTCCTTTTTTTATGTAAATGAAATAAAATAATCACTGTAAATAATTTTTCCCCTTCTTAAATTATAATAGGGGTCAAGATGCATTCCTCTATGATTTTTATTTAATCAGAAGTTATTTTATTAAAAGTGCCAAACACTCACGTCGGACTTAATTTAAAAGAGCGCAAATATTTCTGGTCCTTTCTAGCTTGAGAAAGCGACGAACTATGACGAACGAAGGCGTCTGCGGGCGGCCATCAGGGACGCCAAGAAGACGCAGACCATTTTCACGACGACCTCCACCGCCAAAGTCACCTCGTCTGTGAACGTGACTCGCAAAACCTCGCCCACGCGACAGGTAAATTGCAGTGGCGCGCAAAAGTAGGTTCTGATCCTCGACGTCTGTTTGCTCAGGTGAACGGCAGGAGGAGCGTTTCTCCGGTGAAGAGCGAGAGCGGCGGGCGAAAGAACTCGTCGCCGGTGCGCAAACAGTCTGCGGCCGAGGTGGTTCAGGACGGCAACGCGATCAGCTCTCCGCTCAGGGCGGCACCAGAGGAGCAGCAGAAGCCAGAGTTGGTCAAACAGCTCAGCACCGGAAAGTTGGACAAGGGAAAATTGGCCACTTTCCAGAGGGAGGAAAATACCACTGCCAACTCTGTGGTCTCCATCAAAAGAAAAGTTTCCTCCGAAGTAGAGAGTGAGTGAATTTTTACACTTTTCTCCTTTTTCTTACATTTCTCTTTTTATTTTTTCTTTACATTCATAAAAAGATTCATTGTTAGTAATTTTTGTTGTGAATTAGTTTCACGTGGAATTTTGTTTCATTTATTATAAATTACTATTTAATCAAGTTTTAAGAAATTTACTTTCTTGTATCACACTTTCATTAATTCAGTAAAATGCGTAAAATGTTAAAAAAAATTTAAAGAGGGAGTTTTTAAAATCAATATTCAATTGAAAAGTAAAAAAAAAATTCGGTACACAGACTTTTAGTACCAAGAATCAATCCGTAACTATTGATAATTTTTTATAGTAACAAAATTGAAAAACAAATTGATCCAATTGTTCATGCACGAATCGCATTTCCTCCGAATCGATCATTTTGAGTTTTCGACTTCCGCTCGTAAAGCAATTTTTTTTTTCTCAGTGCATTCACTTTTGTGTGAGAGAATCTGCTCGATCCTTTCAAAGGGACTGTGAATCGTATAAAAGTTGTTGCATCGCGTGTCTCGCGTGAATTTGTCGAGCCGGCAGAAGGAGCGGCGGGTAAACACGCGGGGGCCCACTCTCTCGCATTAGGCTTTAAGGCTGGCTGCCGACGGCTAAAATCGGTCGCTCGGATGGTTGGTTGGTTGGTTGGTGGGTTCACCTCGGCGAGCGAGCCGGTCTCACAATCAGTCACTTGGTGCCCGTCGCGCTGTGTAAACGTCGCTCGCAGGTCGGCAAACAAAAACCCCTTTCTTGTATGTAAGCATCTTTGCCTTTTACTTTTGTGAGTTGAAGTAATTCAATGAGGATTTGTTACATTGCAGCCATCTTTCATTGTAATTTTATGAGAGGTATCACAATATAATTAATAAATACACAGTAAATTTAGATTAACATTAAAATTGATTTAACTTTCTTTTATACATACAAATGTTAGAAGAATTTTTAATATAATTTTATAAGTAACTTAAACAAATGAATATTTAAAACTCTATTACTATTTTACTTATTTAAAAAATATTAATAAAATTATCAAGCATTATTTTTATTTTTGAGTAATTATACAGTCATTAACACAATTTTAATATAAAAGAAAATTGAAATAAATATCATTACCTCTTCATTATTCCCTGCAACGAATAATAACTTATAATTTATAATATGCTTATTTGGTGTGAAAAATTATTAATAAATAATTACCAAAACTCATTTAGCCACAATTTAATTACATTTGAAAAAGTCAATTACCATCTTTGCATTTTTCACTATCAGCTTTTGCACAATTGACCTGTTTAGCTACTGAGTGTTCTGGTGAAAAAATTTTTACTCTTCATTTCCACAACAATAAAGATCGTTGTCTCATTATTATCATCGCGTTAGGCGCTCTCTCACGATGTTGGCGCAACAAAGACCGGCAGCAGATGGAAATAAAATATTTAATTCACCGAATCTGTGCATTGGTCACACGTTGTTTATTTTGTATTATCTCGTATTTCCTGGCATTTCCGGTCCGTTGCCTAGAGAATCGAATCAGTCAGTCAGTCGGTCAATATTCCAAATCGCTGCTATTTCCCCCGCGCCGCCTGTATATATCGCGAGGCGCGGCCGAAACGAACTTGCCGTTAATGCATCGTCGGGAGTTATAACGGTGCGTTAACTGGGAAGCCTCGTTGCGGCTGCGATAAAAGTACACACACAAATGCCCGATGTGTGTGTATTCGCCATCATTTTCTCACTTTTGAGTGTAAACACGCGCGCGAAAGATCGGCCACTAAACTGGAAGCGGCTCTTAACACACTGACTCACATTCGCCGTGCAGAAAAAATTGCCTTTTTATTGCACTCTCGAGACAAGCAGGCGAAGCAGCAACTGAATTTTATAATATGAAGGTTGCAATTACTGATGCGTCGCTTTTCCCACGTCCTGATAAATAATAAATTGCTTTTTGTAAGGAGATAATTGAACCAGTATTAATAATGAAAAAAAAAATGAAACCATCGTTATTTTCTATCAAACGTGATAATTAAAATATATAAATTGTTTTTCAATTTTTTAATTTATTTTTCTTATACATTTGAGCAAATCTTTTTTTTCATAATTCAATCTTAATTATCAAAACGTGAAACCGCAAAATATAATTTCAACTATTTTGAATGCATTAAAATTTTTCAAAATATGTTTGATTCCACTTTAAATTCAACCAATTTAACTACATATTTTTTCATTTTATTTTTAAACCCTTTTTAATTTTGTTCCTCCAGGTGCTAGGAAAATCTCTGCACCGCCACGTGAGGCGAATCCAACGGACAGCGTGACCTCGAGTTACGGAGTGGGCCCTCTTGATGAGTCGGGCCGACCACTGTTTGGGCTTCGGGCCCTGAGAAGGACCCAAGGTGAGTCGTGACGCAAATCGCCTCTTGGCTCCAGCCAATTCGCAGACCGAAATAAACTCTGCCGGACCATCCGGCCAGAGTGCATGACATATTAATGAATTCAACGCGAACGCGTGTGTGTGTGTGTGATTGCAGAACCGGCACCGGTCGCAGCTCCCGCGGAAGTCGAAGAGCGAACTCCCACGCCGGCCAAGCCTGAGGTGACTGACCTTTCAGGACGACCTTTGTTTGGCGGACTCAAGGCCCTCAAAAGTCAGACAGGTACATAGAAATTACTCGCTAATTTTAAATGGTGACAATGTGCGAGCGGAACGAGGTTGGAGAAAGAAATGCGCTCTAAATAGTTTTGCGGCAATCAATTCAAATTGCTCCCCTCGAGAATGTCGCATCGGCGCATCCGATCGGAAAAAGTGCAATAAATAATCGGGTCGGCGAAAGAGAGCGCGGTGATTACAAATTAATTGAGTATGGAGAAGGGAATAGTGTATAGTGGGAAAAGCTCCGCCAATTCATCTTGTCTGTCGGTTTCTCAATTTCAATTCTTCGGTGCTCATCCTTCCAATCACATCAAGTAATTTTTTTTCGATTTCTTATTTTCTTCAAAAGATATGGGCCAAGTTTTTTCATTAATTAAGCGTTTAACTGGTGACATGTTTACAAAAACATTTTTCTTTTTTTATAGTTTCGACCGTGGTCCAAGAAAAAGAGACATTCGAGGTCACCGAAGACGCAACCATGCCCGAGTTGCAGCCGTCGACGGGCCAGTTGAAGAGTCTGGTCGAACGCCACGAGCAGAACACAAGTGAGTTTCCTTCTTCTTTTATTTGACGAGGCAGAAAACACCCGAAATAGCGTGCAGCCCTCTCGTTGCACCGCGCTTCATCGTCTCAGGCATAGGAATGTCATGCGCAGCCCTCTATAATCTAAACAGCCTCCCTAAAATGATGCGTTCGGGGAATCAGGTGTTGACGCGACAAAATTAGACCCGTCTCTCCTGTCAACGTTTCCCCCAAAGGAACACAAAAATAGCACGTTTTACACCAACAACAAATAACAAACTTCATTTTTTTTTTTAATTTTCCATTGTTTGATGAATTGCAGAGGTCAGCGGAACAAGCGTGAGTCCTACCGGCAGTCAGAAGCCGAGGGCAAAGCTGCGTGACTCTTTTGTGACCCAAGAGAGTCGCAGCAAGTTGGTGGCCGAGGCTCAGAAGGTGAGCAAAGTGGAGGCCCTGGTCAATAGGAGCGAAAGGTCAAACTCCCTGAAAGCCATCATCAAAAAGCACGAAAACACCGAAACAACCAGCGCTCCTACTGCCCCAGGTAAATAAAACAGAAGAGACGATTACGGTCTTTATATGCTGTATTATCTACTCCTTTATTTTTCAATTTGTTTGTTGATCTCCATTCATTGGTACACATAACAAAAAATGCACTACCGGCACTGTACAAAAAATGTGGAAATTAATTAATAAAATTAACGTTATGCATTAATTTCTTTCTGAATTTTCCTTTTTAAATTGAATTTTTAGAATATTAATAAGAGTAAAAAATTTATATTTTTTAGCGGCGGTTGAGCCCCAGAGAAAGATCAGCACTGAACAGGTCAAAAGCATCCTGAAAAAGCCGAGAGAAGCAACCCCTGAAGCCACTGTTGTCAGCTCAGCCACAATAAGCCTTAGAAAAGGTGAGAAATTATTTAAAATTAATTTTAATTGCTAAATCAAATTAAAATAACTTTGATACAATATACCGGCTACACTAATGACATGATTTATTTACGTTTTTTGGACCTACCGAAATAAATTTTAACTCTCCTCGCCGGCGCTAACCGCAGACTAAATCATTCTGTCGGCAATCTCTCGTGCAAAAAGCACTGCAGAGAAAAATACGCGCGTCGCGCATTCGCTGCCTAAGAAATTTGCGTTTTTCGCTTGGTCATGTGTCCGAAATTGGGCAAGCGTCGTTCGGAAAGAGCCAGCTGGCCGTCGGCCGAGCGCGAGTGCGCTTCAGCAGCGCTCAGTGTCCACCATGCCGCCGCACCTGTGGCTGCTGCTGGGGCCGTCGGGGGCCGTCATCGCCCTCGTTTTTGTGCTCATCCTCACCGAACGGTTCGCGGCCATCATCGCGTCAAACCCTGTTGGTCAGTCAGTGGAAAAAAATCCCAAATATTCCCTAAAAAGTGGCATTAAGTGCACCAAATTTTGAAAATTTATCTCAACATAAGATTGGTTTTCTTTCTAATTTTAAATTTGATCTGACGCTGAAAAAAAGCGGCGTGAATTGGGGTTTGTTTTTGTAGGTTTATGGGTCTCGGCTTCGTTTTTAATTGGCCGTGGTTCAGCCTGATTAGCCGCTTAATCTGGTTTCAGATGCGGCTTCTGAATCATCACTTAATCGTTCTAGTACTTTTAAATCACTTTTGAAACTTATGTTTCTTGAAATTATAAACGAAAAATCCTTTAAGAGTCTAACCAGACTAGTGTTGTCTGCCAGCATAAAATTGTCTAAAAATTATTTCAATTTTTTCTTGGGTTTTTCATCAGCCGCTACTAATTTGTAAAAATCATGACATTAATGAAGTTTTTAATTTAAAAAAAAAATACACATTAATTTTGCAAGAATAGAATTAAAATTACTTTCCTCAGCGGCAGATTTTTTCAATTAAATAATACTTTTACCGGAAATAAAATGAAAAGAATAATAATAGTGATTAGTTTATTAGTGAGCGACATTTTTCTTATTTTTAGCGAAGAGAGTAAATTTTAGTTTCGTTTTGAGAATATATGACTTAACAATCACAAATGATTTGATTTTAATTTTTAATTTTCCATTTGAAGACTCAATCGAACGACGACCTGGGGATGTGGAACAAGAGTCAGTGATTGAAGATGAGGACGGTGGTCGCACCGTGGTCAAAAATGTTCACCGCGAAAGAAACGAGGGTGATTTGAACACCACGTTCAGTGCCACCTCTCGCAGCCACGTGTCGGGCGACGGAAGTCGTTCGGCGAGTAGCCATTCCTCCACCACAGTGACCACCTCGACCCGCGACAGCCCCATTTCGATGGCGCGCGTCGGACGCAGTGGCTCCGTGCGCGCCCTTCAGCAGAAATTCCAGCAGACAGCCAGTAAGTATTATTTTTTTTCTCATCATTTCTAACAGATTTTGCTAGTGAAAAACATACTAATATATTTAGGACTAAAATATTAAAATTTATTATACGCAAAAATAAATCGTAGTTGATTGATAAAGACGCACTTGAAATGCGCGAGGCCACGAACCGGTCGCGTCACTTCCTTGTGGTGCTTTTGCTCTAATTTGGCGCAACAAACACGTTGCTTTTGAATCACCGGCGATTGGCCAAGATGCAGCACCAGATGCACGCCGAGCGCAAATCGTCCCAGCTCAGTGTGGTCTTAATTACTCACTTCTCTAGCGTGTTTTGTTTACGCGCCTGCGAATATTTGCTGCCGCGGCCTCGTGCGTGCCAACATTAATTTCACCTGCTTTAGACCCAAATAATCCTCTCCTCTAGTTTGATGAATTTAAAAATTAAAAATTTGGAAATTTTTGAGAGTGCTGAAATAACCCGCATGCGTTTTTTGTGCTAATTAACAGTGGAGTCTCCCGAGCCGCGATCCTTCCCCAAGGCTGGACTCATCTTCAGGACCAGCAGCTTCAAAAACGCTGCTAATGGCGAGAACAAATACCAAGGTACACCAATAGCTAGTAAATCCATTAATTTTTTTTAGTTATTAAAAAAATAATAGTTTGCTGTGTAACTTTTAAACTTTATTTAAATACAGTATTTCAATTAACTTTTAATATTTTATCCCGTATATCTCAGGTGGTGATTCAAAAGAAATCTGCGAAGATAATGTGCAGAGAACTGAGCAGGTGACTGAAAGAGAAGGTGTGTGTTGATATTTGAAGGAATGACTTAAAATGTTTGATTGTTTAACTTTTTTTCATAAGGGAGCGTCGATCGTCGCGTGACAGAAACGCGAGTGATTTCTGAAAGCTCTTCAAATTCGCAATCATTCCTCGGCAACAACACCAAAGTGACTGGTGTGCAGGACGTATTGACGCGTATGCGACAGGCAGACAACAACCACGGTAAAAATTCTTGTAAACAAATTTTTAACGGAAAAAATAATTTTTTGTCCAGATGAAGGGCTTAGTGCGGAAGATCGTGAGGCAAAGGCGCTGCTCAACAAGTTCCTGGGCGCGTCGGTGCTCATGCAGGGCATTGAGCCCCTGCTGCAGGCCCAGAGTTCTGCACTTGTCAGCCAGGTTGAGAAGCAGCGACTCGCCATTGCACAGGTCAGTGAATTTTTTTGTTATTCTATCAGCCTCAAACGTTTGTGCCTAAAATAGAAATTATAGGTTTTCTTTTAAATTTTATATATAAAAAGTATTGAACTGAATAACACAAAATATTTTAACTTAAAAACATCATTTTTTTAATGACAAGCTAATAATTATTACAAGTAAAACATAATTATATTAATATTACTTTAAACTCTTAATTTAAATTACTTTAATTGTAGTATTTCTATATTTATTTATCTTTTTGAATAATTTTTAAAAATTTTTTATGTTTTATTTCTATATTTACTTATAAAATAAAGAAATTAATTTAATTGCCTTTTTTAGTATCGTTAATTAAATTTATGTGTGGTCTTAACCAGTCATAACTAGATGTAAATTAACCTTTACTGGAGAACACTTGATAATTGGCATTGTTTACTTCGTTTTTTATTTTTAATGATTCCACTCATGATTAAACAGTAAATGAATATTATTAAATTTTCATGATTTACTCACTGTTATTTATAATGAAATTAATTTTTAACTCACCACAATAGGCATGAAGTTTTCAAATCTGCAATAATTAAAATTTCCATCCAGTTGGATTTTCCGCTACTTCCTACATGCAAATTCACATTAAAAAGTTACCGGTTCTCCGTTTATACAATCGGTTCAGTGTTTTCTTTTCTGCGCTGTCCGCGCTCGAGTGGATGAGCACACCGTCGGTTTTTGTTGCCGGTTTTCATACAATTCCACGAAGGAGGGATGCGAGGGCTAAAATTAGCTGGGTGGTCTCGGGACGAGGCTCAGCAGTAGCTGTGCAGCAGTGGTCGGTGAGTGCCGCAGCAGCCAACGGGTGGGTGATCGTCCAGCCGAAACTCTCTCTCAGATCAAGGTGATTAACCCTTTTACTCGGGCCCATTCATTCGCTCCAATCATCCAACGATTGATTGAGCTACCTCGAGACAGGATTTGGCAGCAGAGGGACGTTTGGACCAGAGTCAAATTGATCTGGAATTTTTATTGGGCGTCCCGACAAAGTGCTCAAATCGTTGTTTTGACTTTTGGAATGATGCATTGCACTCTCCAAAGTATTTTTAAAGTAAAAATTAAACAAACACCGTTTTAATGTTTAGTTGCCCCTTTGGTGATTTTTTTTTACAACTCGGGGGTTTTCTTTAAATAAACTAAATTTGTCATTTTTTTTCCAAACATGCCAGCATGTGTGGGCGACTAATAAAAAAAATAAAAGCAGAGGAAAACATTTTAGCGTGAGCAGCTGGTGGCGTTTTGAGTAAAACAAGTTAGCCGTTCGCGTTTTGACGTGTTTTTACATGCGATAAAACGCAGCTCGCGTGTGTGTCCAGAGCATCTTTTTCTCTCGTTTTAGCGTCCAGATGCGTGGCCGTTGCGAGGTGTTGATCAAAACCCTTTATTGCTCGCTCCGTGATAAACAGTGGCACTTGGCCAAGGGCGCCGCACCAGACCAGAGGGAGTCTTCACCACAATTTCTGCACTGCGCAAATATATCTCTCGCCCTTCTAATTCTGGAGGCGCGCATTTTGCATCTCCTTGATCTCTGCCAATTTTTCTTCACACGCGCGCGGCCAGCCGCACCAGATCACAGGAAACTTTTATCGTTTCTTAAGAGGGGCTTTCCGCGCGATTTTTGCGCCTCGCTTTTTTGCTAATCTCGTCGCCTGCAAAACTTACAAAGAGCAGATGCACCATCCTTTTAGAAGAAATCACTGATTCCCTGGGCACGAGCCAATGCTCAAAAGCATAATATGATTTAGTTATTTAAAAAAAGAAAATAAATTCATAATTTTAAGCTTAGATTTTGTAAATTAAATAAAAAATCCTGTTTTTAAAACATTTTAATATGTAATAAATAGAAACACTGCCCAAAGCCAAAGACACAATTTACTTTTAAATTGAAATATAATTTTTTCTTTTTCAAATATAATTTAATTACCATTATTTTAGGTTGATACAATTGATTGAAGATTTATAAATATAAATTATTTGAAGAAAAAAAATTATAAATTACTCTTAAACATATTTCAGGAAGAAATGGAATATGCAAATTTAATTAAAATACATCAATATTATTGGAGAATGTACTAAATTTCAAATTATCTTTTTATTTTAAGATTGACAAATTTTTAATTAAGGTATGATAGAGAAATTATATTGATCATAAAAATAATTTCTTAAAATATGCTGGCCCTTTTCTTTATTTTGATTTTCTGTTTTCAAGAAAAGTAGGACAATATCCTCATTCATCGACCATTACTAACTAGATTTTAAACAAATGCAGTTTGCTCTGCACACAAGTAGAGGCCATGTGGCGGCCCAGACGAGGAGGATAATGTCCAATCCAAACAGTGCGAGCCAGTGCTAATGTTATTCCACGTTCTAATTTAACGTTTCCTGCTGCGTCCTTAGAGCAGTTGCAAAGATTTTGTCTTCGACGACGGACACTCGCACACACAAACCCTTCTCGTTCTTTTCGCGTGTAAACCCTTTCGCCCAAATAGGCCGCGGCCGCGTGTTTTGTTGATTCGGCGAGCGAACAAGAAGAGAGCAGCCACCTTGAGCTGCTGGCGCGCGGCCAATTCGTCGCCAAATGGACCCGACCGACCAACATCTGCCCGCAAATCTGGACCGTTGCTGATTGATGGACGGACCGCCCGATTTAATTTTTCGCTTTCCTCCTCCTAAAAATATGAACTGGACATGATACGTGTGGCATTGAATTTCCACAGGCGCAAATTTACAACATCATTCACGCCTTTTGCAAATCCTTGATCTTAAAAAAAAATTAAGTAAAGCCAGTTTTAAATTTTACTCCCCTAAAAGTAACACACAAGGCTATGGAATATAAATCACTAATATATAACTTTCGTATAAATTTTACATCTATAAATAATATATAAACAAAACAAAAAACTTGAGTAGTACTTAAAGTCGTTCACTCGTATTTTTCTATTTCTGGCTGGAGATATTTTCGTTCCGCGCCGAGCTGCTGCTGCCTTTTACGCGTTTATGTACTCATCTTCTTTAAAATCAGAAAGCCATTCTTGTTGCTGAGATCAGCCAGCTCTCCGCTTCTTCTCGCTGCGATGGCCGAAAATAGCGTTATGAATAATAAGCGTGCGTAGCGAACACCACACAAAGAAAAGCTCTAAAACCAAATTAAGTTGGCGAAACCCTTCTTGCGAACACTCATCCAATTCTAGATCTAAAATAATACGAGGTTTGATCGCTAATTGTCTAGACTGCGAAAATTGAGAAATAATTCAGTTTTAGCCTGATGTTAAATCTTCCTCTAAAGGGTTAGTGGGTCAAGTTTTCGGTGTCAATTTTTGGCCGCCACTCATCGCTGAAAACAATCCATCAACTTCAATGGCGAGGATTTCGCGCTAGGGAAGGTTAGAGTGACGTAGGGGACATCTAAACTTATCCCAGGGATTTCGGGGCTTTCCATGCGGAATTAATTAAAGCTTTACTCACGATTTCGAATACACTGCAGAATATTTTAACAATTCGCAAGGAAAGTGGAATTAGATAATTAATGCCAATTCATATTTCATAATTAAATTAATAATTGCTGATTTAAAATATCAATCCACACATTTTTTGTTTTTCAATTTTACATCAAAATTTTAAATGGATTAATTGAAAAGTAAGACCGCAAATAGGGGTTGAAAAACGAATGCTCGATGCGTGCACCTTGGTAGTGTGTGCCGTCAGTGGCGACTCGGGACAGAAATAGACGCGCTCGCAGCCTCACCTATTTTGGGCACAAACTAGGAAGCACTAACGCCGCTTACTTGGTTGGACGGCCATGTGACTGACCCTTAATTGCTTTTTGCAGGAGGAAAAGTCAACGAGCGCCGTTGCTGAAGACGACGACGACGTCGACGCGCTCACCGACCAGGCCCATCTCAGGAAACTCGTAAGTTTGAAAACAAAAATATGGTTTAACATAATATTTTTTCTTTATCAATTTAAAATTAAATTTTGAATTCAAGAAGCGATCACTGGTTTAAATCCTGCAGCTCAAATGTACTTGGAGTTGAGGCTCTGGGCCGATGATATTCCAATTTGGCAGCGCACAGAAGGCCGAGCCGCTCGAATTAACTCTTAAGTGTGTTCTACACAATGTGAATACGAGCCGGCAAAGGCGCTTTGATAAATATTGTCTCAAAGTTGATCTTCTCCTTTGCGCCCTTGTAAAACTTAGGCACTTTGCTTTTAGTTGGACGCGGCCACAGACTACGACACAAGGAGGAAGATCCGAGCCAGGTTGCGCACCCTAATGACGGACAATAAAGGTAAGAAAATCAATTAAAAGTTTAAATTTTAGTATTAAAAATTAATTTTCCGCTTTGCAGTCACGGATGGCGGCGACGGAGTGTCTGCTTCGGACAGTGCGGCCCGTTCTCTTCACGGTGAGTTTGCGCCTTCGTCAGCAGTGGACCAACTAATGGCCACTCTCGGACGCAATTTTCCAGCTCTTGACAATAACGTTGGTGGTGGTGATGGTGACGGTGGTGTAGGAGGGGGTGGGTTGGGGGCTTTACAGCAACACCAGGAGTGCGACGGGCCGGCGGTCGACTCGGGCACCGAGTCAGGCGAAGACCCTCGCACACCCAACAGCCAGTCGCAGGTCGACCTGGCGCCGAAAAAGAAAAACGACGTGCCCGCCGAGGTGCTGGAGGAAGTGCTCGGCGCTCTTTCCAAGCTGCAGGGCACTCTTCAAACGGATGAGGTTGACCCTGCCCGAAAGGATGCTCTTTTGGAATTGGTGGCGCGTCTGCAAGGCACTTTGCCTGTGGCGCCGCAACCGGCGCCGCGCAGGAAGAAGCAGAGGAGCACCATCGGTGTGAGCGAGGCTGAGTTGGCAGGCGCTCGCCGACTGGCCGACGAAGTGGCACCTTTCAGTCCTCTCAGGCCATCTGACTTCCTCAGCAAGGAACAGCAGCCGTTCGAGGCGCACGACCCTATCACAGCCCTGACCCTGAAACGCCCACTGCATCGCCGCAGTTTCAGTCAGGGCCGGACTCTGATCGACGACGATCCGAGCCGCCTTCTTTTCACGCCGGAACAAAGCGTGCAGATCGCCGTGCACAAGGCGGCCATCAATAAACAGATTTCGCAGGAGGAAGACCGCAGAAGCAATCAAGACCCTTCCAGGTTGAACAGGGAGGGTTCCATTGAGGCTGAACTAGATTTCGAAACCAAAGGCTGTGAAGCAGTAATAAATGTGCCCAAGCGGCCAGACAATGCTGTGATTTTGCGCACTAAAAGTATGGAAGAGGGAACTAAGCAGCTTGCTGTGTTCCAGCCACAAGACCTGAGAGCGCCGGAGATGGTAAAAAATCAAGAGAGTAAAATTAACGGCCAGCAGGAGAAACCTGTGGATCTGCCCAAACCAAAAGCGGAAATTGCAAAAGCAATTTTCCCCAAAGTTGAACCAATTTCGAAGCCTATTTTTGCAACACAAGACCCGCCGAAACCCGTATTTTCTAAACAAGAACTACCCAAACCAAAACCGGTGCCGCAACAGGCAGTTCAAGAAGAGACGCCACCGAAAGCATTCAAGCCTTTTGAAGTGCCAAAGGCTTTTAAACCCTTCGAGACCCCGAAAGCAGAACAACCAGTGCCCCCAGTGGCCAAATCGTCTCATCTCAGAGCTCCTTCAGAGCCACCAAAACCACCGGCGAAGCCTTTGAAGTCCCTTGTTTTTGAGTTGGAGGCGCCAAAAGACGAAGAGCCGAAAACGAGTGGTGTCCTGTGGGGCAGCATCTGTCAATCTGTAAAGGAGCTGCACTCTGAGCGAAAAATTGTCTCGCGCGCAGAGAAAAAGCGAAAGTTAAAAAGAGCCAACACAATTGACATCCCGAAACCGTTTGACACGCAAGATTTGCACGACTCGGAGGAAGACGAAGAATTGACTGAGGGAGAGAACGGAATGCCGCAAAAAGCCACCCTCGAACTTCCCTTTGTGCCGAAAACGGAGAACGACCGAAAATTTCTCGCGTTCCTAGAGCGCAAAAGTCCCAAAGAAAACGCAAAGCCAACAACTTGCGCTCCCGGTGGCCACCAATGGAATAACAGATTTTCAAACTTAAAAACAAATTTTGAAAAAAGTAAAGAGCCTCCCGCGGAAAAGCCGGTCATCGCCAAAGAACCTGAAAAGGAACCTTACTTGCGAAAACACGACCCAGCAAAAACCACTAACAGAGAAATTTACGAACAGAAGCGAAAATCAAGTCTTCCCGCAGTCTCCTCCGCAATAGGAAAGAGAGAACAATTACCGTGGGCTGGCAGCGATCCGAACGTGGTTGTCGGCAGTCTGACCGTGGCCCAAAATGTGCAGCAAAAGAAACAAATGTTCACGCAAGCTGCAAAACCACCCATGATTAAGACGCCCCGAGTAGATCCGACGGTGCAAAAGGAAGAGCAACTCATGGAACTGCAAAGACAACAGCAGATCAAATACATGCAGCAGAAAGAGGAGCAAGAGCGGTACCGCCGGCTGAAGCAAGAAAACGAGCGAATTCGCGCGCCAGCACCCACCGGCCGTTTCAACCACGCGCAAAACTCAGCCTTCCGCCCCATCGCCAAGAAACCCTCCGAGCCCATTCAGATTTCGCACACCCCGCGCGTGAACCACTCGCCCCTTTTGCAACTGCCCCTTGTGCAAGAGCAACCCCCGCAGCAACCTAGAATCGAATACAGCGCCTCGGTGGCCACCGAGACGCGCCAACTCAATATGCGCATTTTCAAGGACAAAAATAACCAGGAAGAGAAGCAGGCACCGGACGTTTTGGAGGTGGCGGCGCCGTTGACGATGATGACGGCCGTTTCGCGGGTCAAAGAAGGGCCCAGAGCTCAACAGGCTTCCGTGGTTCACGGTCAAGTCCAGCACCGAGAGAGTCCGAGTCGTTCGTCCTTGGCCAAAAACCACCTGCGGGGAATTTTGCCCCGGGACGACAGCAGCCCGGGCAGTTTGTCCCTGACCCGCAGCTCACACTCGACCTCTGACATGCTGGATGCAGCTTTCCAGGCGCGCTTCGACGTCAGTGCTGCGTCCTCGCGGTGCTCGAGCATCCGACCGGAGTCGCCGTCTGAAATTCTGTCGCTCAAATTCGAGTTTCCCCTGCACCAGGCCTCGCCTTTGCCCTTCTCTCCGCCCACCCAACGTCGCACCTTCGACAGCCCTTTGAGGAAGAGCGAGTCGTCGCACCAGCTGGGCCAGAGACTCAGCGTGCCATCCATGTCCACGCCGACGCGTCGCTCGCCCTCCGGCGCCAAGGTGCACCTTTTCTCGAAGCAGTTTGAGGCTCAGGTCAGTCCTGACAGCGTCGAGGACAAGCAGCGCCAGGTAATGGCCTACCTGTCCGGCGAGTCGCCCAACAGCCGATCGCCGAGGCCCTTGTACCACCGGCAGGACACTCTGCGCGGCATCGTGCACGCCGACGACCTCGAGAACGTGGACGAAGAGTTCGAGCGGCTGTTCGAGTCGGCGGTGCAGCGGCCGCGGCAGCCGCCGGTGAGCTCCAGTGTGCCGTGCTCGCCCACCGGTGGCGGCAGTAAGTCGGCCGGAATGCGATTAAACCAGGCACAAAGTGAAGAGCTATAGCTTGTCTCTCATAATATAAGTATATGCGATATTTAGATTTTTACAACACGCCTGCGGCTCTCTCCATTCATTTAATTTTGGCTGAAGTTTTTTCCACTCGCATTAACTGCTCATTTTTTATTTTATTTCGTAGGTACTTGACACATATTTATTTTTGCGGTGCTTGAAGCAGCTTTGCTAGATATTCATTTTCATACACCTCTCTGTTTTTTTGATAACAAAGCTTCTTCATGCGCCGTATCATTGAGATTCAATGGGATCTTTTTGAAAGCTTACTCTAATTTGGCTCGAGAAAAAAAATGCTCAAAAGTAGATAATTTCTTAAATACATTATATATAATTCGCATTCCGGTTGGCGGACGCATTTTTGTGTGATAGAAACTTTCCGGTTTTGTAGTCTCTTGTTTCTGATTTGCGTTTTTATTTAATATTACTTTCGCTTTTATCTCACTCAAAGTTGTTGTTGTGCAGCTTTTATTTCCATTTCTCACATCAACATTATTATTTTCTTTTCATTGTAATCAGTATTAATTGTGAATTGGTTTTCGATTATTTGCATGGTGTGAATTTTAAGTAGATATAATTAATGAGTAGAACAAAAAAATACTCTTTGGGTAGATTTTTCTTGCCCAACACTATACAGATTTAATAAAAGATTGGTGTGTGTGATTGTGCCCGCAGTTTTTTCCACGGTGAAGGAAAAAATACGTTGGTGGTGCGCCTCACAGACTTACTTTTTTCCATCGTTTTTCTTCTTTTCTATTTTGAGATTCGCAGATTTTGCTCTCGTGATGTTTGAAAAGAGCGCAAACAAAGACACGTTTTTGCACTAATGTTGCAACAAAAACACTCTCATAAACTTATAGCTATATCTCTCTTTCTCTCACTCTCTTCGCATCACACAAAAATAAAATCCAGGAAAAACTCAAACTGAGATTCGATTTCTCGGGAGTCGACGGCCTTTACTTGACGGGCCCAAAATTAGATTCCATTGAAACTAGACCAACTTATTTTTATCCTCTCGACCGTTGACTTGTGTGTTTGCATCTCTCTCATTGTTCCTCCATCGGTGCACTCTGACGGACGCACTTTTGAGCTCTGATTTCTTGTTACAGAGAAAAGCGAGTTTTCTGTGAAGACAAGCTCTTCAACATCCACCATCCAAATGGACGGTTAGTTTGATACTTTTTCTCATAATAAAAGCTCTCTTTATTTCCTGAACGTAACTTATATTAAAAAAATATTTTTAGGAGGGACCAAAATAACGAGCGTTTCCTCTATGATGACTTCAAATGCCCGCGTTTCAAAAGGTGAGTGACCGAGAAGAATTTTAAAAATGTTGTAAATTTGGGGTCCCTTGTATAAAATAATTGCTCTACGGTAAGTGATTTTTTTGCCTTCAGCTTCATATATAGTTGCCCCTTCATTTATTTTATATAGTCATGCAGCGCCATTTAGCAGCTTTTTCATATTTTAGTAAAGAGTTTTTAGTACATTTTAATTTTTAAAAAATTATATAAATCCACCCTTAAAAAATGCGACACGTTAGTTTAGAGCCTCCATTAATCAAAGCGTTTTTCATCTCTGTCTCTCTCGTGTGGTGTCCGCCTTCACCCTCGCAGCCCCTCCCAGTAAGCTGAAGATGTCCCCGTTTGACAAGTTCAGGCAGCTGGACGAGCAAAATTCCAGCCCCTCTCCTAGGTAAGAAAAATCACTTAAAATCCAAAAAGTCATCTAAAAATCCTGCAGCCGCCCAAGAGCAAATCAGTCATCGCAGACGCAGAGCCCCTTAATCTATTTTTCCAGGCAAACGTAACTGACTTATTCAATTTTGGAAAAAAATTCAAATATTTTGTTACATAAATAAGTCGTAACGTTGGTCTGAAAAAAATTTTTAGTATGATAAGAATATATTAATTTAATTAATAGATTAGAACATTAGTAATTAATTTTGGGTCAAAAAGACTTAATGCCTTGCAGATGCTTACGGGCTATCAAATTTCCTCTTTTCTCTCTCCCTTTCATCTGAGTTTATATAATTAATCCTCTCTTATACATTCAGAATAAAAATTGTCCCTATATAAATAAATATTGTGAATTTTTTAAATTTTCTAACACTAATTCATAATTTAAATAATTATTTGGGCCGTGACATCGACAAAATATTATTACTAACCATCCCCAAGCAGTATGACCTCTCTCTCAGTAAAGTGTGATTTTAACACCCCGGCATTTCGGCAGCACCCCCAAAACGCCCGGGGGAAGCATCAGCGGTCCGTTGTTTAAATTCACGGACCCTGGCCTCAATAGGAGCGCCTCCAACGTCAAAGAAAGACTTCTGTACTGGTGTCAAGTCAAGACTAAGGAATACAAGGTACACACAAACACACGCATCAACATACACGAAAACCACCCCTGCTAACCCCCTTTCACTAACCAACCATCAAAAACTCTTTTTTTTGTCTTTTTGTGTTTCACCCAACAAGCGGCGTGCAGCAGAGCAGGCGAACTTTTTAACTGTGTTTTGTGTGTCAATAAAAATGTGTGCATATTTTTGCTGATTAAAATTTTTGCACTAGAAGATTTTGTACCTATTTTGTTAATATATTAAACTTTTTGTACATTTGAAATTTTTGGTAGATTTAAGTGAGTGTGTTTTTGCACTTTTTTTGAGTATGAGACAATCAAGTGCAGCCCAGACAACTTGGCGCATATATTTGATGAGAGCAACAAATTTAACGCAAATTAAATGCTGCCGAGAGAAAATCGCTGGTTTTGCTCTCGGCTATGAGCGCACCATTCATTGTTATTTTTGAGCACTCAAAAAAGTGTTGATAGTTTTGGAATCGGAGTGTTTGAACGTTGGTGTCGGTTTGCAGGATCTGAAGATCGAGAACTTCTCGACGAGCTGGAACAACGGTATGGCCTTCTGTGCTCTGATTCACCACTTCTGTCCTGACGCCTTCAACTATGAAGAACTTCGTCCTGAAAATCGACGCAAGAATTTTGAGCTCGCCTTTCGAGTAGCAGAGTGAGTTGATTCCTCCACAAAAATTTAAAGAATTACTAAAAAAAATTGCAGGGAGAAGGCGGACATTGCACCTCTCCTTGATGTGGATGACATGGTGATGATGAAAAAACCAGACTGGAAATGCGTCTTCACCTATGTGCAGTCCATCTACCGTCGATTTAAGGACGAAGAGATTTAAATTTTCTTTTTAAACCAACTTGATTTTCATTTCTCTATTTGAAACTTTGATAAAAATTTGTATAAAAAAAAGTATTTATGAATTTGCACTCGATTTTGTACTCTAATTTCCAATCAAGTGTTTGAATGTATTGATTGTGTAGAAAGTTAGAAGTCTCGACCGTATTTATCAAAGTAGAAAGGGGTTGTGCTTGAGAGCGCCCCAGAATAATTTATCTGTTTGGCGAGCGACCCTCCTGTACTCTTATAATTGCAGCGGGGCCGCCGCTTTTTATCGAATTCCGTCCGCCGTCCGTTGTTCTAAACTCGTGCGCTGAAACGCTGGCTATTTGAACTGCTGTCAACCTGTTTTATACATATTCTCTCTCTGTCATTTAAATGCGCAGTCTGTGAAAATCTCCCTACCCTTTTTTATTCAACCACGACGATCCAACTCTGGACCGTCACTCTCGCGGTGCTTGGTTTTAATATTTAATTTTATTAAGTAAATTTTATTTTCTAGTTGCTGGGCTGTGACGCTCGCGCAGCTTATCCCTCTTTGAAAATAAAAGGAAAATATGCTACTGTGCATTTTTCTTTCTGAAACGACAAACGAATATTTTTTTTTTTTTTATCAGTTTTCTTCTCTGTTGATATAATTATTTTATCTCCACTGTTCTATATATATATGTTGTACACACAGGAAAATACACTTATTATACTTTAACACCCCTCCTCTGTCCATCAATAGCCAAGTAGATTTCACTGACTATTATTTGTGATGCGTAATATTTAAATTATAATATTATCATTGTAACTAAAAGAAACACTATTTAATAAAAACTGTTCAAGAAAGTAAAATAATATGTTCAATTTATTTTAATTATGTGATATAAAATATTCTTTTAACCATATATATATAGTTTAGGACGTGTAAATAAAAAAAAGACAAATTATTGTTCAAATCAAAAAATTTAAATATTTGAGGTGAATTGTTAAGTTATAATTACTTTTTATTGTTGTTAACATAATTAGTTTTAACGAAAACTTTGCATAAATCTTTCATCATAATAAATTTATGATACACTTCTTTAGATGGTGATCTTACACAGAAGGCGAAGTCAAACTCAGCAGCTGCAGCCGCATCCTAGCCTCGATCCCAATAAAAACCTGTTCCAACAACCTTCAAAAACTAATAAGTACAAAAGCAATGCATTTTCCAATGAAATCCTGACCTTTTTTGTTTGTCATTTTCCAAAGGAGGAATAGCCTCAATTGCTTCGTTAAAAAACGCCCTATTAAAACAATGTAATTAATTGAGAAAGTAAAAGGTCGTTGAATCAAACCTGGCCGTAGGTGTACTGAAAGGTGCAAGGGTTTTCCTCAGGAAGGTAAGGTCGATGTGCGCCTGCAGGACCCCCTCTTCGTTGAAGTTTGGAATGCAAGACATGAGCCGAGACACCTCTTCGGCAATCATCTCCACTATGTACGACTGGATGCGCTGGCATTGACTGGGCAACACATTTTGCACCTGGTAGTGAGAAAAACTCGTTAGCAGAGGAGTATAAATTTTCGTTAGATAATTACTTCGCAGTTGACAGAAATGAGATTGGCAATTATCTCTTTAATGTAGGGGCGCAAGTCTCCTCTTTGGGTTGCACTTTTTTCCGGCAGCTTCGCCCAGTCGAATTCGCCAATGTACATAGAGGGCTCAATCGTTCCGACCAAAGGGTCAGTTTTGCTCTCAAGATATTTTTCACAAATGCTTCTGTCCAATGTGCTCAACGAATTCACAGCAGCCTCACGAGCCTTATTATAATTTAAATATTTTTTGTCAAAATATTGTCCAGATAAAAAAAATTACCAGAGCCAGTGGTGGAGTCTCTTGACCCCCTGTCAGCGAGGAGAGCGTTTTCATCACAGAAGGAAGAACAACGTCTCGGGTGTGCAGACAGTTGCTAAGAATCAAAAGAAGAGGATTCTCACTAGGATGCTTTTTGCTGCTCGATCTCGATGACGGCACTGAACCAGTCAAGATTTGAGAGAGAAACATGGGACTTGCGCTCTGAACCTCTTTACTCGAGGACAAATGTTCCAAAGTCTAATGAATGAGAAAGATTTGTTAGAAAAGCCTTAAATATAATGGGGTTATCTGTTATCTTTTTCACCTGAGTGAAGGCGTGGAAAATGTTCTGCACAAGGGATCCGTACTGCGAGTGAACAGTTGGATTGGTTAGAATGGGGTTGACAGACGATTCGCCCGGAATGTTGACAAAAATTGACTCCTTGAGAAGGGTAACTGCTTCAGTGATTTTGCCTTCGAACAATGAAGGCAGCGAAGTGACCAAACCACTGCTCTGCCTGCCTGGCAAAGTTGAACTCTGCAGGTCAGGCATCCAGTTCTCCTGCTTGTAAAGCATTCGAACTTGATCCGTCGTTTGCTTCAGTATTACAAACAAACAGTGGAACCTAAAGAGAAAACTCGATTTCAAAATGAACCTTAAAATCAAAGAGTTTTCACCTCAGGTCTTGGATTAAGCTGTTGACCTGTGCCAAAGCTTCAGACGGCAAGTCCAGTCCTCGGAGGCTATTGTAGAGGATTATCATTTCAGTCAGGCAGTGGGGCAGCCAAGGGCCAAAATCTGTTGAGCTTTTACTAGAGCTCTTGTGCTTTGGAGTTAGCGTACCACTTGGAACGGTCAGGTTCTCTTTGACCAAATCACATAGAGTCTTGATGCTCTTCAATACCATATCCTTTAAAAAGTGTATTTGTTTATTATTTAAAATTCATTTGTGTTGACAAACCTTAAATAATCTGTTGTGACCTGGAGAAGCTTCAACCTGCAACTCGCCACTGAAGTACGCCTGGCCTAATTTCCACAGCTCCGGAAATTGGAATGTGAAAACTTCCAAGCTGTCTTCCACAACTTGCACCTTGCTCGGTAACTCGCCCTGCCAATTTTGATTTCCCGCGTTTGCACCCAGTGCAGGTGGGTTTGCTGTAAAATAAAATTAGGAATATCTTTTGGAGAAATAAAATAGCTTACATGCAGGGCTAAGAAGATTTTCAGGTTGCTTTTCAGGCGGTGCAGTTAAAGACTCCAAAAGGTATTTAAATCTCGCTTCAATTGCATTCCAAGCATGGTTATTTTCACCATCCAAACTCGCCAAATTTCTAAATTGATTTTAGTATAGACCTATTTTCGATTATACACATTTTTACCTAGCCAATTTTTTCTGGTCATCAAGAGTGCAAGGCATTGTGGTCAAATGAGTTTTGAGCCGAGCAATCAGAGCATCAATTCTTTTGTCAACCTCCTCAAAAACTTTCTTGAAAATCTGTAAATAATTTATCACTATAATTTCAATAAATCCTACCAATATTAAGATTACATCTATATCCGAGTCACTAAATAGGGATTTGGCTCGAGTGTAGTCGTTGACAATTAAGTCGTAATCACCCTTCATGCTATTTTTCTCGATGCTAGTAGGAAGCATAAAGAGAAATTTGTTCCTCTGCATTGCTGAAAGGGCGTTTCGAGCTGCGTCAGCATTGTCCCTTCGATTTAGTACCTCTTTAAATAGGCGGTCTGCTTCTCTTCTTGAGGCTGTTCGATTGTCATATTTAAAAATTCACATATACTCTAATTATCAAACTAACCTTCGATGCTCTGCTCTAAACTGATGGTTGGCATCATGCGAACCTGAAGGGCATCCATCTCAAACTTGTCCCTCAGCACACACAGAGTGTCTAGCTGGTCCATGACGGCACCAACATTGGCCTAAATTTTATTAAATTACTTTCTTTTCCGCAACTATTATGATTTTAAAAATCGAGCCTTCAAAAAAGACAGCTGGCCTTCCTTGTGAGCCCCCACTTTGCGCTGAAGATGAGACAGACCAGCTTTCAGGTCGTCAAAACTGGTGCCTCGGTGGTGCTTCAGCAAAAATCTTGCTGGCAGAAAGTCCTCCGAGGACAACGACTCGCTGCTTGGGTGAGGAAAATATTCGTTCATCTGATCATCAGGCAATGATTTTCTAACAAAATTTCAATGATTAATAATTTAGTTTGTGAATTTTCAACTTAAACTTACGACGAGTCTTCAACTGAGAGACCCAATGGATCTTGCTGCTGCATGGCAGTAGTTGTGAGGGCTCTTCGACCCCAAGAACTGATTTCCTCCTCGACCCAAACCGCACTTTCCTTCAAAGGACCAACTGTCTCCATGTAACCTGATAATAATTAAATACAAATTAAAAAATAAAATATTGAGATTTGAAATATAAAACCTCTGAATTGAACAGTGCAACCACCAACCCCTCCAAGCCGGGTGATGACGACGATGTCGCCCTTGCCATTGCCAGGGCCAGACCTTGCAATGATCTTGTTTGGAGTGATCCATTCTGCCGACAAGATGCAGTTGCAGCCGCATATTGTCAGACCTAGAGAAAAATTATATGAGGAAAGTGTTTTTTAAATCTAGAAGAGGCACAAACCGATCAGATCTCTTGGGCTGTTTCCAAAATTTTCTCCTCGAATTGTGACCCGAGTTCCTGGAGGACCTTCTTTGGGCGAAATGCCCGTGACCACCGGCGCAGGAGCAGGCATAACGTGTCTGCAAATAATAATAAATTACATTTTATTTCAAAAGACCCAAATTTTTTGTTTTAGAGATGGGCGGATTCTTTCCTCTGTGATAAATAAAAAAAATGGTTTTCTTCGATTATTTCTTTCAATAGCTCACAATAGCTGTTTGCGAAAATTTACCTTAGTCTAGTCCTTTGTTAGGTAAAGCTGTTATTAATTATTATATCTTCATTTGAGTACAATTAAAAAATCAACCACTTGTCAAAAACAGCAATGTTTACGTTCAGTGACCGACCAAACTTCCTGGGCCTTAAACCCTACCGACTGTGAAGTGAAATGTAAGAGGATGCGTAAGCGCCATCTTTTGAGTAGAAAGGGCGCGAAAAACATTAGATTTGTTGAATCGTAAAATAAAATTTTGGATGAATGCATTGGTCTGCCCCGCCGGACGTGCGAGTCCCGCCCCCTTGCTGGTCCTGAAGGGTAGCGCGGACTTAATTAGTAGGGCTGGGCAGGTGCGCCGAGCCGCGGGGTCCTCCCGTTCGACCCCGGCCGACTCGAAGGTGGCCCTGAGCAAAAAGGGTTGGCGTCTCGTCTCCGCGAGCGGTGAACGGCGGAGACGGGAGCGTGTTGTTGTAGGCATCACAGGGGTGCCCGGTTCTTGCCACCTGCAGGCCGTCGTCGCTGCTTTCCTCTCTACCAAACGCGAATTGTGATAATTTAATTAAAAAAAACAATTGCCAGAAATTAAAAAGTAGGCCCTTGAAAAATTGTTTTAATTGCAACCCGAAAATTAATTGACTAAAAACAATATTAATTGGTATGGAAAGAAAAAAAAGAAGTTCTACGATGACAGTGGCGGTGCCACAGCCAGTCAAAACAAATAAATTAAGAGGGGAATAAATTAATTATTCCAAACCACTTTCAAACAAAATTTAATATTACGGATTGCATGTTTTATGGATACTCACTTTCCCACCGCCAGTTTAACCCATTCACTTAAAGCGCCTGATATTGCGCTTTTTTGGCGTGCTCGTTTCTCCGGTTTTATTTATTAATTGTTTTGTGTTTTGTTTTTATGGGAGTAAAGCTACATCAGAATGAATGGGCGGAATAATTTTTGTCAACTGACGCCATTTCTCATCTCCCTAGAGCTGCGATTTTTTCTTAACACGTTCTGCGCTTCAAAACTTATTACGAAATCCAAGTGACATGTACATATATATAATAACAATAAATAACCTTTTACTTTCAGAAACATTTTAGACAGTTTTATGAGAACTATTAGAATTATTGTTAATTCTACTCAAAAAATATCAAAACTCCAAAGCAAGAATATTACAATAATTGTATATTATTACAGTCCAATTAAAATATCGTATAAAATATTTTAATATTTTACCATTTTTACATTATGAATATGAACAATAATTATTTAATTAGTTTAATTCCGATTCCTATATTGTTTATTCATAAGTAATACATTTAATGATATTCGACACAAAAACTCCAGAATAATGTATATTTATGTAATTTAAAAAATTATAAAAACATAATTATTATAATATTAAGCTACAATAATGAAATGACGGTGTTAATGCGCTGCCACTTGTCAACAGCAAGTTCGACGACGAAGACGGCCGTGGCAAGGAGCATGCCGACCGTGTGGACCATGAAAATGCCGCTGAGATTGTGGATGCCCAAAACTTGTGGCGAGTCGGCTTGTGTGCGCGCAACTCGCACCGAAAGGTCAGAGTACCACTTGTCCGTGAGGCCTGACTCGACCAGCCGACTGACAAGAATGTCAAATCGCGGAACCAAGGTTGAACTGCGACGTAGAAAAGCTGAGGTAGGGTACGATATAGCCATTTCCTTAGCAATGTGCACTACCTAAAAAAATTGTCAAATAAAAGATTCCGATTTTTTAAAAATTTTTTTCTGAGAGACTTACATGTCCAGAATGTCTCTGCTGGTAATTGAACCAGACAAGCATTTCCGTGTTGACTAAACAAGCAACTTCGCGGCCTCCCCTGGCCATCACGTCCATTTGGCCCAGCACAGCGTCAGGAGACGGCTCAAAAAGTCTAATATTTTATCTCATGTTTATACTAAAACTAAAAATTTAGTAAATTTAAAATACTTTTGAGCTTCAACTGAAACACGCTCGTCGCCCGTTTCAAGGAGGCCCCTGAAGTTAGGGTGTCCCACAATCGGCAGCTTTCGGGTGACGATGTCCTCCAGCGAGTCGAGGGACTTCTCGTAGCGCGCTTTGGTCAAGTAGCTAAACAAGGCGCCTTGGTAGGCAGCGCTCAAGACAAGAAAGGCCAACAGCCAGCCAAGCAGCAGCACCCTGGCCCACGAAGCTCGCGGCATTTCAATCACCGAGACGCCCAGCGTGGTTGCCCAGAGGTACAAAAAGGGGCCGTCTGCATACAAAACAAAGCAAAGAAAAGAATATATTCAAAATGAATTAAAGAAAGCAGGCAACCTGAGATGCTCTGCTATTGTGCCGGTTGCATAATGCATCTCTTCCGAATATTGTGTTTCGGTTTTGTTAATTTATTACAAACACAGTAGGATTTTGATTATTTAAAACCAACTTTGCAATATTTATCCGGAGGAAAAATTAAAAATTATTAACAACAGCTAAAAAAGCAAAAATTCATAACATAACAAAATATTCAATTGTAAAAATAGTAAAGCAAACTTATAAATTTTTCAAAATATTTTGTATTTATATAAACCCTGTGAAAAATTTTTAAGTGCTATCAAAAAATATTTAATAAAAATAAATTAATATTTAAACTCAAGATTTTTTTAATCTTAAAATATACTTTTGATAATATATTCTCTAACCAGTAATTTGTCCCTTATTCGCGACCATTATGAGCACAAGAGCTGCAACAAGCACAACAGCAATGGCAACCCACGCATCCGGCGCAAAAGCTTCGACCAGGACAGCCCATCTTGGTTGCGGTTTGGGCATCGGAACGGCCCAAGCAAGGCCCCTGTGCCCATAGCTGCGCGACGCAAGCAGAAATCGCGTCCGCAGCGGCAACGGCATCAGACATCCGATTCCCACATCTGCACGGCCGGCGGCCACTTCGCCAAGGAGGCCACTGAACGTCCCGTCCTCTTTTCCGACACCCCAGCCTTGGTTGTCCGGCGGCAGGTAAAAGCGAACCCTGAAGTTCATTGCGGCGCCGATGCTTTTCATCAGAGACACCTCGATGCCGCCCAGCGGAGTCACACTTTCAAAACTCGACGCCGAGCGCATTTGAGCCGAGAATGAAGAATTTGCCGCAGGGTCTGTGGAAAAGTTAAAAAATATTTGATGATAAAAGTTATTGTACAATTGATGTAAAATAAAAAATATATAGAGATTAAATTACTTCAGGTCAACTTTATTTGAGAGAACCTGGTCAAATGGAAAGCGCTACTATTTTCATACTGGAAAGTGGGTAAGAGTTTTCAGTGAGCTTAATAAATAATTTTAATATTTGATTGTGCTACAGATGAGTTGGGCTGATCCGAAAACATACTGCGAAGACCACGATACGCATTTGGCCACTGTAGCCTCGGAAGAAGAATTTGAACTTCTTTACAAAGCAGCCAAAAAAATTAAAATCACGTAATCCGTTTTAATAAAAAAAATTATAATTCAGGAAATTGAGAGATTGGCAAAGAAAAACTTTAGTAATAAATTATAATGTTAATTTTTTTCAGTTTGGCGGTGGGTTTCCGCGTCTGATGCCAGCCGTGAGCCAGGGGATTTTGCTTGGCACGATGGCGCACAAAACTGGAAAAAACAAGTCGCTGGTGGTCCAAACGACAGCCAAACGATAATGGACCAGAGAAAGAAACGTGCGCAGAGCTTTTTTGCTTAACAAAATTCGTGACTGTCCGTGCAAAGATGTTACTTTCTTTGTTTGCGAACTTCCTATGAATTGTTTGCATAATTAATTAACCCCATATTTATTGTTTATGAAATTATCTTAGAATTTGATCGATTTTAAAAGTTAAATATTATTATTGAGTATTAATGAAAAACTTACACAAGTTTTGTTTAGAATTAAATAAAAGTTTAGAGTTTAATTTAATTAATACTATTGCACCTTTAAATAACGTAACTGCTAGTTTAACGTTTTTGTATAATTATATAGTAAAATTAATTATTTGGAAAATCACGCATACCTGTGAAAAGAATGACACTTGGAGGAAAGTGTATGGTGGCCACGTTGACTGTGCAACCCTGCAGGTTGACCATGGATGGATCTCGCATTTTCTCCTCGTCAAAAACTTTGACTTGGCCTTTGACACACTTGGCCACGTTAATTGGCTCTGGTGTTGATGAACCTTCGCAAATTCCACCAGTCGCAGAATAAACTCTAAGGAAGCGAACTAAGATTTTTTTAACCAATTTAAATTTAGGAAAAATTTCTAGCTTTTATCGGCAAACCTTCGTCTCTATCTGACACAGCAACAAAGCTCCTGAAAAATTGGTTTTTCCACAGAATGCGGAGGATTGGTTTAGGATCTTGTGTATTATTCTCTAGGAAAAGGTAAAACTGGGATTGCCAGAGACTCTTTTCATTCATCGCCACCAATCTTCGAAGAATTAAATCAACAGAAGTTTCTGTCGCATCTTCCATAATTGGTAAAATAATCGCAACCGTCGGACCAAATTGTACATTTTCCAGTGAACTGTTACAGACATGTTTTAGTTAAAAAAATTTATGTTAAATTATCAATAATTCAAAGGGTGCAGTGGAAAGTTGTGCATTAAATTTAAAAACAAACCGGCCGTTCAAATGAACTCCACAATAAATGGATAGAGGTGTTTCCAAATGCTGAAGAAATCGCTCCAGTCTCTGGTTGCAATTTTGAGAAATAATGATCAGCCCAAATGCAGGAATGCCCAGCAGACGGCGATGCGTCTGGAGAAATGGAGCCACGCAAGAATCAAAGTTCACTTCAATGCTTGTAAATTTTCTGGCGTCACTGCAGGCAAACAAAGCCAAAATACAAAGCAAAATTCTTGATTCCTTCATTCTATTTTCCAATTGAAGACTTGTAAATTTCCAATCTCTTGGAATTCTTTTTTAGACGCGATGTAATGGAAAGATTGTATGTGACTGAGGCTTCCGAAGAGAAAAAGAGGGATAAAATTTTTACTTGACAACTAAAAATGCCTCTTTTTCTCTGACAACCGATTTATCAAATTTTATTGCGCATTTACGATCTATTCACCTTTTTATTATGTTTGCACTCTTTGAACATTAGTTGCATTTCTACGACCATAAGTTACACAATATTGCAAACCCATTAACTTCTCAAGTCAATCACACAAAGCCCATATTGATCAAAAGAACAACATATGAGTGTTATTTCCGTGATTTGATTGAATAGAGCTGAAATTATTTTCTTTGTTTACAAAATGTAACAGTTTTAAAAGCATTTAAAGTTTGTCAACAAACAGTTGCATAAACAGGCACTGATAAATTATCTGTTTCACGCAACATTTAGCTCAAAAATTAAATTGTCTATTTTTATTCTTTTCAGCTTGAACTGTCACGGCGCCACTCTTGAATCGCATTTCTCTCGACGACGCCAAAAGAAATCGCCGTGTATTGGCTAGTCTGCGATAACAAAGCCAGAAGAGCCACCGGCCAATTTCCTCTTTGGCTCTGTAGCTCGTTTTTCGCACCTGAAATAGCAGCGTTATTGTGCGCGGCGCAGCTAATAGTGCGCGACGTGGGAAAGGTCAGTACGGACCGGGGCGCATATAATTAACGAGCTAATTTTGATACTGCACCGGTGCACTTACACTGAACTTACTCACCATCAAAGTGCAAAAGCCATCAACTCTCGTCGCCAGAAAATTTGTTGCAAAATCGATTGCTACCTATTGATTTATTTTGGTACATTATAGGTTACTCAAAGTTATTTCTAGATTAAATTAAGATATTCGTCGATATGTTGTTCAAATTGTAGTTAATTTTATTGAAGTGAAGATAGTCAATTATTATCAAATTTCCCTCAAAAGATTCATTTAAGGTAATACAAAAAATTAAAAGCAGTATATAAGTAGAGCCACATTTTATACTCATTGTACACATCACATCGAGTGTATAATTTTAATTTATTGATATTATTTTTTTGAAAATGTATCATTGCACGCAATAATTGTTAGAACATTATTTTCAATGTATTTATTTATTGAAGAGAGATTAAAAAAGTTATGTCACATATCTACAATAAATGAACTGCCAACACAATAAGTTTAATTTGTTGCATTTGTTACTAATCGTTAAGAATAAATTTAATGCAAAATCTAAAAAAAAGGGAAAAAACTAAATAAAAATGTTTCATTTTTGGATCAGACGGAAAAAAATGCAATTACCTTAAAAAAAAAATTAAAAATGTGTCACTGGGAATATCCAATATGTGGGAAATATTTCAAACTCGTCATGCTTATTTATTTTTGCAACTTGTGTGCATTTTTATTTATTTTTGTTTACCAAGAACATCCCTCGTTGCTCTGGAGAGCCAACTGTTGACACAGATTCTGTGTGGAAATAAACTGCCGTGCTGACGACAAGTGATTTTCAAAAGCAAAATATGAAAACAAATTATAAATACGCAATTTTCTCAACACTATAATTAAGTCACTCTGAATAAGACGCAGAATGATTAGAAAGCAAAATCTCGTCTTTGAAAACATCTCGTCTTTTGTCTTCGCTTGGAGGGCAAAAGCGAGACGCGCAGATATTCTAATTAACAAGTTTATTTACAACTCCTAACACTCGATATAGCGCGCGCGACTGACCGAAAACAAACTGCTATTTGTAGATTTATTTGTGTTTTGCGGCGCGACGGCGTTTCTGAAACGACGGTGAGCGCCGCGTGAGAAAACGACGCTTCTTTTTACGTGTGCCATTTTATTGCCACACAATCAGGGGCGCTCGAGATGCGCCGCAATTTTAGAGGCTCGTGTGAAGTCGTGACCCGGCGGCGACAAGTTCTAGAAAGTCTTTGGCAAACCGGACAATAAAATCATCAAAAGCATTGTGTAGTATCTTATTTAATATGTGGTGTAAAAAGTTGGATTCAATGAAAGCAGAAATCTTTTTGGCGAGAAATTTTTATCTTGAAAAATCAATTGCTAAAATGCTAACTTTTAATTGTAAAATTATTCAGATTTTTCATAAAAATGTGAGATTATTGCTTTGTTCTTTCCACTCGCCCAATTTTGTCTTTTTTATTTGTAATGGATTTGTTCCTTGCATGGGGGTAAAGTTTCCCTGATGTGGACAAAAAAACAACTTAAAAAACATGATTTATAAATTTTGCCAAAAATTTAAAATTGCTTGTTTGACAGCAAAAAATAGTTCTGTGTAAATTCAAGTTACAGTCTGCACCAGGGCCTAAGAATACATTACATGAAATTTCAAAAATAAAACCTGAAAACAATAAATTCATTAAGCTTAATCCCAATACTGAAAAGTATACACAAAGCATTACACAATTAAACTCGTAATGGATTAAACAACCATTAGTTAAATTGTTCTAGACTAATTTATGGTAATATATTAGAAATTTAAAGCTCCTCATGCTTATTCAATACAAAAATTCAAGTGAAAAAAGTATTATAAATTTTAATAATTTAAATTACTTTTGTTATTTAAATTTCAATTCAAATTTCAATCCTAATTCTTACATTTAGCATTATATTAAAGATAAACAAGATCAACATTATTTTAAAAAAGAGTTGCATCATGTACGTAACAATGCAACAGCAGCCACAAAAGGTTTGCACATGTTAACTACAAGAGTTTAGGAACCTCTTTTGTAAATAAAGGACTCGTCGTTTGATTTGGGTTTGATCCTTTAGCAAACATTTTCAGACGAGCCCCCAGAATCCGTCTATAGAAAAGCAAAATCACCACATCGGCCTCTTTCTCTGACCGAGGAAAACAACAATAGAAACTACGCGTTCGAATTAATACCGGTGCCAAGTGGCTTCTCATAATTTTTTCAAGGCTCTTCCCTATCCTCGCCGGCGAACGAAAAACGGACCGAGGCGAATTAGAAAGAGGAACATTGACAGAGTAATTCACGACGACGGCCGAAACGAGGGGTGAAAGGCGTCGGCTACGTGCAAAAATTCTCGCTGCTTTTGTTTTCCTGCTTTCTGCTGCGCCGGCCAAACCGAATCTTGCGCAAAAATTGTCTAGCAGGTGCCGCTCGTAATATTCGCGCGTTCTGGCAGGCGAATTTTTCTGCAGCCGCGATCTGCCGGTCCGACAGATATGCTCATTTTAATTGTTTCTCCGCGAGAGAAGCTAATTTTGATTTGTCAACCGGCCAAAATTTTTAATTCATGGGGAGTTTCCCACTCGCGCTCCAAGGGTCGCCGAACCCACATCTGAAAAAAATGACTCACACTCTACCGAATTTTTTAATTTTGTTCTAGAAGAATATTACATAAACTGATGAGAAGTGTCATGGTATAGTTCTAACTACAATGACAATGCAAAAATGATTAATTTTGCTGTCAAAATTTTACATTATCTTTGATAAAAATCAATTCAAATTAAATTATTAATTAATTTTTGTTTTAGATAGATAGAGTATTTATTGATTAATTTTTGTTTTAAAATGTTTTTATAGATCTTACACAATTATGCTTGCATTGAGATACTTTGTATTATAACTTACTAAAAAATGATAAAAATTATATTTTATATATTTTAATATTTGATTGATAAATTTATATTTTCTTTATCTTACAATAATTTTTATTTTTCAATTTTTAATCAACATGCTAATGAATTTCTTTCTCCTTTTTTTATATAATATTGGAACTGGAGATAAACCATTTGGCTTCTGGACGACAGTTATTTTAAGTTTTGTGAACAAGTTGTGTTGATCGTAGTCATGTAATTTGATGTGATAATTTAATTTTTATTATAAATAATTAAAATTACTTAAATTTAAGTTTCAATACGTCTGTATTCTCTATAAAAATAGGTGAAAGGAAGATGAATTATTATACTTTTTTTTCAATTTATCCTATAATTTTTTACTCAAAAATTCAGGGTTTTCTGTTTGAGGCTCTACTTGAGTTATATTCAACGTCGCGGATTTCTTAAGCGGCCGCTGAGTAATGAGACGCGAAAACGAATGAGAAAAATAAAAAGCACGCTAGGAGGGAAAATTATTGTTCGGTGCACAGCACCAAGATCACACACGGCCGCGCGAGAGCAAAGAAAAAGCAGCGGAACACGGATTAGAAGAGGGTGCGGAGTGAAGTTAAATATAGCCGGTTTTAACGAGAAACGACACCGAAGATATCGCCCTCGAAAATAAGCTGTAACTCTCTCATCTTGTCTTGAAATATACAGGCGTCCATCGCTCCTCGCGCGCGCACCAGAGCGTGCGTGTGCACTTTATTGAGTAATCCGCCCCGTCTGAATGGGCAGCGGAAAGTGCACATGCATCACTTCTTGCCGGCGAAAAAACCAACTTGGTGCGCGCGCGAAAGAGAGGAATGAGCAAAACGCGTGTCGCTAATTAGGCGGAGGATTGATTGCCTCGCGACGGCACCAACACGGACGAGTTGCTGCATTCGAGCGAGAAATTTGCTGCTAATCCATCTTGAAAGCCGGCCGCGGTTTTTGCTATAAAGCATTCGGCACGAGAAAAAGAGCAAATTGATGAATTTTTTATGGTCGCAAATCGTTCACTTCGGTGGCAAAAAGAAACTAATTAGTTTATTAATGGCAAATGATAATTCACAAAAAAAAAAGGATTTTCCACTCCTCCACTTTCTTTACGAAAAATTGTTAATTTGAAAGAAAAATAAAAATATTAAAAAAAAAATTATTTTAGTACTAATTCTTGTCGAAATGATTTCAGCTAATGAATTATGGTTGCAGTCCGCAGATAAAACATGCAGATCAGGATATTGTTTTTCTTAAACAATAAACAACTCACAAAACTAATTGAAGGAAAGCCGACTTTATTAAAATCACCATGAATCAACCCTCGATTGTGAAATTCTGCTACAAAATTGAAACAGAGTGTTCAAGATCGATCACAACTTTGACAAGAGATATCAATGTGAAAATAATTACTCTCTAGGTTATAGAACTAGAAAAGTATTTAAAGTTTATAAAGTTGATAAATTTGGAATTTCTTTCTTTTTACTTTTCTTACACAACCTTCTACGCTAGAACAAAATATAAAGTAAGCAATTTAATTTAAAAAATCTTAAATAACAACTTGAGAAACTTTGAAATTAAGAGAGAATCTTGGCTGCAAGTGTACTATATAGCCGATTAATCTATTCTCCCTTTAAAATAGCCAAGAGCTACTGATGGTTACTGCTGTTTTTCTTACTTGGCGCAGGTGCCGGTAATCAAAATTAAAGAAGAAAGAGCAATTGTTCAAATCTTATGAAAAACTATTTCTCATTCAAGTGTTTTCCTAAAATTAATCATAAAAAAATCTTTTACAACAAAAAATAGTTAACTTTTTTCAAAATGTGCCAAAAATTAAAAAAAAAATCATTATTTTAAATTGTATTTTTATGTTTTAAATTTAGGTTCTGCAATGGAAAATTATATGCAATGCGCGTGCCTCGATGTAGTAAATTAGAGTAGGAAGAAAAATGTCACCCTTCAAACACATTTCAAACAAACGGACGTGAAAATTAGCACGGCGGTCGGTGCGTCGGCGTGCGCGACACTGCGGAGAGGGTGGAAGTGTCACTCTCCAGAAAGATCATCCGTACAACAAATCTATTTAGAACACGTACTGCGGCGGACGGAGAGTGCCATTTTAAACGAGAGGGGAATCGTCAGCATTTTGGAGGAAAACGGCAAAAATCAGAAAATGCAACAATCGTGCGCCGCTTGCAACAACAAACGCACTTGAAATAATAGCCCAGGGTGCTTGGCGCGTCCGAATAATACATAGTAAATAGTCAAGGGCTCGAAATACACGCGCGTTTGCTGCTGTTTTCCAGAGGGCGGTCGGCGATTGGTGCTCTATTGTGACGTCCGCCAATCGAATCGGCCGCCGGTGCCGAATTATAAACGCGCGTATACGCGGCGGCAGTATTTTTCCCTACAAACAACTAGAAAGGAAGCGGGTGTGATGAAAATAAATAGGGAGACGGGCAGCGCGCGGGAGAGCCGAGGGAAGGGGTAAACCGCCCTCCCATATAACTTCCTTAGCCCTTTCGCAGCCACCGTCACTTTCTCACATCCGCTAGCTCCAGGAGCATTAACGTTTTTGTTTGCACTTTTGCACCTTTTTAAGTTCCTTTGTGAATCGTCCCCACACCGACCGACACAATGGTGAGTAAAGAGCATGCCATTGTCATTCGTTAAACACCAAAAAATTGATTCGGCCGGCGAAGATTGATCGAGTTTCATTGTGGAGGAATAAAAGGACCTTTGTTCTGAAGAGAGAAGTTTCTTCTTTCAAATCAATTCTAGGCGAGAGATCTTTTTAAACCGCTTTGAATGGACGTAATTGAGAAAAATGAGGGGTGTCCTCTCGTTTTTAAAGATAAAAAAAAAATATACCAGGAAATTGAAAATTTTACAATAAGGGAACTATTTCAAGGAAATCTAAATGCCGAATTAGCCTAACGTGAATTATTTTTGCTGGCCGCAAAATAGGCTAACTGCAGACTTTCATGTTTACCCTAGAATATATATTACTTGACATTAAAACATTATAATTTTTGCTGAAACCACTTTGAATAAAGTCTTTTCTTAATTATTCAAATATATTTCACACGAAAACTTACAGATTTGGAAAATTAAATAGTTAAATAAAACGAATAAAACAGCCAATGGCCAACAATAGCTTAAGAATACCTCGAACTTCAAGACGTCCTTCATTCATTATAGCATTATATAACTTAGGTCATTAAGGTAGGAGAACGAATGTATATCAAGAGTGGTTTCTTAAAATAAAATCTATTTTAAAGTTCCCAATGGTAAAAAAATATCAGAGGTCGTATAATAATTCACACCATAATAGATTATAGCCCCAAACTGACAGATTCAAATTTAGTATCAAATTAAATTTGCATTTTAGTCACAAAAATTAAATTAATTTTTTTGCAGATATGAGAAAATATTTAATTGAAGATTAATTCAATTTAATAATTTCCACCAAGTGAAATCGTGTTAACACGTTCAATTTAAGTTTTGAAGAAAAAATGATCATATCTCTACTATTAGAAGATGAACCCCCTCAAATTATTACAATTTAGTCGTTTTTCAGCACACAAATGAGGCCGAATGCGCCCCTTGCCAAATTCGCAAATTCCTCGAGTTTGATGTAGTGATCAATGATTAATCCAATTCGATTAATAACAATAAGGAGTGTCTGTCGTTTGGGCAACGCGATCCGGCCATTAATTTGCGACCGCTGCGTGTTGTTTGGACTGCTTGAACGCGCTTGAATTAGACACTTGACTACGAGATACACAGGCCGTTTGTATTTTGATTCTCTCTTTTCGCGCGCCGCCAAGGCAAAAAGTCAAAAGGCGCACATACGTTGGCCGCTTAATCGAGCCCTCTCGAAATAGAGACACGTACCCGAGACCCTCCATTGTTCCTAAATCAAAGTCGCAGCGTTTGATTTACGACTTGGCCGCACACGTTAAAATCGCGATATGCTCGCTCGCTGAATTTCTCGCTCTCTCTCTTTATGTGTTGAATGAAAGGTGTTTCTGGCTTTTGATTTCAGGCTGATGATATCCCTCCAGAGCAGATGCAAGGTAATTTTCATTATAAAATCTGAAAAGAAGCTGAAAAATTAAAATATCGATCGACATTCTTTAAATTTTATGTCAAAATTCTTTCCCATTAAAATTCCAAAGAGAAGAAAAATAAAATGAATAAACTACTTTATAGCATGGTGTGAAATAAACATAGTTTTATCACTATCATTTTTTCAATAAACTAAATTAGCCTCAATTTTTTAAAATAAATAAGTGTTAGAGCCACAGCAATAAAAAAATTGAATACAAAATATGAGCATTAAAAAATTATATTTGTTAAATAAAGGCGGAAAGAGGTGAATTAGAAAATAGATGGCCGCGAAGAAAATTTTGCGGTCATTGAAAATCTTAAAATAAAGTTACGGACTCTTAAAAATTAGAAAATTATTTTAAGAGGTCTTCAATAAAAACTGAAATCACGAGATCAGCGTGCGGCATCACGAAATGGTGCTGAAACTTTCATCTTCATACAGCGTTCATTTGCAAAATTTGCCCCATCAAAAGCGCGCAAACAACTCTCAGCAGGTCATAAAAATAAAACGGGGGCGGACGGACGATTTCGCAACGGCGGCAACAACAACATTTATACGTTCTGACAGCGCGAACTGCCCTCTCGTCTCCCTGGCGAGCGCAATAAAAGAGAAAAATCTGCGCCCAGCAGTTCGGGCGCAAACTTAATTCTTTATTTACGAGATCGACAGCAGAAAGATTTTTCGGGCGAAACGCCGCGTTTTTTTTATAGCTGATTGCGTTGGGGGTAATTCAATCTTTTATTACAAAGCATCGACGCCGGCAGGGGGCCTAAAAATGGGTCGGGTGCTAACCTTTTATCTCAACTGGCAGCGCGCCACTCATTTTATACTACACGGCCAAGGAGGACCAGACGCACTTCTTCTGCTCTTGCACTGGTGCATCTCGCGAGGCTCGATTTCCATCCTCTGCTAGCTTTCCTCTGATCTATTTTGGGCCCGCAACCGGCAATACGGACGCGCACTGGCCCTGTGTGATTTATCCGCCAACAGTTTTCCCCGCGATTAATTATAATTATGTCGGCGAGAGAGCAGACCCATATTTTTTAATTTCTTTCTTTGCTCACTCGGCCGTCCCGCTTGCCTTTTAATTAAGACACCGATTCGCACTCTCAAGAGCAGATTCACAAACAAAGGTTTTCATCCTGTCTCTGCGCTTCTCTGATTTATGCGATAAATTGCAGTCCGAGCTTGCGAAACGAACGGCGGACGATCTGAAAATTAAGTGTCCGCTTGTGCCAATTTCTTAGTTTCTTGAATGAGGGAAGGCACGTGTGTTTACAAAGAGTCTAAAAATAGCCGTAGAAAATTCGAGTCGAAAATGTGAACGTAATTCTGGGAAGGTATTAAATAAAGTTGTATGAAAAAGAAAGAAAAAGCAAAAAGTAAAAAATAGCTCCTTAGCATGCGTGAAGTTGCTATCAACAGTAGACCTGTAGGGCGCTGTAGTAAAAAAGATGAAACTGATTAAAATGGAAATTTTAATTGACTGAAAATTAACATATTAAAACAACAAAACTTTGATCTCAATCAGGATAGATTTTGCTAAATAAAATTAAATATGCCAGTGATAAATTAAAAAATCTTGATTTGAAATATAAAATATATATATTGAAATATATTGATGTTTTATTGGGAAATCAATCCATGCCTAAAATTGCCAAAATATATTTCCGACAGTTTTGTTTAAAATTAAAATGTCTTTTGTTCTCTTTTCACATTATGAATTAGGCATATTTAAAAGTTATCTGGTTTGTAAAAAAATCACTTTTCTGTTCCAGTTCTGCGCAATGCCTTCAACGCGTTTGATCGCGAAAAGAACGGCAGCATCTCGGTGGACTTTGTGCCTGAAATCCTGCGCCTCATGGGTCAGCCGTTCAACCAGAAGACCCTGAACGAGTTGATTGAGGAGGTGGACGCGGACAGTGAGTAAACTCGCCCTCGCAACGAACGGTTTTTCTCTCAAAAGCTTTGCTCCGTTCTGCTTTCAGAGTCGGGTTTCCTTGAGTTTGACGAGTTCGTCACTTTGGCTGCCAAGTTCATGAATGAGGAGGACGAGGAGGAGATGGAAAAGGAGCTGCGCGAAGCCTTCCGCCTCTACGACAAGGAGGGTGAGTTCATCCACAGCTGCCGCTCGACTCGAAATAGCCTCTTTTTCGGCAAAAGTAGCCGCCGGCCAATTAATAAAACTTTATTCGCGCCGCTCTCGAATTAAAAAAGTGGCGGAAGCAGCACGTTCATCGTCGCGCCTGTCTCGGTGCTGATTAGGCAACCGGCTCAGCGTTTCAGTCGCACCGGTTGCATAAACACCAATCGATCACACTTCTTACTCTCGCCCCCGCTTTTATAATAGCTGAACTCGTTTTTAGATGTCGTCACCAATTTATTTTTTTGTTTATATATTTTCTCAGGCAACGGCTACATTCCGACAACATGCCTGCGTGAAATTCTGCGCGAACTGGACGACCAACTGACCAGTGACGAGCTGGACATGATGATCGAAGAAATCGACTCGGACGGTTCAGGCACTGTAGACTTTGATGGTAAATTTGATTTTTTTATTTTTTATTATTAAACCAAAATAAATTGAAATTTTTATCTGTTCAGAATTCATGGAGATGATGACTGGTTAGATTTTCCCGACCGACGCCGGCGAACTTTCGCACCGAAGCCGCAGTCTCTGCCGACGGAGAGGCCATTTTTCGACGCGAATTCCATTCGAGCGGAAGCAAATAACAAAAATTTGTGCATTTTCTTTTTCGAAGTTGATCCAAATTCAGCCGCCAATAGAACGTCAAAGACTCTTCCCAAGCTTTTTTCGACAATCAAGAGAGGTCGGAAGAAAATGAAAGCACCCTTGTTTTTACTTTGTATTGTGAATAATTTAATTTTGTATAATTTATCTTTGGTTAATCTCGTGTAATGTTTAGTTTTTCTGCCCAGGAGAAATGGAATAAACCAAACTTACATTGAAAACCACATAAAAAGTCTGCGTTTGATTGATCAACTTATCAACTAAAATTAGGCTCTAACATCGATATTTTTCTGCACAGCAGCTGCGTTTTGATTTTGTCTTCAATCTCTTAAAAAATTAACTATTTTGAGTCAAAGATAAACACATTAAATTCATGGCCATTGCAAAGGAGATTCATAAAATCATTGATAAAAGCAATAGAGAATCACATATATTGTTCAAGTATAGCCTCAAATTTTGGCACTTTTTATAACAGGATGAGAAGTAGTTGAAGTTACAAGTTTCAAAGCCAAAAGTTATGAGAATTACGTTTAGAGGCAGAAGCTTACTTATGCTATTGCAACGACATGGAATGTTTGTTAAGTCTACTTTCAAAATCTAATGCTGCACTTTTGATAGCTACCTGAAAAATTTGAACTCGCTGGGTTTCAAAATTCTGCAGTTATACTGCGCTTTTAGAGGATTAAAAATAATAGTCAATGGCCAATCACAACAATTATTTTAACGTTAATAGACTATTTCACTGATCAGAACTTATATAGGTCCTTTCTTTCTGTAAATTCCATTATATTATAAAAAGGAGCGCCAATCAGCTGATGACGTCATTTTACAAGTCAATGTAATTTCTTAGTTAATTGTAAGACTATGATTTGGAAGAAAAATAAAATATAAAAACTAAGATTCCTACTTTTAGCCGAAGATCTCTGGAAATTCTGAAATGATTTCGTTGACAAGCGCCTGGTCACTACGGCTCTCCTCATTCTCCTCCGTCAAAATGTGCTGCAGACACTTCAGGATGTCCGACTTGCGGTGGTTGTGCTCCTCATAGTTTGAGTGCCGCACCACTCTGCGGCACAACTCCAGGTACTGACCTCGACGCTGAGAGTATCAAAATCAAATATGAGCAACTTCTGTTGTTAAACATGCTAAAAATTTACCTCATCACATGGTGATAGGTCAGCAAGCTGCCGAGAAATTATGTCAAGCAAAACTTTAGTGTCGTTGGTGTAGAAAAGTTGTGCAGTTGTTGAGTTACTAAACAGATCAAGGAAGAGTTTCACAATTGAATGGATCTTAGCCGAAGATGAGCAGAACTGAGCCACAGGATCATCTAGAGAAATATTGTTCAAATTAAAAAATCTGCACTTTTTTAAGTAATTTTAATTATACCTTCTCTGTTGAACAGAAGCAGCACTTTTTCGGTGAATGACTGTGCCACCGTGCATTTTGAAAGAACTTTCAAGAGAACGTTTTCGCTGCTTTCTTTGAACTGAAGATTGATGGCCACAATGAGACGCAGGAAGACGTCGGGAATTTGCTCCATGACATCAGACTCAGGAGGCTGCTCCAAGTTGCTCAATAAGAATTCAACGAAAGGAGCTCCCAAATGTTCTGCAAGTAATTTGACATGATGAAAATTGCAAAAATCATTTGATGAAGTATTCTACCTAAATGAGTGACTGGCATGGGCTGACCAGTGCTGAAAATCATGGTCAGCAGGTTGCCAGAATCAACAAGCCTGGCCAGATCGTTAGGGTTGCTGAGCATGTCTCTGCATAAATTAGAATTTTACAATGAGATCAATAATGCGCCAAAGTTGAGGCAAACCTGGCTAATTCCATGGGGAGCACGGAGGAGAGCATGATGACTCTGGGAGTTGTGTGAAGAGCACACATTCCCGAGAGGGCCTTCAGCAGGCACTCGCGAATGCTCCAGCGGCACTCCATCTGGTAAAACTGCAGCAAGACCTCAACGCCCTCCCACTGCATTCGCTCCAACACTCGAATGCACACTTTGCTGTCTGCATCTCTCTGTGATTAAATATTATTTTGAAATTCCTGCTTTGTCTCAATAAAAAAAAAAATCATACCAAAATACTTTGGAGCTCGGAAAGATAATCCTTTAAAGTTTGCTCGTCTTCATGAAGCATCCAACTTCTCTGCTGGTCGTCATCTTTAGCAGTTGCTAATTCCTCAAGCACCACCTTAAGTCTAAATTAGAGAGATGGATAAAAGATTACGTCATTATTATTTGCACATTTACCTGAATGCGTCATGAGTATTATCCAAAACAGAGTCGGGCATTTCTCGACCAGCACTTAAAAGCCCCAGCAGGGAGGCAGTGACTGATATAACAGGAGCCGAGACAATGTCAAATGGCAACTCTCTCATGCCTTCGAGAACCACTTTAACAGCCACACAGGATAGGTCGTGGTTCAAGCCCGTCTTCTGCCGAACTTGCTGCACCAGTTCGTAGGCAGCCTCCATGTTCTGTTCCTCCTAAAATAGTGAAATTTATGCATCAAATGATTGTGAACAAATGAAAAGGTAATTTTTACATTCATATCTTTAGGCGGAGCAGACGATGATTTTGTTTCGTTGTTTGGTTGAGAAGGTGCTCCTTCTGGAGGGGCTCTCGGAGTGGAGCTCTCGAAAGAGCCACAGGAACCAGTGATGCGTTTTCTCTTGGCCTCTAAGTCAGTCAGCAATTTAGCCGACGAACCTCCAGAGGAGCTGCTCTTAAGGGCTATGCTGCAGACGTCGATAAAATTCAAAACGTCCTCAACACTCTCCTGCAGAAATAGATAAAAATTTCATTCTTTTGATAAAAGTAAATGAAATAAATCATTATTATGAACCTCTTGACTGCTGACATAATTGCACGGGATGAAGCCGACCAAGCCATCCTTGTTGACAACCTTCCACCACTTTCGTGAGCCAATATTTTTTTCCAAGTTGACGAAAAGGTCGTTCTGCTTAAAGCTGATCGTCTTGGGATCCGTCGCATTGAAATCATACAAGGCGCGCAACAACTCTAAAAAATAAAGTTATTGTAATAATAGAGCGTATTTATGAAAAACAAAAACAAATACTCTGATGACAAAATCTTTTGTGTACCTAAATCATTATTGTCGCTCATCTGGCCTTGCAATGTCTGTGTGTCCTCCCCTGCGGATTTTGGCTTGACGAAAAGGATTCGCCCAACCGGCTCACTTCGATTAAATTTGAAGAGGGGCACGACCTGTAAATTTGAGATCAAAGAAGCGAATTTGTTGATTAGTGACTTGACGACAATTATGCAAAGACATGCAACAAACTCTTTGTTTAAGCAGGGTGCGGGGGTGTCAGAAGAAAGTGGTGATTATCGTCTGCTGCTCTTGCGTATTTTTCTCTTTGGCCGCCAAGGTGGCTCGCAAATCCAAATCCGAGAAAATCTTTATAAAGGGGGCGTGTCCAATCCTCAAAACAGTGTCGAGAATTTGTCAAGGCCGAAGGCCAGACTTGTCCTTATTCTGCCAATTTTCATTAATTTTTCGGTGCATTTGCCTAGCTATATCGCTATATGTCAGGAAATTGAAAGTGTAATTTCAAGTTCAACCTATTTAAGTGAAATTTTGCTGAAATGGCTGATTTGGAGAAAGAAGAGAGCCACAACTTGGTGAGTCACTTTTTTACTTTTCAAAGTCAAAACTCTTGACCGCAAACATATTGAACAAAATTATTAATTTTAATTTTAAATTATTCGCAGCACGTCGAGTTTCAGTGGGTTTTACAACACGAAGTCCACAACATTTTGAAACAGCTTTTAAATATTTTAGAGGTGAAACCAAATTTTTCTGCGTTGAAATTTTCTAAGAAACAATCGTATTTTTAGGAATGTCACAGAAGATTCCCTTTAATAAATGGAGACACAACGCAGCCACTAAAGCAGGAAAAGTTTTTGATGTCACCCTCACACCTTACCACGCAAGATCAGGTCAAATGCGTGGCCACACTTTGTGGAGACAGCATTTGTCATGCCGTAATGATTTAAACATTGTAAAGTGATTTGTAACCTCTAAATACAATTTGTAAACAGGAAATCCAGCTGAAATCCAGACGACAGCAGAATGTTGTCCACAGGACCAGTGTGACCAACGACTGTCCGTGGAAGCTGCAGCAGGTGCAGGACGCTGCCAACCACTTGCAACAGGCCATTCAGTTGATTGAGAACATCCACGAAGATTACAAGTTCAAGTAATTTTTATATTTTCCATATATTAATCTTAATCTTAATCTTTTGTATCCTTGAAATTTTCCCTTCAGGTCTTCAGAAGAGGTCTTGCACTTATTGGCCTCTATTTTGAGCTGCGTCCAAAGGTCAAGGACAATACTGCTTGTACCACGGAAACGTTCCATGGAGGATTTGATTAACAGCAAGAACATGGTATCTTTATTTGTAATGTTTAATCCATATTGATAAATTTTATTGTTTTCAGAAATCTTTGCTGCCTCCTTTACCAAATGAGATTGCGGTCAGCTTTTACATTCAGAGCCACAAGCTGGTTTTTGCTGTTTACCAAGTGAGCATGGTCCATGGGGCACTCAAGTTTGATACCTCCCAAGCCGAATGCTCCATTCCTTGGCTCAATGAGGTGCTTGTTTTGCTCACAGTCGGCCTCCAGACATGCCAGCAACTCAAAGACAAGGTGATTTTTTTATGAAAATTCTTATAATCTGAATTAAATTTGATACATTTTTCAGATATGTGTTTTCGCCCAGTATCGGGACTTCTACGCAGGATCTCGAGCAAGTTCTATTGTAACCTGAATTGTTGAGCAACAGCACTGTTTTCAAAGTTTATTTTTATTTTACCCATTAAATTATAATAATTCTTATTTGTATGATGTTGACTGTCCTCGTGTGAGATTTCCAAGTTGTTTAGCTTTTTTGGTATGTTTGATCGGCAGCATGATATCTATGTTGTAGTTTTTAAAATTTATTGTTAATTTATATTTCAATTTAGCATTCCATGTTTGTTGTGGACAAACTGCTTGTAGGCCAAAATTACGCAAAATCCTATGAATAGATAGACAATACCTAATGTTACTTAGAGCAGGAAAATTTCACCTAATATTTATCGATTAAATGTAGTTTTAGAAAATTTGCATAAATATTTACTGAGACACAAGAGTTGCAATAACACATGCTCATAATATCTGATAATATCCAAATTTTGAAGAAAAGAACGCTGAGATACTAATGATTGAAAATATTTAACTGCTTAATCCAACTTGGCATTCATTTTAGCCACGCGCATGCTGATAAAAAGTCAATCAACTATATAATCAAGATATATTTATGAAACGAATTCCAAGGTATTATATAACTTGAGAATTTTCAAAAAACTGAATTTAAAGTCAAATTAATTGTTGAAGATCAAGAAGTGATCACTTCTGTAGCAGTGTGATGTTCATATAAAGCTGAATTGAGAGAACTCAGAAGCAATAAAAAGAAGTCAATGTTGAAACGTTCATAATTATTTAATTTTAACCCTTTCCATCTTCAGAAAAAAATAAAGAGTTATTTATTTAATTTGCAAATTATTATGCAAAATACAAAATTATTGATGGTTGGAAGATAATTTTTCTGGAAAAAAAATGAAACTAATAATAAGCAATTATGATTAATTATTTATTTTATTAGCATCACCACCAATTATCAAATCCAAATTCTTAAAACAAAATAGTGAATGAGAGAACTATATCATCTGCAAACGAAGCAGTTTTAGTCGTGTCTGCACCTGCTGAAAAGCGAGTTTAAAGTGTGGGCAAGCAAAGGTAAGAGACACGGGCTGCTCTGCTATCCGGACACACCCTTCAAAGCATCAGATAAGAAAGCCTCAGGGTTGCTGATATCTCCAAGCAAACCTTTGCAATATTTTAGATTAACATCAAATAACAATTAATATTCAGCACTTCTTACCAACAACGTCACAGAACTCGTCAAAAGAGGCGCAAGGCAGCAGTTCATCAGAGTAGAATGTGAGAAGTTGGTTGCACGCCTTCAAGAGGGCCTCATCATTGTGCCGGATGTACTCAGCCAGTGCACTTGGCCACTGTTCTTCAGTGCTACAGTTCACCTTCTGTAGCGTTTGGAATAAATTAGAAATGCGCTTTTTAATTTTGACAAATTCCAACCTTGAAGCAATTTTTGTAGAGGCCATCAACAAGACCGTAGAACATGAGGAACGGTTTGTAGACGACGTAATCTTTCACGGAGGTGTCCGACAGCTTTGTTGCTTTCACTTGCTGAGTGTTTGTCTTTTCCAAATTCCTGGCCTGCGCAAGGAAAAGCAGCCGCCTCAAGTGGGCCACTCCATCCTCCTGCTCCCATCTGAAAGAAAAACATTAGTTCCAAAAATTTCTTTGTGAATTGAGACAACAAACTTCTTGGTTGAACGAAGGAGCAGCGACATGACACACCAATACAAAGGACCTTCGGGCACAAAGGAATTGATCACCCAGGTCTCTGCATTTGCATTCAAATAACTAGCCAAGGACTTTTCTTCGCGGGCAGCACAACGAGTGCTAAGACATGAAAGTTAATCAATAAACTTGAAAATATTTGATGGCAAAATCCCTTACGTATTGAGAACATATAGAGCCATGTGGATCAAATATGGCAGAAGGTGCATGTTGGACTCAGGGCCACCACCACTAGTGTCTTCGTTGAAAGATCGCTCATGTGCAAACTTGAGGAGCAGCAGTTTCAGGTCATGAGCTGTGCTGGAGTACGAGATGTCTCTGTGTCCAGTGCATTCCTAAAAATTAACAAAAAATATAAAGAAGGATTCATTTGAATAATTTCAGTTTATTTTTAAAATACCTGAAGGTAGGTGTTGTGTCTGGCAAGGCAGCTGGCAAAGGCAGATTCAGGCACCGAAGGACCCCAGAGCGGCAGAAGACCATTGCACCTGGTGTTTGCATTTTGCAAAGCAGCCGACTCCCATTCGTCTCGAGTTCGGGCCTGACGGACAGCGGCCATGTGGCAATCGACATGAACCACATTGAAGTGGCTGACAGTAGAGTAGCCCAGAGCTCGGCGTTGTTTGCGCTCCTCCTCTTCAAAGGCACACCGCTTTGTAAATGTGTAAATGCCCAGTACCTTGCTTGGCTGGCAACTAAATAGAATATATAGTATTTATAAATTTAATTATTTTTCATTACAAAACATACCGATAGCCCTCTCGACAGATGACGCAGACTAGTCCTGTTTCCTCTCCCAGCTCTTCCATTTGTGAAAGCAAAGAGCTGCTGGCTGTGACTTGCCCCCTTTCATTTGTGTGCATGCCAAGGGAGCCTAGTTGTTTCTCCCTCATTGCCATGGCCAGTCTTTTCTTCTCAGCTCGAGTGTGTTGTCGTACCTGATTCACATTGTGGACTTTGTTTTTAATTCCAATTTTAATTGAAATATTTTACCTGTTCAATTCTTTCTTTGACAGCCTCATTTGTGCCCAGGGCTTCAAGCAAATTTTCAGACAGTGAACCGACCCTTTCTTCTGATGAAACTTGCTCAAGTCTGTGCAGAACAGCAATGCACTCGGGGGTAGAAACTTCCAGCTAATCATATAATATGTTTAATATTCAATTCTTCCTACTTATGTCATGCTCGTAATTTTTATACCTGAGTTGGTTCGTGTTGGGTAGCAAGTCCAGCCAGCAGTCTGAGAATTGCCTTCAGGGCAGGCCTGGAAATGAAGTCCTTCCACGCGTCTGTGCCTGGTACAAGCAGCAGTGGGGTGGCAGGTGGGGCGTGGGCGGCAATGTAATCGACTGCTCTGCGAACAACCCCCAGTTGGTTCAGGTGGTCTTTCAAAGTGCTGCCAGCAGCATTGTGGTCCATTCCAGATGCAAGCAGGCACAAGAACTCCATCTTCTGCTCTTCCTCAGCGCTGCGCGACTGATCATACTTTTCAAAATCAAATACAGGCGCCAGGTAATCAGTCAGGACGGTCATTCGAGCAGGGTCTCCATAGCTCAGGGCACCAGCTACCTTTGCAAGGTGTTCAAGTAGTTGCAGGCTGACCTGAAATTGATCAACCAAATTTAATATGATGTTCAACAAATTTGACCCTAAAACACTCATTCTGTGGTTAAATTTATTTTACCTCTCCCGTTGCAGCAAATTGCAGAAGATCTTTAACGTGGCCAGCACCCTTGTCAGTTCTGGTTAGTAGCAGGAAATGATCAAGAGGTTTATCGGCTGCTAGGGTGAGAATAGTCTCCATGATGGCCAGAATTTGTTCTGTGAGACGTGGCTCGGCCGCTTTTCCTGCTGACAGACACCGCTCTGCAGTGGCCAAGAAAACTTCGATGGCACCGACTGATGGGGTAGCCAACAGCTCTTGGTTGCTTCTCACCTATTTTATACATATAGTTATAGAATGTCTTACATAGTTTGAAAATTTTACCTTTGTGCAGAGGAGGAATAATTTCAAGAGCACCTGCAGCAATGGCTTTGATCTCAGAACATTTGTAACACACATGAGCCTTTTCAGCAAGATCTAGAAATATAAATATTACAATTAACATAATTATTAACTAAATCAAATTAAAATCTTACCTGAATTCCTCCTGACTCGGCCATTACATTGGCCATTTTGTAAACCTGCTCGTTGTCCACCTGCTGTTTACTCTTGTTGTCTAGGGTCTCTACAAATTCTTCTGTTGCATCCCCAAGCAAGCCTCTCATTCGGTAAACAACCCTCATGGCCTCTCCATCACCCTCAAGCAGCCAAATTTTCTTGTACACTTCTCTGACTGGCAGATCGAGACTGATAATTTTATTGTTGACCAGAAGCTCCATGCCATTATCATCTTCGAGCAAAGCCACCAGTTCGCAATCTTGGCAGATTTTGTTCTTCACATCTCGCATGAGCGGTCCCAGTCCTTTCATTAAAAAATTATAAATAAATGAATTTTTTCTTTGTAAATTCTAAATTGTACCTGGCTCAGAGCTTGTGTAAGGATTTCCGAGCATTCTTCCCTGCAAAAAGTCTTCCTGCTGAGGATCTTTGTCTAAGGTGAGAAGGAAGTCGCCAACATCATTTTCCTCAGGGCTGATAATAGAGCACAACCGCTCCAAAATGAACACCTGCATTTTAATGATAAATTACAAGAAAAAGATCGCACAGGAAAAATACTGACCGGCGTCAAATCATCATCCACCTCGCATCGTTCAACAGCGTCAAGACAAATGCGCATGAAATCGTTTGTTTCCGCCTCAGTGCCACTAGTCATCTCTTCCAGGAGCTCAAACAACTTGTCTTGCGTCTCATCAATGAGTCTCGTGCGCTGGACAGCCAGTCTGCGTAGTGCAAGGTAGCCGTTTAGCACTGCACCCACAAGACGGCCCTTGTAGAGTCTCTTGATGGCGTCATGCTCCATAAAGCAGGCCAGCAACTCAGTCAGGGCCTTCAGAGCAAAGCCTTCGGCAAGGTCGAGTGACCCTTCCTCCTGTTTGCTCAGCTGGCTGATTTCACGGCTGATCAGATCTGCCAGGCGTACAAGAGTACCCCGCAGGGCCAGGTATCGTTTCCAACAGTCTGCTTGGATCAGAGTGCGGTAGAGGGCAAGAAACTCGGCAGACGTCTCTCCAGCCGAACTGAGGTCATCAAGGAATTCCGTTAAGAGGTTCAGCAGCTCTTGCTTTCTTTGTGGTACCTGAAAAATAGAAATAAAAAAAATAAACAAAAAATGGTATTTAAATAATAACACAAAATAAAAAAGCGCACTTGTCCAAATTCTTACCTGACAGGCAAAGAAGGTCTCGAGCATCTTGCAAGCTGCTTGCCTGGCAACTCTGGAGCCTTGATTGAAGAGAACATGTTTCAGCCACGAGGCCTGTGAGAACCTGAGACGCGGTACATGATGTCCAGCTGAAGCTCTCCACCTGCGCAGGTATTTGTGACCCAAGTAAGCAGCCCTGGCCTCTTCCCTGGAGGTCGGTTCTTGTCTGCTCTGGTGACGAGCACGCCATCTGGCAAATGAGTGCCTCGCGTCGCCGTTAAGCCAAGCGTCTAGACTGAGAGTGGAGTCTTGAGACGGAGCGACGCTGGCCATCTGAAGCACGCTTTTTTCTTTATGGGCCTGTGTGGTTGGCTTGGGTGGGTTCATCAGCCCCAGAAGGATGTGCAAGCACGGCAAAAGCACTGCTTCTGTAACTGGGGGAGACGCCTGCTGCACTGCAGCCAAGTAAAGACGCACCACACAACGCAACTTTTCTTCCCAGCAAGAGTCCTCTGTGCAAATTAGGGAGGACAAAAGACTCATCTCTGGCTGCACGCTTAATTGCCTAAAATTTAACACATAAATTCATTTAATATTGAGAGAAGAATTGAAGTAATAAAATTTATATTTTATTAATAATCTACATACCCTGATGAAGGTGCCGAGAGGGCTACGGAGATGCGGTCAGTGAGCAATTGGCAGAGCTCGGCAGTTGTGTCTGGCTGGTCTCGAGCAAGCAGACACAGCAACTGGCGCACCTGCTGTTGCACGCTGGCACTTCGACGGTGCAAATTTCGTTCGACCAGCTCACTCACAAGTCCACTGCGTCGCAGAAGCTCTTTGGGGCTGGAGATCGAGGCCAATGCCTTCAACAAGGTGAGACAGTGTTCCATTGTGGCGCTGGCGCATCCGTAGCAACCCTTGCATGAGTGGGACAGGCTGCGGCTTCCACGAGCGCGCGGGGCATTGTCACGCTGCTTGCGGTCATAAGCAACAATTTCCTCTCGGCATGCGAGAACCTTTAGACAAAAATAATAAATAAAACAAGATTAATTTTGTCTGAATAGTTGACATATAACATTGCCAAAAAATATGTATATTGCCAAAAGGCAAAATTTTGGATTCTTGTATAAACAATTGCAAGTACCTTTTGAGAGATTTTTCCAAGTTCTTCAAATGACCCCTTGCAATCTGTGCAGTATCTTTGGGCCAAAAGTTGGATTTTGTGCTTAACATGAGTGGTAGAGGCACCTCCTGATGTGGAGCTTGAGGACGGTGTTTCTTCAGATGATGCAACCTGCCCCTCTTCGACATTGTGCAAAATGTTCTCAATAGTGGGTCTAATAGCAGTAAGCTGCTTGTACACCCGATCTGCACGCTCCTGCATAGTAGCTATGGCTGCAAGCGTTTTGCGCCGGTCATCATCATTTTCGATTGGATCCACAGCACAGCAGGCCCGTGCCACCAAAGTGTATTCAAACTTTGCATATTTGCAGAAGCCGCAAGCATGGCACAAGAATGGGTCCTAGAATTTTTTTTTTTTTAAGTAACCATCTTTTGATTTAAGTACCCAAATGAATTTTTGCTTACCTTTTCGTCGTAATTAATGGCTCTGCACTTGTGGCATTGGAAAACATTTTCACCACAGTTTCCGCAAACTCCTGGATTTGATGGCACAGACACTCCACACCTGGGACACTGCAGCGTCTCTGAAGACGCTTGAATATTCTCATAAAAGTCAGAGTACTCGATCATCAAATTGCAGGCAACAATAGGCAGAGGGAAGTCGACCTTCAATATGAATTTAATTCAAACACCAGATCAAAATTTTAATTGCGTCTTACCTTCACTTCAGTCTGGCCAGATGTGAGAGTGACTCGCTTTGCCTTGTGCCACATAGACATCTTATTCTTCAGCTCAACCACAGCCTGTACAGTACGATTGTTGTAGTAAATGTTGATGGTGCGCAGCATCTTGGCCCGCTTTATATCTCCAATGCGTAAAGTGATACGGCTGATTGAGTGACTTCCAACGAGTTTCACTATCTGCGTCGTAGTTGTGAACTTTGAGTCAACTTTGACGGCTGACAGCTTAATGCTGGAGAGAGGCACCTCAGGGCTGTTGCACACAAGGCAAGGCCTGCTCTCAAAGTAATAGCCGTCTAGTTCAATGAACTGGCCAAGTTTGCTGTAGATCGATGTGTTTGGATGTTGAGCTAGAACTTGGTTTTGCGCCTTAAGAGCTTCAACAGCCAGATCAACCTGGTGAAAACAGAATATTAAAATCGTGTGATTAAGTTTGATCAGTATCACCATTTCTTGAAGTTTTCCGTTCTTGTCTGCAGTCTGTTTGGAGAAGTAGCCCAAGAGGTCAACAAATTGTGCGGCCTTTTTTCCGTAAGTCTTCAAACTGGGCCAGAAAGTCCAAAGAAGACCAAGAAGGTGTTGCTGCTCAGCATCATTGGAGTGCTCAAACAGACTGAGTACTAGCTCATGTGCCTGCCAGCGGACAGATGCAGCGTTTGTCTCCAGCAGGAAGGTTTTGATGAATTGGGCCATGACCTCAGAAGGAACATTTTTGTTTACATAGCCAACAAGTACTGAGCAGTCTGGTTTATCATCGTCAGATTCTACTGACCTCTCACGCTCTCTGCTGTTTTACAAGATGGTTAAAATTAATTGGCTTTTAATTTGAATTCATACAGCTTACCTTGGTCTGCATATAGCGTGTTGAAGAAGCTGAAGTACAGTTGGACAGACGCCTTCATCCAAGGTGCAACTGGCTTTGAACAAGAAGGGAATCAACGGTTCAGAGGCTAGGCAGAAGTTCTGCCAGTTGTTAGGTCTGCTGGTTGCCACTTCAAGACAGGCCTTCAGATGTTCCATGAGCTGAACTAGTTGGTCATAAGCAAGGGCTTCAGTAGCCAAGTTGGTGGCTCTGCCCATGTGGAATTCAAGTGCATGCAAATCCCGACTTTGACGATACTTGTCTTTGCTGCCACACAAGAACATGAGCAACTTTCGAACCTATGGTAAAAATGATTATAAATGAGTTAGAAATACAAAAGTAAAACATACTTGTCTCCGCACAAAGGGAGCCTGTGCAGTCATCATGTAGTCGCAGAGAATCTGTCTCCATTGCTGACCAAAAAGGGCAGCAGCTCCATCCGAGTGCTTCAGAACTTGATAGGGTAAGCGCAGAGCCATTTCCGTCAGCAGCTGTGGGTACGACTCAAAAACGTCTCCACCCAAGCCTTTAACATACTGCTTGAGGAAGAAAGGTGACATGTCCGGAGGAGCGGCAACAGGCTGGGATTTCAGGAAGCCTGGAGCTGTAGTCACTTGGCCGCTCTCTTGTCCCTTCCAGTAAATGAGCAGGCCTTGCAGCAGCGAGAGACAATAGTCAATGGCTTGACTTTCGACAAGACCAGAAGCCGTTGTCTGAGAAACATAGGCGTCACTAGATGTGGCAGCTTTGCTTGCTGCCTTGGCACGACTCATTAGGACACTGAGGAAGCGCATCATCACGAGATGTACTTCAACCAGCGGCGTGCGTCTGCATTCAGAGGCAGCAGACATGTCAACGGGACGTTTGATGCCCAGCTCGCTAATCAGTGCAGCCAGAAGTGCCTCCAGGCAGTGTCGGTCTCTGGTGTCCTCACCATCAAGGTCAGAGGTCAGAATCAGGATGACTTGCAGAAGAGGTATAGCCTGGACGCCGCCAACTTCTTGCAGTTTTGGGACAAATTCGAGAAGCTTTTCCAGAAGAAGTCTCTCTACGAGAAGAGAACGAGCCTCGGCCACCTCTTGTTGTTGTTCTGCCAACGGTTGGCTTTCTTTCTGGCCGCTGGATATCTTGGATGGCTCGTCAGAACGTCCCACTGCGTACATTTCAAAGCTCTCCGCACCACTTCCTCCACTCTCTGAGCCACCCTGTTCTGCTGGTGAAGTGCGTAAAGTGCTGCCATCAGTTGCGGCGTTTGAGCCTTCATCGTCGGAGCATGGAGCTGAGGCTGTTGTGTCTGACAGGTGGCCTGCTTCTGGAGCTTGGCTAGGACCTGCTTGACCAGCAAGAACTTGCAGATTCTGAAGAGCCTGGTGCGCCGCTTGTTGCGCCTCCAAATTCTGCATTCCCTAAACATTTCATTTTATTACTGCATTAAAGCTACATTGAAATAGTACCTGTTGCAGGTTTTGCTGGACAGTGAGCAGATTAGCAACTTGGTCACCATCTTCTTGCAAGCTTAGAGCTATGGCCAGTTCCATCATTGTCTCGTCCATGGCCTCAGGTGGTATGTCGAGCAGGGGCGGAAAACCGCCACCAGCGTTCAAAAGAGCCTCAATGGGATTGGCAGGAGGCAGCGGAGGTGGCACTCCGGCAGCCACTTCTCCTCCAAGCATTCGGATAGGCTCAGCTGTGTCAACGTCAGTTCCAGGAGGTGAAGGCGGAGGTGGAGATGCTACACGTTTCCTGCTGCGTTGTCTGGGGCGCAAAACTCTAATCAGCGCTTGTTTGCTACTGAACGACACTTGGGCGTCGGGGCAGAGTAGCAATTGTAGATAATGCTGTGCTGCAAGTGGAACCTGGAGAATGCATAACACAATTAATTTCACAACACATTAACAGGCAGTAATAAATTTCAGTACCTGTTCAACATCGCAGACAGAAAAGGCATGTATGATTTCCACCAGGGCATGCACAGTCGTTTCAACATGGCGAAGTCCAGGAACACAAACCGGAGCAAGAGAGGAGTTTGTGGGACGTGCTGCGTGCAATCTCCAAAATATATCCAGCAAATGCGCCACAAAAGGTCTTGGCCGTTTCTGATACAAGCTTTCGGCCATCTTGTGCAGATTGTTGGGACGTGCTGCTGCGATACTGCGAGCCATCAAAACCACACGGTAGAAGGCCTCAGCGTCCAAGTCTCTCGCTTCTGGAATGCTTGAAAGCTCATCAAGGACTGAAACCAAGTGCTCCATAATTGCGCGATCCTATATAAATGAACAAATTAATATGCATATCTTATATTTAATTTATAAAAAAGTTAACCTTAAAGTCGTAATAGTTTCCACGGCTAGAGTGGAGTGCAGCCAACAGAGATTTGGCATGAGTCTGAATTGTGTTTGAGGTTGGCAGAGTGAGCATTTTAGTGGCCAACTCAACAGTGACAATTTTCTGCTGCATCTGTTTCTCTTCCAGACAGCCAAACAATGTGAAGGAACCGTCTAACACTTCAAGTACTCCCGACACAACCTTCTCCAATGAGGTCAAAGGCTCTAAAGCACACAAATTTTCAGCGTCTCCGTTTCCAGCTGCGACTACTCCATTTGAAGAGCCAGGCTGTAAAATTTACATTAGTATAAAACAAGAAATAAAACCTTCAAAATTGTACCTCTTCATTTTCTTCAGGCCAACCAAAAGAATCCTTCGTTTTGCCATAGATGAGCATTGAGTCTAGCATTGTGACGTATTCTGGATCTTGGGATGGGCCGAAGGTAACTGACAACTTCCTATCAGCTTGCAGGCTTTCTTCTCTCGTTAAAGGGAAGTCGAACCATCTTGAGCCGGTGACATTTAGCTGAATGCTGCGACCTTGCACTTCCACAAAAGTGGGACTTCTTAATGGGTCTTGAGAACCCACCTTTATATAAAAAGATAAATGTAAAAAATGATAAAGTACGCTGATTTCTTTTGCATACCTGAATCCTAACTCCAGTCATAACCATAGAGGGATCAGCGTTGTTGACCTCAACGGTAAAGCCAGCAGGTCTGTTGTTGGCAATGTACTGACCCTGCTTAGCAAACCTATTCTTGATCTGCTCTGTATTATATGTCTCAAGAACGTCATTGCCACCATATTCAACCTCACTCATCAACTGACAGTGCTCAAAAAAGTCCACAGGGAATGCTGGGGCAGCATTCGGCTTGGCTGCTTTGCTCAAAGTTTTGATAGCAGCTGTTTTACGTCTCTTGGATGATTTGCTAGCTGGTTGAACAGCAAGCCAGAAAGAAGTGTGCTCTTGGCCGGCCATGTAGATGCGAAGACTGCCATCCTCACACAAAAGTATCAATGTCGTTCTCAATTCTGAGCCTGATGCTGCATGTCTGATCGCCACCATGTCCATGATTTTTGCCTTGGCTGGCACAACCTGATTTTCAGTATTAAGTGTTAATGTAATACAAAAATTTAGGTTTACAGTAATTTTTAATGCTACAAACACAAATGCAAAATTACCTTGATCTCCTGAACTAGAACTGTGTCTGGTCTCAGCATGAGGATCACAGGATTGTTTGACGATTGAAGAACACTGCAAACAAGGCCAGGGTGATTTGGAACCTCCGACCATTGGCAAAGAGGCTGAGCAGCTTGCGTCTGACTGGCTTTGCCTGCCTTGGCAAGCTGAATCTGGAAAACAGCTCCAAGATGCAGGTCTTTGTTGAGCGAAGCCAAGAAGCTTTTGCCCTGGTTGTAGCTGAAGAAGAGCAGCTGCAGTGTGTGGGAATAATAGACTGACACGCCACCACCTGCTATCAGACCATTGGCATCTTTGACGTCAGGGTGATTTACCTGTTTATACATATTTAAGTTATTTTTGTGACCGAAATAAATTTTATTTTTTGAACCTCAAGCGTGTTTGTGACATAGAAAGGTCCATGCTCTGCAGAGCTATCAGGGCCCATGGTTTGCGAGTAGATGTAACCTGCTGATGACATGAGCAGCAATGCTGGGTCAGAGTCCTCCGCAAACACAAACGTGGCATCTCTGATTTTGCCACTTGGCACTAGGAAGTAGAACTGCGGACTGAGAACATCCTTGGAAAGATCGTAAACTTTGACAAAGTCTGCAGTGATTAAAGCCAGCCTCGTTTGAGAACCTGGCAGCCAGACAGCCTTGATTATGTAGTTTCCAGTCTCAAGATGGGGATGCAGCACCAAGTGCTGGGACACAGTCCCTGAACCACTGAATGTTAAAACATGGCAATCCTTTAGACCGCACACGGCCAAGAAATCTTCATTGCATGGGTTTCCTATAAGCATAGATAAATAATTGGAATGGGTTGAATAAAATAATTAAAAATGTTATAAAGTATGACCTTTTGCAAAAAAATAAAAAGAGAATAATTAACAAACCAGTAATGGACAGAACAGTGAAAGGCACTGGAGCCGAAGCAAGTCTGGTCAGGGTAAGTTTCCTCTTTGAGGAGTCAGCCTGCTTGAGGAGGGCACTCAGCTGAAGAACAGTGATTTTGCCCTTTTCGTGGCTAACAGCTAAGTGCTGGCGTCTGCCATGTGGAGAGCTCAAGCAGCACATAGCCACTCTGCGGATCATGTGAGCAGACAGGAGCTGCCTGATAGTCTGGCCTTGGTCTCCAGGATAGTTAGAGCGCACGTTCTCGAAAGCACCTTCTTGAGACCCAAGAGTGGGCACCATCAACTGGTCACAGGCTTCAAACGTTTTCGGTTGGGTGTGCAAGCGGAGAAGAGCTTGCTGAGCTCTGGTATGGCATCCAACCTAAAATATTTACAAGAACACAAGAAGTTAATAAAATTTTCTTTTGATCAAATAAAATTACAAGTGATAAAGATTTCCACTTACCGAGCTGTTTCTGTCGCAAGCAGCTCTGACAGCGCCTACAAGCAAGCAGGCCAATTCCAACAGAGAGCCAACCAACGGGCTTCCAGCAGCATGGTGCATAAGAGCTTCACCACAAGCCTCAAGCTGTTGAGCAAGGGCAGCACGGTGACGAGCCTTGTCGTCTCTGGCTCTTTCTGAGCGCTCAGGAATAGGTGATGAAGTGGCTCTTCGTGGCTGTGACGAATCTGCGCTGAAAGGTGGCGCCGGTTGTGGCTCAGGACTGCGTTTTGAAAGAGCCAAACAGGAGTTGTCATCCTTGGCTCCGCAGTCACAAAAGAAGTTGCCATACTTTGCGTAAGTCACGTCGTGTGTCTTGTGGCAAACTCTGGCGCAAACGCTGCATACACCTACGCCATCAACCATTTTGCACGTGTGACAGTGATACCTGAGAAAAATAGTATTTTAATATAGAGCTTCATGAAAAAATTTAATTTTGTAATTTTACCAGTGTTGATTCATGAATTCTTTCTGGGTGAGAGTGAAAGTGCAAAGTTTGTTGCAGAGACTATCTTCATCAGAGTCTTCGCCAGTGCTATCTTCATCGTCTCCACCCATCCACTCCTCCATCCATTCACAGTCTAGAGTGTCAGGAGGGCTGAGGTCACAACTGTCCCAAGGAGACTGAGCTCTTTCTCCGATCAGAGCATTGTTTTGGGAGATTCCCAAGGCCCCGATGATATCAGCCACGTAGCAAAGCAGCTGGCCAGCAGCTTCCACAATGTCCCTCACTTTTCCTGTCAAAACTTGCTCCTAAAATAATAAAATAAATTAAAGTTTAAGTTTACAAGTACCATAGATAAAAAATATAGTACTACCTTTTCAATTTGCTTCAAAGTGTCTCCATCCAAAATGAATTCTTTGCATTGCTCAAGCCACAATGTAGCCGCACAGAACAAGTGAATGTGGCCTCTTCGAGATCCTGAATTTGCCAGCGTAACCATGATCTGCATCACATCCGAAAAACCTGTTCCTGGCATGTCCAGGGACAAAAGTCTTGAGCCTATTGGTATGAGGGCCTCCAAAATTGTTCTCGACAACGCCTCTGAGGCAGGACCCTCTTTCACAATATAAGAGACAAGGTATCGCAGCAGCTGCTGATTCTCTATTTGCTCGGGCCCAGAAGTTTTTTTGCTGGCCGTGGTTTCAGCTGGTTCAGGCGCTTCATCTGAAGGCACCTCTGGAGAATCCAGACACAGTTGGCCAAGCAAGAGGTGCCTTAGCCATTCTGATAACTCTTTCCTCTCTACTCCCGAGAGACGTGAAACAGTTGCAATGCACAAGGCCTCCAAAGGACCTCCAGGGCTCTTTTCAGCAGCAGAAAACAATTGATTGAAGAATCTAATAAAAATTAAATTAATAACAGATAAATGTTTCTAATTATTTTACTATATTAAAAAATTGCTACCTTCTATTGGTTGTTTGTCTTGCAAGAAGAACTTTGGTGAGGTCAGCATCTGTGAAAAACGTCAACAGAGCTGGTGCACCTTGCTCCAGCATTGCTTCCATAATTTTCAAACATTCAAGATGTACTCTTTCATCGACCCCCTCTGCCAACAGTAGTCTGTAGCAATGTGCAAGGAGAGTGCAAAACACCTACAAACTGTGTATTAGATTTAAATCTTATAAACCAGCCCATTTTTAAACCTGTCTTTGTTGGTCTTCATTTGTGGACTCAAGAAGAGCGGCGCTCAGGAGTTCAAAAAGATATTCAGCACAGGCATCTTGTGACACCGGCAAAAGAGCAGCCACAATTTGCTGACGAAGTGCCAGATCTCCAGGGCCGAGTTTGGTGGCCAAGTCGGATGAGAATGTGACAAGGGCATGTGTGAGGTGCTTCAGGGATTCATTGGTCAAACAGGAGTCACATCTGTACAACTTAGACACATGATTGTTCAGAACACTCAACAAATGGCTTTCTGCTGGGAGTTGGTCAGTTGCATACGCCTGATAAAAAGTAAATTTTAAAATACATTAATAATGACTGTTAGATTTCAAAATGAAAAATAAAGGCTTATTTGGAAAGATCACTTACAGATCCAGGGACGTAGGATGCTTTTGTGCTGTTCCATCTGTCTAGAGCCGAGCGAACTGAAGCAGGTAGTAGAGTCCGTAGACCCAGCGTCAAATTTGCAGTGTGCGTGTTTTGCGATGATGCCACGGCCAACACGTCTAGAAGCCACTCGTTGCTCTCTTCAACATAGGCAAGGACACCTTTCCTGATGGCCCCAGAGATGTGAGCCAACACAGCAAGCAAGTCAGGCAAAAGACTGATGGCTGTCTCGACGGCCGCTTGCTGCTTTGGATCATGCAAGTGGCCTAGCAGTTTAGCAAGGACTACATCAACCGCTATCACATCTGACAAGTGAAGAGACGGAGAGCCAGAAGCCTGAAGATACTTGGATCGGAACGCAGATAGAACAGATCGAGCTACAGTGGCTGTGTAATGCAGGCTGGTCTGTGTTGAACTGACTGTTTTAAGCAGTGTATCCACATTGGCAGGAAGTATTCCCTGAAATTGAAGACGATTGTTATTTCAGATTATTTGTAATATAAAATGAATGGTTCAATTAGATTATATTTTGGAGTTGGTGAATAATTTAAAAAATACCTGTTTTATCAAATTGTCTTTGATGTATGAAGAGAAGACTGTGCAGCCTGTTCTGGGACCCCAGACAAGCGTGTACAGCAACAGAGGGACATCGCTGGGGTCAGCACCCACTCCCAATTGGCTCACAAATGGGGCTGACGGAGGCAGCAAAAGAAGCATGCGCCAGGCGCTGCAGAACAGGTACTGAACTGTGCACAGGAGAGACGTAGACTGGCCTTTGCGGCACCAGCTGGAGTCGCATTTGTGCAAGACGCCTAGCAGATTGATCAAAGCGTCGACAAGAGCAGGGTATTTGAGTTTTTCTGGAGTGGCAAGAACAAAATTGCAAGCCAGCCCGTCCAATTTTGGACACTCTTCGTGGTTCATTTCAAGAGAGGTCAGACTGTAGTATCTGTTAATAAAAGTAGGAAAATTTAGGACATGAATAATTTCTTTAATCAATTTATTAATTATCAATCATTCATTTTTCAACTCACCTGGGTCTCATTCCAGAGTCCTCTTGACCTGCTCCTTTGGTCATGTTATCTACCACATCCTGAGAAGGACAGAACATCCTTGATGCAATTTTTGACCCCTTGTCAGCAGGCACTAAGCCTGTGGCGCTAAACAAGTTCCATTTGATTTGCTCCAAGAGCACAGAGGGTGCCTCGTACAGGTGACGCATCAAGTGTTCGAACAGGTGGATGAGTCGAGCTGTGTGGAGCAACTGGCTTTCCCTCAACGTAGAAACTTTTTCTGCTAACAGCTCGCCACATTTGATGAGGCCACTGGACACCTATCAATTTAAAATATTTTTCAATGCTGCAAAATATGACTAAAAAATAAATATCAATTACCTGAAGTAAGACAGACTTCTTTTGCAGCAGACTTAGGTAATGGAAAAAGAAGAGCAGCAGCTGGGCGTGCTCAACATTCAAATCTTCATTCTCTGAGTCAACTTGCTCTGCAGGACTTGTGACACATTCAAGCAAAGTGTTGATCAGACGGCTCCAAATTCGCAAAATCAAAGCTTCTTGGTCAGGCTGTTTCTTCATCACAATAAACTGGGAGAGCACAGCCAATGCTCGAGGATATACCTAAAAGTTGAATTAAAAAATGTCCTTGAATTTTTTTCAGAAGAATAAATTACCTGTAATGGCCACGGTTGCTCCTGCGGAGTAGGGTTGACACCAAGATGGCTGAGCAAGGAGATTTGCAGAGCATCTGGCAAAACAGACGTGGCTAGCAGGTTATGGGTGTAAAGCGTCAGGTGGTGGCTGAATTTGAAATAAAGGGCACCAAGACTTGCACCGAAGTAGGCAGGAATGGAGCCTGTCTTGGTCCTCGCAGTTTCTCTGTCCAAGTCTCTAATGATGGCAGCCAGGATGACCGTGTGTTGCTCGCTGAAGTTGGTGGCAACATTTGAACGTATCAAACCGCTGGTGGAGCACACCAAGTTGGCCGTCAGGAAGTTGAAGACTTCACTAGCCAACTGAATGTAGCCGTGAGGTTCACCCTTTTCAGGCACGACCGAGCTCTGAAGTCCTGATGATGAGGAGATGGCTGCCTGTTGGCCACTTTTTGAATCATCACGCTCTCCCTCAGCTTCACTGCCTTCTGATATTACTTTTGGAGCAAGAGTCTTCTCCAGCCACAGACCTAAGCAAATAAATAAATCGAAAAAAAATTATTCCATTTATTAACTGAATAAAAAAAATGTTTAAAAACTAATTCATAAATATCTTTTCATATCTTGAAAAAAAGGAATACCTAAGATGGGCTCACTATCCTCGTCTTCGGAACTATCCTCGGAAAAGCTGAAGTCGTCTCCATTGTATATTGTGGAGTCTGAGAAACTGACAGTGTCCTCTTCATTGGTTGGTTTGAGTGCCTTTTTCAATGTGTACGCCTTCCTATATGAAATGATGGCCAAGTAGTGCAGCAGTTGCAGCAAAGGTGCCGCATTAAGAAGGTAGGCAACTCTTTCCCCTGCTGTATGCTTGGCGCATAGGTCCTCAGGGTCAAGCAGTGGACCTTCGACTGGTTCTTTGTCGTCTTCATCAAGATCCGCCATAAGGTGGGTGCAAAGTTTGAGGGCGTGGCCTGCAAGAGCCACAGACAGAACACTGAAACCTTGCTGCACTTTCTGCAGGTTCAGTCTGCCAGAGGTTGCACGACTCGGCGATTTTCCTTTTTCTTGCTGTCGGTGTTCGTAAGTTGCAGAGACCTGATAAAACCGTTGAAATAAATTAAACAAAAGTTTATTTTATTTGGAAAATTATATTTATAAACTTAAACATAATTTTTTGATAACAAACCTGCTGCCAAAGTCCATGGAGAAGAACAGCAGCCCAGTGCGCCTCCACATTTTGCAGGGTGCCTTTCTCAACATGCTTTGATGAGGCCAGTGCTGCAGACACAATGTCTGCTACTTCAATGGCTTTCTCCACCACACCAACCATTGACGGGTCTAAATCCTCCTCTTTTCCTTTGGCTGTTGCTTGGTTGGCGTTGAGCAGAACGGCTGACGAAGCACACGAAACGGCTGCTTGCAGACAAGCTTTGCTGAGTTTTGCCAACTTGTTAACTTTTTCCGAGTTCAGAGGCTCAAGAATGGGAAGCGCTAGAGCGGTGTGAACCAAAGAGACTTCAGCAAGCAGGGTTGCTGAGTGCTGTTTGATTTGCATAGCATCTTGGGATGTCAAAGTTTTTTCTTCACTGTAAATAAATAAATAGAGATTATTTTTCTTTTTAAATATGATAAGATCTTAATAAGCAAGAAGAAAAATAAAGTTAAATAAAAAAAAAAAAACAACAACATGACAATTGTTATTAGAAATCCTATCCTTACATGAAGACAATTAATTAAAAAAAAAATTAAAATTACCTAGAGAGGTAAGGTTTGAGGCTGCCCAGGCCGAGGCAGACATTCAAAATTCGGTCAGAGGCATTAAGGGCTTTCAAGCTGATCACATTTTTGCGCACAAACTGGTTGTGTGCCTCAGTCTCAGCCGCCTCTTTTGTACTTTCAGCCGAGTCCACCGCAGCTGAAGGACTCAAGGGTGTGGTCAGTTGTTCCAGGATTGCGGCCGTCAGGTCTGAGCGAGGTCTTTTCAAAGGCTCGGCCTCTTTTTCCTGGCTGCCGGCCTTCGACGGTCCAGGCAGTCTTGCCACCTTCATGTCGGCCGTCAGGGCAAGGCGATCTGCCACCTGGAGGGTGCTTTTGCTCTGACACAAACCCTGCACTGCCAGAAGAAGCAGACGGGCCATGTGACCATCATCCGCCTCAAGTCGGCTGAGTCGCTCGACCAGAAAGTGCAGAAGAATTTTCGAAGCATGGGCCACACTCGAGACCTGGCTTTTCTCCACTGCAAAATAAAAAGGAATTTTCTCTCAATAGAACAAAATAATTTGCATTTTCTTGATAGATAAAAATAAAAAATATTAATGCAAAAAGTTATTGCAAATTATTTAATAAAATAAATCATGAATACTCACAACTGTCAGCCCCAGAACTGAGATATTCTGCAGCCAAAATGCTGAAGGCTGTGTAGAACGGTTCATATTCTGCATCATGACTCTCAAAATCAGATTCACTGAAAATACATATTTTTTTCATGACTAAAAATTGAAAATAAACTATTAAGCCTAAAGTCCCCTCCTTGTTTTGTTAATTTCAGTTTACATATTATTTTTTCAGCAAGGAAATTCATAAGTATATAATTTATTGAGGTATGTACATATTCGTTCAAAAATTTTGCTTGTGAAGTAATTAAATTCCCTTTTGGAACGTCTTGCCAAAAATCCTTGAAGAATGTCTAGCCAAACAGTTAGTGGATCGATTGCAACAGTCTGAAAAGTTTTTCGTAAATCACGGTGGAGTTGCGGCACATTTTTGGCTCGCAAACATTCCTATAGAAGCGTGTGTAGGTACAATTAAAATAGTTCGGTATGTGAAAAATGATCTGAATATTTTAGAATCCCCATAAAAACAATGCTTTCTTCGTTAGAAATTGCCAGAAGTTCTAAAATAAGACAGACGAGGATAAATGAGACGGGTGAGGAAAGGGCTTTTTAAGATTGGCAAAAACAACGTCGTTGGTGGTCCCACGGCCTCCACGGAGGCGGCCTCACCTTCGGATGATTCCTTTGACGAAATTAGAAACGTCCAACTTGCTCAACGAGCCGTACGAAGCGGCCAAAATTGGTTTGATTATCGAGGTCCACTCGACACCGCCGCTGCTCGCTGCCATTTTTCCTATTTAGTCATTTTTCTAGTTTTTTCACGGAGATTTCAAAGCGCAGCTGACGCGAAAGAAGCGAACATGGACTACGAAGCTCCTTGAAACGGCCCCGCGAATTCGCATGTCGTAGGCCGCACAGTCGCACATGCAAAAAAGCTAGTTGTATTTTCCGGTATTTTCTTCTTTTATTCGTGGTCAGAATTAAATACTACAAAAATTTCCTTTTCAGAAGTGAGCATAAAATTATATTTTTTCTTATTTAAAATTATGAAAATTATATTAATGTAATCTTTTTATGCTGTGGTGTTAAAAATTCTTGAGCGTGAGATATGCAAGAACAAAAAAACATTTACCAGAAAAATTAATTTTATCAAAAAGGATCAATTTTATTAAAAACTTATACTCTTGAAACAAAATATAAATTTGATCGTTGCATGTGTTGATGTTTGATATGAAAAACTGCTCCCATGAATAACATCACGAGAGAAAACAACTTCTCAAAGTGCCAAGAACACAAATAATAATAATCTGCATGGGCAATTTAATACTCACATTTTTTCTTTTACAAGATAATCACTTTCGTAATATTCTCTATAGCTGTTAAAAATAATAGCAATAATTGAATCTTTCAAATCATATATTCAGGCGAAGAAGACATATTTAAGCAGTGAAAATCTGAGCACAGGTACAAACCTGCATCTCGTAAACAGCACAGAGAGGTATCAGCTTCAATATCTTAAGATATAATAATCAATAATAATACAGCAGCACAATTTCGCAAAAAATAACTCCAAAGTAAATGAGTGAGTTTCAAGTGCAAGAGAAACATAAAAGTGCTGATTTACCATGGAAAATGGCTTTCACTTGAAGCTTCCAGAAAGTAGTCATATCACCTGTGTTTTGACCCACCAGGGCCTTGGAATAAATTAAAACTTCTCTTCTCTATATAAGCATAAAATAATTGTTTAAGGCACAGCAATTCATTGTTCATATCAGCAGCACTTGTTGCATGCGGATCACTTTCTAATGCTTGACTCTTTGATTGTGCGGTGCATCGACAAGATCCAGTCACTTTTAACGCAGAAAACTCAAATGTGTTTACAAAAATAGAGTCTAATACTTTTCTAAAAATATTCAAGATATTCACGATTGTTTAAAGATCAAAATCAGGCTTTGTTGGGTTGTGACACTTTAGTGAATGAAAAAGCTGCATTATTTAGCACCACTTATTTTCAGTGGCAAATTCACACATTTTTTTTCTTGATAAAATCCACCCAGCCTGGCAAATTCTCTGCGTCAAAAGTTGCGTGAGGCGCGGGAAATTATCCAGGAACCACACTTTCAGTGCATCTCTCCATTCGTCAGTTGGCGCCGGCACCAATTCGCAAACTCCACCGTCCTCTGTCACTGTTCACACGGTGCAGCCCTTGCGGGTGCCATAAAGTAGCTTGAGCTCTGGCAGGATTTGCTGCTTGATTAGCACTTGCGTGCGCTTCACAAAGACGCTTCTCTCCTTGTCTTTGTGGTAGTATTTGATGCCGGGTCGGTGCACCAGAAACGCGTTGTCCAGAATGTGGAACTCGTAGTTTAGCACGCACATAGCGTAACCCTGGAAAAATATTAATTAATAGGCCGATTTTATCACATAAATGTGCTGAGAACTATAAAGTAAAATTTATTGTTAAAAATTTTTAACAAATTTTTACCTGAATTTACTTGGCGTTAATAATTTTTCTGTTTATTTCCTTTTTGATGATTAAAATTTTTAATATTTCTATTAATTTTTATAGATTTTTTTTCTCACCTGGGTCATTTTGTCACTCATTCCTTCCCAGGACAGTCTCTCGTCATATGGGGGCTCCTGCCTGGTGCCTATGTAGATTGGCTCCCAGTGCAGGTGACGTCCCGTCCTCTGGCCGACATGGAAAACATGCAGGCCCTCTGACTGAGGCAGCGCCATCCACTCTGCCGCTTTCGGCACATTATGGCAATTTGGGCACACCTGAAATAAAATTAGTCAGAATTTTTGTCTTCAACCCTTTTTTTTATTAGGACAAGACAAAATGTCTTGTGCCCTTTTTCGCGCTTGTAAAATGCAAGCTCCAAATCTTTATTTATATTTAGAAACTAACGTGTTTGTGGAAAGGCACGGCGTCCTTATTCTTGAGCATGAGTGCAAGCTGCGTCTTGTTTTGGGGCATCGAGGAATTTTCCTTGACCTCAAAGATGCTGAGCGGGTACACCTTGGGCGGGGGTGGCAACCGAGTGGTGTTGGTTGTGACGTTGGCTGCCTGAGTCAGGTGCGCCCGCATCATTTCCAAAAAGTCGGGAATGACTCCAGGGTTGGGGTACAGCTCGACGTCCGAGGCGAGGATGAAGTGCGTCAGCGTTTCCTCGCGCGCCACGTTGCGCCCCACGTTCACAGGGTACAGCAGTTTGTGGGTGGTCTTGTAGGTTGGCTGGCTCATGGCAGCGACCGACTCCAGAGTTCTGGAGCAGTTGGCTAGGGGCAAGTGTGACTGGCCGTCGGACGCGGGCCTTGGAACCTGAAACAATAATTTTTTCAGTATATTTTATTCATAAAATTCCCATTGTTCCCTGCTTAAGGAGTGAACCAAAGAAAAATTTCAATTAAATTTTTAGTTTTCTCTATTTCCTAAAAAAAATTTCTTTCAAAATTGGCCAGATTAAATTTGATAATAATAAAAATTTACTTAACCTAGTTCATATCACCCCGGCCATTTACGTTGACAAAATAAAATGAATAAGACAATAAAGTATCTCAACTTCAAAATTGTAAAATTTTTACAGGGTTTAGATACCGTAAGCTCAATGTTAAGGATGGCATTATTTTTTAACATCAACCATTTGCATTATTAATTGAAATCAATAAAAGAGAAAACAAAGAAAATAAAAACAATGCTTATTCACTTGATTCTTTGATTTTTTTCAAGAGGACAAATATAGCTAGTGAGGTGCTTTGGCTTCAACGACTAAGTAAGGCTTATCTTAAAGTTTTTAAGTTTAAAAGGGCCAAAGAAAAGTGCTTGATAAAAAAACTTAATCTTTTTTTGTGATAATATCAAGATTTTGAAAGCGTCGTATTTAGTTCAACTAAACGCAAATGATGTGTACTTTTTTCATAACGTTTTGCATTCCGTGAGTTCATCAATATTTTGAATAATTAAAAAAATATATAGCACCCATCTACAAAATTTACCTTCTTCGGGACATGCTTCGTGGGGAAGTACAAATGGAATGTGACGTGCTTGCGGACAAGGTGTGCGCTGCGTCCACAGTTGCGCACGTGCTGGATGGCCGCGAGTGCCTGCGTCCAGTCTGTGCCAGGCGAAAAGACGGACATGGCGATCGGGCCCTGCCAACGCTCGAGCAGCGGCGCCAGGTTGTCGAGGAACGTGTGGTCGCCATGCGTGGTGTACGTGATCGAGTCGGCACACCCTGGCTGCTCCTCGGCGCGCACGTAATTGTAGAGCACCCAGAAATCGCCACGCTGGCCATAGCGCGGCGTCGGCTCGCGGTCAACGCAGCCCAGCAACTGCTTCAGCGTCGCCTCCGGCGCCGCCGGCGTCGCGACGGGTGGCTCCGAGGATGGCAAGATCTCCCGCAGATTGCGTCCTGTGTTGGACGCTATCGCGTGGGGCGTCCCGGACACCTGTTAAAAATTAATTTTATAGATATTGATTGTTTGGTTCTGTGTTTCATAACAAGAAGTTGCTGATACTGCCACATGCTTAAGTACTTTAATTAATCGACTTTTGTTTAAGAATAAACATAAAATGCAATCCATTTCAAACACTGCAAAGATTTCAAATTTGAGCCTAATTAATTCAATTAGTTATAAAAGAAAGACCATGATATATATAATTTCATATTTCATTCAGAATTTTATTCAACATCATAATTTGAGATTTAAGAATTTTAAAATTTGTATATTAAGTTTTTTATAATAATTGTTTTTTAATATTTACCCTTTCAAAATGTAGCAAATTTCTACAAAATTTGCAACATTAAAAATATTGAAAAACAAAATAATTAATATATAATTTTATAGAGAAAGCAAAAAATTTAAAGAATCTAATTCAAACAATTAGTTATTAAAATTAGCAACAAAAATACTTAAATTATTTTAAGTGTATCAAAAACGTGGCAAATATAAAATGTTAACAATAGTTTCGCCTTACCAAATTGAGAAGTTCAAAATATAATTTTACACCTCTGAATACAAAATTTTGAACTCTGAAATCTAAATAAAAAATTCTCTACTCACCACGGGGCTCAAGAAGGTGTTGAGCGCATAAAGGGACACAAAAATGAACGACCCCAGCAGGAGGCCTGATGTGAGTTTTCTTGACCGGATCATTGCGGCGGCTCCGGACTTGCAAAACCTGAGGTCATCTCGGCAGGTGAACCATCTCTCGGCCTGCCACCATCTGCAAAAAATAAATGAGTGGTTAAATTACAAAAAATAAAAATAAATTGAGTAACAAAGAAGATAAGACAAAGAAAATATTTACAATTGATGGCATTTCGTTGGCAATATTGATTACGGTCGGGTCGACCCAAAACACGCACAAACACAATTTCCCAATCATATATAATATATGATTATTTCATGTTAAAGGCCGTACTTATATTCGTGATAGAGTACTACTTTTTAGGTTCGTTTGTTTAGCCGCCTTTATACACATGAATTATTTGCCCAGTGAAGAAGCCTTCTATTGGCACTTTCGATTTATGTGACATCAGCTTGTATGTACTCGGTGAAAAAAATGAAGGTCGTTTCGAAGAAAAATTTTATTGCCTCTTGGAACAATTGCGCAAAACCATGATACCGTCAACCAGGGAGTAATTCTTTGACACGGACTGGCGTAGTCCAATTAATTAAGAGCGCGTGTCCTTGGCGGCCTCTCGGGGGCAAAACGCGGTTTCATATTGCTGTACCCTCTGTCCTTTTAAAAAACTCAATGGGCAAGCCGAACAAAAGCAGCATGGACAGGCGTGTCCCAGCTCGTCGGGGCTCTCGCATGTCGGTGAACCATTCTGCTCTCGTCGCTCTCTCTAAATCACCCACGCGTTCTAACTAATCTCCTTTGTCGGTTCACACACGGAACTTGGTTCGCCCACCTATGTGTGCCACGCTAATTTAAATTTATCAGCAGCGATTATGTTCCATTAATCCTGAGTAACACCCCCCTATAATATAGAACCTTCTGTTTTACTATTTACTTATTTAATTCGCCGGCATCCAGGAAATTCCAATTATTTTCTAAAACAAAATTTTTTTTAAAGTTCTTACTTTGTAAGCAAAACATCCTTATTGGACGTTTCTTAAAATTTTAACGGTATTATTAATTTTAAATTTTGGTTGCAAATGAAGTTTATTGTTGTACCACCGGGCAATCTCTGCTCAATTTGATACAAATATTAAAAAGATTATTAAAATATTTTTCAAGTAGCATGGAATATGAATGATTCATGCACTGTGCTTGAAAAACAAAATCATGTGCCAAAACTGAAGTATTTAAATAAATATTGTGTTTTGAATGTGCAGGAAATTATTGTTTTATATTTTTTTCCACCCGCTTTGATTTATTATTTTTATTTTCATTTTGGTACTGCGATATAGTAAAAAATGACCTGTTCTGCCTCTTGCATCTTTTGCTTTGTCTGCGTCTTTTTGCCCAAGGCAGACTTTGCTCTAATACTTGTGTGGGAATCGCCGTACGTCGACTGCGAAACTCCTCCTATGAGCGCACGAAACCCACGTGGGCTTGGCGAATCGATTCTCCACTTTTGGTCACCAGCCGACGCGGTAGCAAGAACCCTTTAATGCGGCGCAATTACCCTCGCTTTAATAATCAGCATGCGCTCTCTCATTGCACTATAAAACAATAAAGGCACGAGAGGCACACACTCAAATTTTTACAATACGACTTGACCCCACAGAGTAATCGAGCTTTCATTTCAAACAGCAACTTAACCTCGTATTCTTATCAACTTCACAATATTGTAGAATTTAACTACAGTAACGTGATAAATAATTATATAAGTTGATTGCGGGCACTGGACACTGGTGAAGTTTTTATCTGACGGTCGAGTAGAGGAAATGTCGCATGCAATATTGAATTTCCTGTGTTTGTGCAGGTCCCCTAGTGATTTTAATCAAATTTAGATAAAATTAAGTAATTTATTTTATTAAGCTTGCGATTTGATTATTTTCAGTCATCGCATAAATTTATAATTAAAAATTAAAATTCGAGAAAGGAAAACTATTGACTTATGTAGTACCTATGTATATAATATGATATTATAATACATAGTATATTTTTTGTCATGAGTTTTTAATAAAAATGTTTTTAAGTATACGTTTCAATCAGTTTCAATTTGTTTAAGTTATGTATTTGAAAAAAAAAATATCAAATTATCATACCTGGTGATTGTTTCAGGTTTAAAAATTAGCATTAATTTCAATCAATGCAAGCAGTATTTTTTCACTGTACAGTAATCATAAATAAAAAGACAATTGATTTGCTACGCTCTCAATTTTCAGGTCACGATCGATTGTATTACTTTAATTAGAGGACTTGAATATCAATGTCAAAAAAACAAAACTCAATTTACAAAACCAATGTTAAGCGCGTGGGAAATCAATACTAAATTATTATTTATTAAATGCAGATCGAGTCAGGCCTTGTTTTGTATTCTTCAATGTAATTATAAAATAGGAGCTAACGAGTAATAAATTATTTTGGGTTGACTGCAGCAAGTATTAAGGCATGTCAAGGCAAGGGTTATGCCGCAAAATTTCAGCTCGTCGCCGGATTGGCCGTATATTATTTTGGCTAATTTTTAGCGCACATAGCGTGCCGGTTGGTAATTTTCACGATCCAGTGAAGGGTGGAAAATGAAAAGCACCTTCCGCGAAACGAGATCGAATTTCTCACGCGCGGCCGAGCAACTCAATTTGCAAGTTGAACCTGATGTGTGCCTAATTGATCTCGCGTTCCAATAGCAGGTCCAGTGCAAGAAGTGCATTTTAATGCACGCGAATGAGAGAATTCCGCTCGGCGGCCGCCGGCGTGTGCTGTGATTTACGAGATGCAGTTGGCGAGAAGGAATTTCTCGCGGTGCAAGTCGGCTGGCCAGGCCGCTCGACTTGCCGAGGAGTCTTTGAACGCCCTTGACTCGGCCGACCTTTGAGAAACAACCTGGCCAAGGTAGTCGTTCGCTGGCGACTGCCGCCTCCGGCCTCGCCAAACGCAATTATTGTCCGCCGCCGCTGACAAAGAAATAGAGCTTTTGTGTCTGTCGCGGGAAAAAAGTCGGAAAAGTGGCTAAATTACATGTCGGACGCGCGGCGCCTCGATAGGCATTACATCTAACGGTTCTTGAATCTCGGATTGGAATCTTTGTTTGCGGTCGCTGTATTGCTTCAGCGTCGTTCTGCCGGTGAAATTGGATTGGAATACCTTTGCCGCAGAACTTGATTGTTTCCAAGAAATCAAATTATAAATACCAAGATAATTATACTAGTGTTTTAAATTCGTGCATCAGTGAAATTAAACAATTATAATTAATTCAAACTTATACTGTTTCCACTCCGACTTTTTATTTCTAAAATTAACATCATTGTAAAGAACATTAACAAGCAGAAGACAAGTATGTATTAGTTAAAAATGATAAACACATGATTCTAATTTCTTACTGATTGTGAGGACGAGAGTTAAAATATATATAAAAAAAATATCGCTATTACGCTAATATCATTTTCTAACTAAACAAAATGGAGAAAATTGAAAAAAAATTCATTTTGATTAATTTATACAATTTTTACATTAAAAAACAATAAAATTATTTAATTATCAAAATTTCATTTAAAATATTTAAATTTAAATTTAGAAATAAAACTAAACATAATGTAAAATTTGATTGTTAAAATTATTAAATTTGAAAATAAAAATAAAACATAAAAAGTTGTGTTGTAACGAGAAGTAAAAATGCCTGCCTAGCCCTGCAAATAATAGCGCGTGTGGGCACCTTCGCATGGCCTTTTGCCTTTTTATTGATATTTTAATATCTAGACTTGTTCAGAAATTACTATATTGAACACAACATATATCTTTTTTGATCTTGAATAAATTAATTTGAAATTTAATTGAATGCTGGTTAAAATTATAACATTATAATGCGTGGAAAACAACAATGCATAATTATTATAATGAAAGTAGTGGTATAGCGTGAATAATCATCAAACTATGCTCGCACCAGACAGTTAAAAATGTAAACGTACTCTGAAACGAGTGTAACTGCACCAGCGGAAGGTCAAAGCTGATTTATGTGTTGCCAGAGACACCGATAGAAATGTCAAAGCGGAGAGCAAAAAATGATGTTGGAGTAATAAACTGATTGATAATAGGCAGTAAATGACGGTGGCGGCAACAGGCAGTTTAAAAGTTAATAATCTGCTCTCTCGTCCCGCAAACGACAAAGAGATGCAAGCGCTTTTCGTCATTATCGACTGCGCGCAAGGTGAGGCCAATTTGCAGAGAGGAAATAATGAAATGGAGCTGCTGAAAGGATATTCACCCTTGTTTGTATGATGGCTTCGAGACTTTTCTACTTTTACATTTGGACGTAGCGGTGCATCAAAACCACAAATCGTTCACTCCAAACATAACCCATTTGCAGTCTCATTCAGAATTGCTGATATAAGGCATAATATAACATGCATTTTGTAATTATCATTTTATTAATATGAACCCATGACCGGTGCCAGCAAAGGCCGGGCTTTGTATATTCCCAAGCGAAATTAAACTCGCTCGCCAAAAAGGCGCCACAAGAGCAATTTATTGGCGAGAGCCATGAGCTGCGTGATCGACAAAAGGTGCTTTTAAATGTGTGCGTCAAAGATTGATTTGAATCAACTGCTTGTTGAGTTATTGAAATTGAATTGCAGAAGAGATGGATAGACAGTGAACGATTAAGTTGCTGCCTGTATATTGTTAAATAAGAAAATTTGATAACATTTAACTAGTGCAATTCATACAATTTATTACATATTAAGTTCCGTTTCGCGACATGCACAAAATTAAATGTGAAAAATATCACACAAATAAATTACATTTAAGAGGAAGGAAGTAAAAATTCATGTTTTCGTGTCGTACAATTTTTTAGCAGCAATTTTAAAAGTTTATTGGAATATTATGCCAAGAGGAAATCTCTGCAAAAAATCAAAATACATCCGCCTCCGTAATATTTAAATATTTTTTTATGTATAATTTTTTTTAAATAGAATTTTATAAAAATATCCTCTAGGCGGAGTTCGAGTTAGTTTATTTTAATAAAGGAATAAAATTAAAACCGTCACTTCTGGCTATGGTGTATATTATAGGAACACACATGGGTTTTGCTTTCAGCGTGTGTCAACTTT